ACTTTACTGTACTTACTACTTACAACGATCTACCACTATTGTACAGCACAGTACTGCCAAATTCACACAAAATGGGCCGCAATAGAAGTGGCTACGGACTGGTCTCCTTGGTAACAACGCTTTCAGTACAGTACAGTACTGTACTGAAAGTTCAGCATAGCCATATCTTACGCTAATGTTGGATGGACGGACATCCGTCTGAAAAGGATCGATACTGTACCAAGATGGAATAGAGGGAGGATGGATGTGGCAATCTACTATTCTATGAAGCTAATGCGACTGCAGTATATAAAATACATCTTCAAAAATGCTCTTCCACTGTCTATAATAGAGTCCATAAGCACACAAAAGTCATAATAGCTGAATGGAACGGAATATGGAACTCTAGAAATACAGAAGATACCATTCTACCAACCATACTGAGAATTTAGGACAGTGATTGTACCCTGTACAATGTACAGTACTCTCCAGTTTGGCCTAGTCAATATTACAGTACTGTAGATTCAGTGTAGAGGTCAAGGATTACTCAATCAAAATGCTACCGCGTACCATTTTGATTGAGTAGCCGTTGTCGAGGTCCATGGACCAGCGAACATAAAGGGTATAAATCGATCAGGTACATATTTACATGTACACGATGTTCAGGTATGACATGGTCAGGGCTTGTAAAAGAGAAAAAAAGAATTTCTTCCTCTCCAACTTTCTGCCATGTACCATGTTGACCATGCACATACTGTAGACTACAGTACAGTACAGTACTCGAAGTCATTGCTAAAACAGTCACTAGGCTGAAGAGAGAGAGAGAGAGAGAGAGCGTCCGTCCATCCTCAACGAACACCCCATCGCCTAGTGCAGTTCGCGCATGCGTTCTAGTTGCACTAGTCTAGGAAAAAGACGAGATCAAAAGCCTTTGTCATCACTGTCTGATACAGGACCCAAGACGCTTATACTAAATAGTATTCCAACGCGTGGTAAGAGAAACGCCATGAAGAATCATTCAGTTGATCGCCAGCCACACAATATTGATCATTGCAGCTGAAAGTGGATTGCATTTCCTGCAGGTAAATTGCAGATTCTCCTTGCTATACATCATTGAAATCACACTATTCTCCTCCATTCTATTGATTAACTTGATCCTCTTGGTGTAGAATCGATCGTGAACTTGCATTGGCTATCTTAAGCCAATCGATCTTACCACAAAAGGGACATCCAAGAGTAAGACCAGCACTACAGCTGCTGGCAAATGAATGATCGTCAACTGCAAGTGGAAAAGGGCAAACCAAACTCTTAGCAGCTATCTCAAAAGTCAAGATCCCATGCTCGATACGAGTGATAGTGGAAAAAGTCCAATTTCAATCGTGTTGATCCTTTCTTTCACTTCTTTATCTTAGACTACGCAAAACCATCATTGACGACAGGTTGATTACCTCATGATGCAATAGAAGACTAACCCATTATTCATGCCATCATCGTTTTGCCATTTTGAAATAGTATTATTGCAACTTTTCAACGATCATTACAGCAACAGATCAAAAACGTGCTAGCAGTTAATTCTCCTTCGTTTACTCATCTTTTCTCTATACAAACTTCAATTCAGTTTTGAAATTGTATTACAATTGACCAAATCATTTAGTCAAAGCAGTTACTTGTTACGGTGATCATAGCCTTAAGATGTGGTCAGGTGGCTGGAATGCGAATAATCCAGCGGCTACTTCTCAATGGTAAGTCTTGGCTAATGCCAGTTAAACTGAGAATGGATATAATCGATTATATCAATAGTTCTCCTCTAGTCACCAGGTCAACTCAATTAAATAGGAAATGATTACAAAACTCGACTTAACGGCTATTGAATTTCCTGTTAGAGAAGCTATTGCCATGAGCATGATTCACACATTTCCACTTGAATTGACAATATTATATTGAATCAGCGTTAATTGCTCCTAATATAATAATCTTGACCACGATAGGATTGCGGTCAGCTTCACTTGATGGCAAATGCGTTAGTTAATTTAATAAGAATTCATTAGAATCATCCATTATTTATCCTGTAGCAGTGATTCAAAGTCATTTCTATCCTTCGATAAGTCCATATCATTCGTATTAACCGAATGATCATGCTAGTGAAGTACAATCAATGGTATATTAACGACGCTATTTTGCGATATTAAACTTGCAGGTCTCAAACTTATCAATATGGTAGTAGTAATACAACGACATCAACTCAGTCTACTACCAATACCACAACAGCATCGACTGAAAATCCAGAATGGGAAAAGGCTAGAAAAGCTCTGCAAGCAGCTAATATTAATACTTCTAGTTCATCTACTTCCACAACAACGAGTAGTGTTGCGAATAGTAAATCACAGCAGCCTGCCAATCCACAGCAATCTTACTATCAAGTACCTCAGTATCAAATGCAATATTCAGGGTAAGTAAGCCGGTAGAATTAGCAAAACTATCGTGATGTCATATCTTGTCACTTCCAACGATCTAAATGCAGTATAGAGGACAAGATCTTATCCCAATAAAATCTTTTCTTGTTATTGCTTTCTCGTTAACTTTGACATCTGTACAGAAAATACATGTAAGTCATAAATTCACGACCTTAACTGTAGTAATTGAGTATCCTAGATGGAGAAAATGACGTAGATCAAATGTGGTCGCCTTTTCAATAGTAACTTATGTATTTGAATCTATACTTGTGAATATTACTTTTATGCTGCAGTATACGTAATATTAATATGCTTGCACAATTGCTATAGCGCTTTTGAAATTCCATTAATCTTGCCCATTTGATTATATTCATCAAGGTATGGAGTATATGGTAATTACACAACATATAGCCCATATACTTCGACACCATTTTATCAAATGGTAAGAATTTACCCTCTATAATCTGTAAAGATTCATTGCAAATTTATATTGTTGTGAGATGACAAATTAGATATCATTTGAAGATGTGTCTCTCTTGTACTAATCATAATCAATCATCTTCGCCTTTCATGGCTAGCCGCCAAATGTGCCACCCATGAGACTACCTCGTCCGACTTCAAATTTATCCTCAACAATTTCTAAATCTACAGCTCCTACCAATAACATGCAAAACAGGACTGTCGAAAGCAATACACCTAGCCAAGCAAGAAATCCCCCAATTGCAAATGTCATTAGACCTAATACAACTCGACCTAACGTTAGACCTAATCTGCCAAGTCCTAAATTGCCCCGATTTGGTTCTCCTTCGATCCCACCTGATCAAAATCGTACCACTCCGGTCAAAAGTAAGATCAACTTTCGAAATTGTGTCTTTGATTTGAACACGCTAGTCCTTTGGCCTATTATATATATACGATATATACCATGATAACTTTCTACATGGATGAATAGACTACATCAAATAGATCCACAAAAACCACTATTTCTGTTGAACTATACCCTTTTTAAAATCCGCAATCGGATAACCTGATCTTCAATTTATCATAACATTTTTAGGTAATGTAAATACGGCGCCTGCTTATACTGTCAAACACAAGTTTAACATCGTAACGAAAAAACCACTAAATCCTGCTCCTGCCGCCTTTCGGCCAGTTGACGATGATGAAGCATTTTCATCTTCTGCCAATACGAAAAATCAAGAATCAAATTCAAATGATAGTGCAATGGATGCCAGGTAACAATTCCAACACCAAAACAAAAAGATATTGTCTTTTCCTTCCCTCCAAAATTTGCGCTAATTTCAAATTCGTTTGAATAAATTAATCAGTCTTAAGATTGAAGTCTGTACTAACATTTTTAACTCCCATCATTTGTTAAAACTGTTTCATTGGACAACATTGCAATCCAGTAAGTGGCCTCCTCCGCTACGGTAATATGATATTAATTGAAAATATATTATGTATATTGTACACTTTTATCCTAATTCTTGCAAAGTTGTTTGTTGGTAAACGAAAGTAGACAAATTTTCGATGAAAAGAATTAAAACTTATACCATCTATTTTACAGTGATTATATCCATCGGGCTTTCAAGCAATGCCAGGACGAAAGGGATAAAGATGTAGTTGAAAAATTTTTGAAAAACACATTATCGAAAAAATTTCAAGATGGAACAGCTTGGTCAACGAACTGGGACAATGAACCGTTACCTCTGTAATTTACAATTAAATGAAATCGTTTTAGTTTTACAATATCCAGATGTATAAGCTCTACTAACTCATGCATCTATAACTATCTAGCCAGCAGAACAAACAAAAAAGAAAACGTCCTCCGTCTCGATGGGATCTTGAGTCTAGGAGCGATAATCTCAAAAAGGAAAATAATGCTGAAAGCCAATCTTCCCTATCAGATCGATTACGTGGTAGACTTGGTGATAATCGCGAAAAGCCTGTTGCTCGTAATTCAGAAGAATTTATTCCATTGGAAGCTTCAGGGAAAAAGAAAAGGAAAGGCAAGAATGCTAACAGGAAAGCAGCACCCTTACCGAATAAGTATGTAGTATGACTATAATAGTGTATAAGAGCGGAGATAATGGTAGCAATTTAAAGCTGGATATGCAAATTCGAACTATGCTTAATACGGGCATTATTTTTTCATTGATTTTCGAATTAGTCCGATGTTTACCAAGAACCTCGGGAACGATCAACGTAAAGAAGAAAGAGGAAAAAGATTTCAAAAACCTAACAAAGCGCCAAATTTTCAGCGTGTACGTCATTTAAATTTACTATACTTGGAATAACAGAATTAAATTGTTTACCTCCTTGAAGGGAATTTAAGTACAATGCTCATTTTTATAGATTAATCATAATGAAGAGGAAGTCAATTGGAATGATTTTGCAATTGTTGGCACTTGTGCCGATATTGAAAAACAATATTTACGATTGACTACGGTAACTTGATTTCATAAGCATGGATTACAACATCCACTATTTTTTCATGTTATTCTAACATCCATTATTTCTTAAATTAACAAGGCTCCGGATCCTTCCACTGTAAGACCTATTTCTATATTAAGAAAATCCCTACAGCACGTCAAAGCAAAATGGAAAGAAAATCATGACTACGTATATGCCTGCGAACAACTGAAATCAATACGACAAGATCTTACGGTAACTTTGCGCGTTTTGGTGACAAAATTGCTTTTAAGATTACAATTGTTAGTAAACAACCATCATTATGTCTACGCTCGATTAACTATTTGCTTATTGTGATATTTAATTTTATAGGTACAATGTATTCGTGATGCGTTTACTGTTACAGTATATGAAAATCACGCAAGGATTGCTTTAGAAAAGGTAATAAAATTAGAATATCGAAGTCTTTACTGTATGTACACTACTGTGGCTATAAGTAACCTGATAAATTCTTGGTTCGATTTAGGGAGACCATGAAGAGTTTAATCAATGTCAGACACAATTAATATCCCTGTATGCCGATGCAATTGAAGGAAGCGTAATGGAATTTACTGCCTATAGAATAATCTATTACTTGTTTACCAAAAAATCTTTAGATATCCTTTTTTGTCATAATCAAAAATATTTCTTACACCAATAACAATATATTGATGCTTAAATTACAATAAGTCAGTAATAATATATTATAATCCTTAATCTTACGTACAGATAAGTTCTGTTTTGTCACTTCTATCTGATTCAGTAAAAAAGGAATCGGTGATAAAATACGCCTTAGCAGTTCGATCCGCTTGGGAGTTATCCAATTATCATAGATTTTTTAAATTGTACCTAAAAGCACCATTAATGACGGGGTATTTAATAGATATGTTTGTCGATAGAGAAAGACTACTGGCTCTAAAAATAATTTGTAAAGCGTAAGTTTTTGTCAATATTTGCATTTAAGCATTGTTGTAGGGTACTTTTTTAAAGCAAGGTATAGAAATATTTTAAATATTGTTTTTACTACCATTTATTTTTAAAATACTGGAATCTTACAGTTATCGCCCTCAAATTCCTGTCGTGAAAGTAATGGAAGAATTAGGATACTGCAATAAAGATGGTTGCATTAAATTTCTACGCGAAAACAATGTGATCATTAGTAAGGATGAGACCTATATTGACACAAAACAAACGCATAATGTATTGACTAGCCTTGGATGAAAAATCTCAAGATTAATCTAAATATTGAATTGAGTTCATTTTGTCTTAATTACACTGATATTATACGGCCTTAAAATTTCTTCTTTACTGCATGAGACAATTGCATTGATGACATTTCAATTACCTGACTTTGATGAGCTCACACTTGCACCGATCAATAAGTGACTCTATCGGATGTTATATCAGCAACACATGTTCCATTTTTATGATCTTCTGACTAATACATGAAATGTGTATGATAATGGTGTAGCATTTACACATGATTTAATAGCAAAAACGCGATTTGCAACAAATTACTTTGTAATTGAATATGAAATTAATACAACTTAATTTGAGACCATATTCTTTTATGATAATATATGTAAATAGATATTTATATGCTGCATATAATGATGGTGTTATCGTATACGCCACAAACTATATGTGTACTATCTTGTATTTATAGCTGGACCTACTATTAGTAACCTCATTTTTAGTATTGATTAATGTACTATACTGTAGTATACCGATATTGTTCTTCGTTTTCATTTATGCTCTTAGATAATGTTGTGACTAATAACAATTTTCTATCATGGATATTAATTGAGAAGATTATAATTACTGTGACGTTATAGACATAATTTAGTACCTTATTTGGCAGATTTATACATCCGTAAGTAAAATTTATTTTGGTGTTGTTATTGATTAAAGTGCCATTGTAGTGGCTTTTCGTTAGGGTTGTTTGGCGAAGGGTGTTTACAATATATATTTGGAGGCTGTCATGATAACAGGTTTAATTGTACTATCTCCATTAATCAATCAATAAAAGCTAATTTAAGGAGAATCATCAGGCTTCCTAAGTCAACCTTTTCTTGACAATCAGTATGAACGTGCCCGTTTATTAAAATAAATAAAAGACTTCCGCCAGGCACTCCAAAACTAGTGAATTTCACTCAAATTCTACAACATTGTCGACGTACCGTATTTCAGACTTACCACTTCATCCTATTTATACTAACCTTTTTAGCAACAATAAAATAGAAATGAATGTACTGTTGTGCAACATCCAACTTTAATTAACTACAAATTCATTCACTGTAAACCTTATTCTAGCTAAATAGCTCGAAAGGCAAAGATTCTCCCTCCATCTCCAAAATTAATCGCACAGTATTTGTTTTGAATCATTAAGTTATTACGATTTCCTTGCCTAGATTAAGCGTGACCAGAATAACACCGGCTCGTGATAATGGTACGCCATCTGTAGGTAAAAAGAAACCCAAAGGAAATCTAGACACCATATGTTGTCCAATCTTTTATTTTCCTATATACAATTTAGCGTGAATAATCGTAGACGGGATGGGTTTACCCATGCTTTGATAGGTTTATATCAAGGTCAATATTAAATTATGGGACTGTAAATATACGAATAGATAAAATGATTAACTTTCAATGTTATTATATTTAGTCGTCTGCTAATGCGTTTACCTAATTTAATAAAGGAAGGAAATAAGTCTCGATATAATATCTATCTATGTACTATATTGAGTGCTCGCTTTCCAGATGTGGTGCCTTTTCATTATAACAATAATTTAGTCATTGATTGAAATTTTTATAGATAAACATACGCGTATTCTACTGTAATATAAAAGCTAACTGCTGGAAGCAAGCTGTTCAGTTGTGATAATATAGACTAGTAGAGCATTAGAAAAAACTATCATTAGTTGCACTTACTGGTTACAGCTAATTGGTATCGGCTGTAGAAATGCAGAAATACTTAACGACCGCGATCATCTGCCTGATTATATTCTTCTCCAATGTAAGAAAATTCGATTCATGTATTTTAAAATAATTTTGGAAAAAGCATATTTAATTCAGAAACGATACCTAGGATATTATAGAGCTTTATAACATTGATATTGCAATTTAAAATTCTATTTTAAGATGGAATGATAATATTAATTAGAACTAGAACACTTAAAATCCGATTTATTCGCTTAAATTCGATCCTTAAAAGCAATGTAAACATTTAAATAGCCTGTAGGTAACAGGAAAGAAAATAGAGTGTACAATGATATATTAATAAATACCATTTCTAAATTTTGATACTTTTAGAACATTAAATAGTTACTTTAAATAAATGAGACAGTCGATTTTGAACAGTTTGGCGTATAATTTTGTAACTTAGCTCATCAGACTTGAATGGAGTCTATTTGTTCTAGTTAGGATCAATAACTCAAATTAGCAAATGAAATATTACAGAGAGCCGTTGTTTCGTACACTATCTTGCAATAAACACCTAAATACTTATTAGAAAATATCAAGTCCTGAATATCTGGAGCGTATACCGATTAAGAACTATTAACCTTTTATACTGAGATTAATAACTTATCATGGTATATAGTGGTTACAGTTCAGTGATACGTTATACCGATGTTTTTCCTGCAAGAAAAATTTTCAAATCAAATCAAGTGTGATAAATTCCGTTCAATTAGAGTCAAGTTTAACAGTTGCTCTTACAATCACCTGATTAGACTATTTTAATTTTCTATGCAATTTGCCAGCTGATGTTTAATAAAAGTGTAAAAATTATTGCTATGTACTGCAATATCAATTATACTCGTATCTCAATTTTTCGACATATTTACGAATCATTAGGGAACTTTTAGGGCAATGTTTTACCATAATTGTTTTAAAGTTCAATTTTTACTCGATAAATTGAATACAACAGCCTTCAGAAAAAAAAATTCGTGAACCATTAATTTATAAGTGATCGACCTTAAATTAAAAGTATTAAATATTCAATAAAACCTAGTTGTCAAATTCAGATACCTTACAATTATATTATAACTCTATGTCATTATACAAGGATTACAACATCGCAAATTGCAAAAGATCTTAATATCGGACTATTTGTTGCATTTGACTAAGCTTAGCGTCTATAAATGTCACAACGATGATTTTATTCTATATATTTTATTCGTATAATTCAGTACGATAAAAAAAGCGCAATCTGATGATATTTACTTGATCTTTAAATTTCGATTTATACTATTTTAGGTCGATGGTGCCGCACAACCTTTAAAAAGAAGTTGTGCTGATTTCTCAGCGAAAGGAACACCAGTCGTACGAAGAGTCATTTATGATGGCAATGATCAACCCTACAACGTCTTATGCGTATATCAAGGAGTTGATGTCTATACTATGATTGAGTCTTTTAATAAGACCAATTCATTAGATGCCAATATAGCCGCCAGTTTTTCTGTTGATAATCCCGTTAATCAAGATGTTGCCGATAATAAGGCATTCCCTATCGACTTATATCGATTATCTAAAGACCGTATGAAATATTTAGCAGATCGATCAACATTTATTTGGTCTTCTTGTGATGTTATAACAAATCCAAACAACACCTTTAATCCTCTATCAGTAGGTACTGATTATATTATCAGTTCTCTCAATGCTGATAGTCGAAAGCTACTCTTTGATACAGCATTTGTTCATAATGGTATTAATAATTGCATGACTGTTCGTGGTATGCTATTTGGAGAATACTTTGACGATAAATCAATACCATTTTACAGCAAATCAAATGTCCATTTCCATTCTAGCATCGACGAATCGACAGATTTGTGCGGCAAGCATAACTTCAATTTCATCACTAATCCAGTTGATTCGGCACAGTGTGGTGTTCGAGATTATCCACCTAATGCACCTGCATCAGTCAATGTCTTTGGTTCCTATAACAAATGCACATCGCAATTTGCTTGCGCTAAAAATGATAATTCTATTACCACATGGTGGCTTGGTGCACCTATGCCTGGAACCAGCTAAATAAATGATTATTGAATTAAATTATGACTTAAATGGAATAAAGTTGCTGCTAGACTTAAATTTGTCTTCATGAATGCCTATAAGAGCAACTATTTGCTGTTTAATGTCATAATATTAATAGCCTTGACGGTCATTTTATTAGAAGATATCGTTAAAACTAGTTGGTATCGTTGCGATGCCATAGTTAGATGATTTAATTTGATCTGACTAGTATTGGTAAATGATGTAGGAACTAGAATAATACTGTTATATTCTATTAGTTTTAATTATTCTGCTTCTATTAGTCTAGATTGTGCTTCTTTAAAAAACGATTAAATTATTATCATTTTCAACGAAAATCCATGCTATAAAGACCTATTCTAGCGTTTAGCTTTAGTTACTATTTATTTACTGATATTTATTATAGTAATTATCGTAACTTCTGAAGTAGAAAAATAAGACTATCATTTCAATTCATTCTACCCATTTAGATTATTTTATTTTATTAATAGCCATGGGTATAGCATAGCAATGACTTCTCAATAGACTCATGATATAGATTTCAATATCATCAACTTTAAAAGATACATAGTTAATTCAATCATCCCATAGTATTGATAAGAAAGCAATACTGTGCAAATGTGTGATTTACTACGTAAATAAAACTTTAAACCGTTAAAAAGGGCTTATAACTTCCAACGGGTTCGAATTTCTCAGCGTTCCATTAAATCGCTGTAGGCAACTAAACACGGCGGAAATATGGGCGTATACCTCAGATCCTGAGGAGATCTGATAACTATAATTAACTGAATATGATCCAATCTTATCATAAGTCCATGAGCGTGGGAAATTTGAGTTCTAGATATGATCGGCTTATTTCCTAATGCTAAGAACAAGATTCTTAAAATTTGAATTCTATCTAAATCTAAAGAACCACTTGTACCTTCTTCAGTTTCCTCAACTGCTTGCTGATGTATCCTAGACTACCTACGGTAATTCAATGCACTACGGTTCTGTAGCACATTGTCAAAATTTTTAAGAAATGTAGAAGATTGAGAAATAAGAACATAGAATTCCCTTTACTTTATTACTTTCGAGTGAAACAACATAATCTTGACACGTTGCAACCTAATAAGCTCCTCTACTATGATATAAATGCTATTGATGTAACTAGAAATTCGATTAGTTTCATTAAAGATATTAGAAAATGCTGTTACTGTATTTCTATATTTATATATACACAATATTGTATCCTCGATCTATATCGGTCAGCTTGCTCACGCCAATTGCATTTTATCAGCCAGTACTAAAATCAATATAGATTATAGAGTAGAAGCAAAAGGTCTAGCATTTCATCCGATTTTTTAATTAAGGTAGTTCCGTAATTCTATTCTCAAATTTTTTACGCTTCAATGATATTATTGAATCATATTCCGCTAATATTATTTATTGAGTAGAATATACTCTTACTCAACGAAACGCTAAAGGTGTATTAGAAGTAATTTTAGTGATATGATAGTAATAATTTATTTCAAACTTAGTCTGCTACTGAACAGCGTATAAAAACTAACTAAAAGCGATAGAAGAGGGATAAGTTACTAACTTATGGCAGAAAAAAGATGCACCATGATTAAACTAGTGTTGTTTCATATTTTATCCTCTCAAGTACCCAATGTTTAAGTTAAACTACTTATGTACATAGTTATATAACACTATCAGACTTGCCCAGTTTTAATAGCCTTTGCAACAGCTGCGTTTCAAACTTAATTTAAAGTAGGGCATATCCGGATACACCATAGAAGATTAGATCGGTATCTTGTTATATTTGCAATATAAAAGCTACTTCTTTCACATCTTAATTATGTTATGTAGCCGCATCTCTATGCCATGAATAATGAACAAGAAAACTAGGAAAAGTAGAAATTTAGAGCTGCTGCTATTTTAGACCCATAGAATACTTATTTAGCCATAGTATCAAATCAGTTGAGTCAAAGTAGAACGAAAAAGAAAAGGTCAAGAACAAACATCAATTTGATATAATTTACTTTGCAAGAACTCGCGTGATATAGCCAAAGCGGAGGTAGATTTTGAAGTTATAGGGAGTTCACGTGCATAATGAGAAGGCACTTTATATCATCAACCTATCTATAAATGATTCTGAAAGGATATAAACAACAGGCACAAAATCAAAAGTAATTCTAAAAATATTTGTCGTAATTGTGAATTAGAGAGAGCCATATACCAGGAACGGGATTAATGTTAGACTAAATAATACAAATCTATTCGCGTGACTTTATCATAGATAAAAGCAACGGATCAATGGTCTAGTTCTCGTGAGCTATATAGATAATTCTGATATGACAACAATTGTAAATTTTTTAACAGCGGAGTCACGATTATTCACGATCATTTCCTAATGAGATTTAATTAGGATATGGTGACTGATAATATTTTATAGAATTGAAAGGGGAAGACCAAACTAGTAATTAATGACTTAACATTCAAGGATAAGCCACTATCATCATCAACAATAAATTATGGTAATAGGTCACGCTTGTAATAACTGACTCTACGTTGACAGTACTTTAAATCTTCATTATTGGAATTAAACACATGGAACTGATAGTTAGGAGATAATAATCTCATAATGTAACATAATTTGCCCGGCTCCACCATACGCCCTAAATACAAACATAAGTAGTATTACTTCAGCTATAGTTCTAGATTGCCAAGATTAACCTAGTTCGGATTTAAGCCCAACCCATCTGACATTAAAAGTGTAGTTAGAGATTAATATTGGTCAACTTGATAAATTGCCATAGTATCGTACGGGAATATATCTAAGTCAGCAATGATTTAAAGGTAGAAGAGGATAAATTGTGAGCAAGACCGAAGTTCTATAATTCATCCAACCAAAGAGATACTACCATCTGTTGCCCATTACTAATTTTACGGGACGATGAATACATACCTGTCAGCATGTAAAATTAATAATTAAAACTACTCATCATGATGATTAAAAATTGAATTTTTTACAATTTTACTGAGTGCAATCTCATAATAAGGTTAATTTTGTAGGATGGATGATTAACCTGGAAGTGAACTAAAGTTTTTAAGATCATATTCTCATTGTTGTAGTTAAATTGGATTTAGGAATTAATTTCGCAGCTTTGTTGTAACACACCCAATATTCATTTTGAAGAAATTGATTATTTTTCTCATATTACTAAGATGAAGCCATAAGAAAAAGAGAATACAAAAAATCTTGTTAACAGATGTCATCAAGTCATTATTAATTGCTTGAGAAATGAAAGATAACATAAAACGTGCATATGTAAAGATCATATCCGGTTCAATAATTCAATTAGCTAAAATAAATGAGTAAACTATCTGGGCTAATAACCGGAATTGAAAAATAGCTGAAATCAGAGCAGTATTTTCCGGCCATAGCATGAGAAAAAATCAAAATTTACAAATACTAAACATGAAAAATTTCAGTTTCATTCAAATTATTAGCAAACATTTGCCTATTCATGCTATTCTTTGAATTTTTGTGATTGGTTGATCATTTTTACATATTGTGGCTTTCGCTTTGGTATTCTTAAGAGTTAACTTTGAATTCGTATTAGGATTATAACACTTCGAATAAAACGTATGAATTAGCTACTGTTAATAATTTTTTGGTTTTTATTCGGTTTATCGTAACTTTAATCCATCATGCCCCCCCCCTAATACTGATACTGTAGTAACGATAAGGAAACCCGTATGTAGTATAACATTAAATAAATTCTAAGTTAAGTTTGTAAATTGATGAAATTTTGTGTTAGTCAAGACTCTGGCATTTTAAAGCTTTCTATCTCATAACTTTTACATATTTAATCAAAATTGTATTTACTTCAAAATTGATTAGCTATTAAGAATCAATCGTGGTAGATAAACTCTCGTTATTAAACATAAATGGCATATGGAAATTAGCTGTTACATAACTCTACAAGTTTTGTACTGATACTATTTTACCAAGGTTCTAGGCCATACTGAACTATAGTTTACGCTTGTATGATAATAGTTAAGAGAAGAATTTGCTAGTTCCGTAAGAATTATTTACAGAGGTGATATACTACACACCATTTCCATCAGCTACACTTACGTGCATAGCAGCAAATACTTAGATATGCTAGCATATCCATTTGCAGATAAAAGACATTAAACTAACACTCCAATTATCTTAGGAACCCAATAAATTAATTTTACTTATAACATACTACTTCTAAATCGTCAGCGAATAAAATAATACAAAATAGTCTCCGTTTACTATCAGATTGCTTCTATCTCATAATTAATTGCCATTCAATTTCGTTTATGACTTTTCTACCCATCGTTGTTACGTTGTTCAGTAGGGTATCAGATATGTTATAAGATACATTGCTATGCATGCTAATAACCCATACAAAAAAGCTAGAATGAAATTCATGTTGACGAAATTAGATAAAAAACAAGCTATTACTATTTATTTTATAAATTTTATCGTTAAAGTAATTAAAGACAATTAAATTATAGCTTTTAGATATCGACAGCCAGAACTTGAGGCACAAGTAAATTATTTGGATGCACTGTTGCTTAACATTAGCCAATATCTACCTCTGTAATCTTTATTGCAAGTCATCTTATGTATAAGCGAATGTATGCTCAAAATAGAAATTTCACTGATCTTGATACCATCAATAAAATTCCTGTTCTGAGCGATATTTTTAAATTTAAACCAGATCAATCATTAAGCTCTCCATGTCTATACTGAACTATAAGAAGTGGCAAAGGCTTCGATAGAGAATTTCTTAAATAAGGTGAATTAACTAGCTGTACTAGTTCTTTCATAACTATTGCTCACCAAAAATATTACTTAATCCTGATTTGAGTATTTGCAATACCTCCAGATAGAGCAATGGATATCTTCTTGTTTACACGACTACTTTAAAATGCAGTCAAAAAGTTTATGAGAAAAATAATTAAATTTTGGCTTCTATGTTACAAATTTGATCCTATAATGAATTCTAAGTGAAATTCTTACTCAATTAAATTATCATTGATAAAATTCAAATAGCACTAACAGGATTACTGTAGTTTAATTAAAGCGGCTTCTGCTAGATTATATACAACGATAATGATGTAATTCTTTTCAATTCCAATCAATTATTAGCATCTGCAACATCTAAGTAAATTCAAATAACCTGGTTACTTTGAAATAATTTTATGAATATTAATACTTTCACGGCAGTTAAGCAAGCATATTCCTCATATAGCTAGCAATAAATGAAATGATTTGCATCAACGTTTCTCATTTACTTTAAGGCCACAATTAAATGTAAAAATCATCGGCCAAAGCTGTTGACCATGTTAATCTGCATTTGTTTCATGAAAAGATAATTTTTATCAAATACTGTACCATCTGTATCTCTAAGCTTTCAGCAAATATTTGTTTTGCAACACATCTTTATCTTGAAATTATCTCGACGTTGGCTTCAAAAATAATATCATAGAATGGCTTCAAGTATAGCTGAGAAGTTAGCTTACAGCATTTCTAATGCTTTTTCTATAGGAAAATAGCTGAAGTCATTTATAGTAAAATCCCTTGTAAATGTCAAAATTATTCAAATAAGGATAAGAACTTCACCTGGATCTATCAAATCCAGACTTATTTCGCTTGTAGGCTAAGGAAATCCAATAGATATTTTTGATATTTACAAGCTAATGAATAGACCTTAATTGATCTACCTTTAAGGAGAAGTACAACTAAAGAATTATGGGTATCTATTCGTATAGATAATTATATGATTATAAATATTTGCTAATAATTATAGCAAATGTCAATGATACAAATCTGATTGAGCCTGTTTAGTTGGATGTTATAAGGATAAATCAATGCAACACCTGCGCAAACTAGATTCACATACAACAATTCAGCTCTCCAGCTGTTACTCTAATTCTAACAGAGAGTTTATTATAGAAATTATCTACTGCAAATTTAATAAAGTAATCAAGTTTAATGTACTACTGCCAATTTTATTGTTGGATGTATTCTAAAATTCTTAGAATTGTTGATTATTTCATTTTTATGATTGTTTCTCATTCATACATCTCAGTGAGAGGAAATAAGATAATACTCGAAAATAGATAAGACTAAGTAGGAGTTTAAGGAAGGGAATGTTTGCTATTCATCCAAGGATCGACTGAGCTCACTCTCGTCAACACATTGTCTGGATTTTGGATACTAAATACTCAGTCTGATCGGATTTGTTAGTTTTACTGATGGTTCAAGTTTCCACCTGTAACAATTATTGCTTCCAGCTCTATTCTAAAATCAAATTATAACATAAAAGATTCTGCTTATTCATGGCAAAAAAACGCCTTACTATCATTATAGTTTAATAAATATTAAACGTACAAAAAGATAGAATAGGTATTAGCTCGTTAAAGAAACTCTTTACTAAGAATTAGCCTGTTAGCTACCGTATAAGAATTATGATGATCTCAATATTAAATTTAGTGCTTAAAAGATTATCGGTCTTAGATTATTAAGTCTATTTCATGCACATATTACGAATATAATCTAGCTCCAAATTCTCCTGAGACAGCTTAGTAACAAAATTAAACAATGCGTTAGATATACGTAAAAATTTATATAGTATATGTACCTACCGCATATTTACTTGTTAATCTATTTAGTTTAAAAATTAATTGCCTTTATGCAATCATGTATCCACTTGTATCCTGTCATTGTGAAATAATGATGACCTAAATTGAATTATACTGCGGATTAGCTAATAAATCAATGACATTAATGTCTTATTTATTTATTTAAATCGATAATCCATTTCCTCTTGCATATAAATTGACTCTTTAAATTGGAATTAATTGCACAAATTTATGAAAAAAGCAATCAGTTTATGGAAAAAATTTGTAAGCGACATTAAATGGACTCCTCTATATCTGATGCAATGTAATCAGTACCGATTGAATAGGCTAGATAAATAACGTAACTAAAATAGATCGAGATTTTATTTATTTACAGTATATTAGGATATTTTTTGATCTCGTCACGCTAGACAATGTTAATAATAAATGAAATTGTAATTGTCAACATAAGGCCAGGGTTAGATGTCATGATAATGTTGGACGATATCATTCATTATGGATTGTGTTTAATTTGTATAGAGTTCGAAATTACTACAAAAGTGCAATCCAACCTCTTTTTAAATTATTTCTGCAGCACAAATTACCAGTAAAGTATCATTAGAATTTTGATTTGAGGTATCATCAATCCATTGATTCCTTGTACATAAATTCTCAACTATCCATCAACTTACCTGAAATCTTATTCCAAGAATTTGAATCTAACATGATCAAATTAGCTACTAACATCTTCTTGACTCTTTTCTTATGCAGTGTAAGTTTATTATTACAATTTTTTTATCCTTGATTTCAATTCTCGATCATTAACTATGCTAATCCATTACTTTTCAGCTATCCTTTGAGATATCTTGTAGTAGATCTCAATCATTGATAACGTATCGTTCTTTTAGTACAATTTTTCACTTGAAATCTTTTATCACTCGTGTAATTTAAACAGTGGATGAAAATACTGTAATTTAGAACTTTTAATTTGTTCCCATAGAAAAAGATTGCTAGCGAATAGAATCAAACTGCTTTGCAATATAGATCTAATGCAAAATATTTCAACTACTGACAGATTTTAATCAGCGTATATTTTTACCGATATTTCTACTTATATGCGTATACTTCCATTACCTTACACAGGAAATAGCTTGGGCACTAAAGTCCCGCGGTTGATCTCTTTTTAAGCAACATTTTTTTAATAGATATTACTACATAGTATTTGAATAAATTAGATAATTTTTTCCTTTATTAGCTAGTATAAATATTACTGTCGGAATATCTATAGTCAAAACAAGGTTAAACCTGACTTGTTTGCTATTTTTATTAAACCAAGACGATGGAAAGGATATTAGCATATATTATTAATTAAAAATTGTAATTGAATAAAGGAATCTCTAAGGTTTAGCACATAATATTGCTATCAGATTGGTTACGATAGCATTTGTTAAGTATTACTAATTTAGTGAATATCTGCTAGTAGCATCAAAAGACTAGCATTTACTCTATACTAAATTCAAAATTTTATTAATATTTTATGTGAACTATTTTTACGACCACCAACATTCGCTTTAATTATGCTTACCATTATGACTTTTTAGTGTGTTAACGCTGCAACTTTTAAAGCCAGATCCTGCGTTGATTTCCCCCAAGCAGGAAGCAAAGTTGCTCAGAAGACAGTCTATGATGTTAACGATCAGCCATATAACGTCTTGTGCTATTACGATGGACTGGATATCTATACTTTAATTGAATCATTCAATAAGACCAATTCACTTCATTCTAAAATTGCAGCCAGCTTTGCAATTGACACAGCTGTTAACGAAGATACGTCTTCATCTGTATTTCCTCTTGATTTATATCGTTTATCCAAAGCCCGTATGGAATATCTTGCTTCGAAATCGACGATGTTCATGTCTTCTTGCAATGTAGTTATTAATCCAAATCAATTCCAATCATCGTCGGTTGGCCATGACTATATCAAGGGCACCCTTGATCAAAATAGTAAACGTTTATTTTTCGAAAGTGCTTGGCTAACATTAGCTTCCGACAATTGCTTAAGCGTTAGCGGAAACGTCTTTGGAGCTTCTTTTAGCGCTAAATCAATTCCAGTATTTAGTCGTAATGATATCCATTTGCATATGAGCGTTGATGAAAGCAAATCATACTGTGATAAGCATGATCTACTCCTCGTGTCAGAACCAGCTAAAGTAACAGCATGTGGAGTAAGCGATTATCCACCTGGAGCACCAGCAACAGCTAATCTATTTGGTAGCTATAATAAATGTACAAAAGATTTCTCTTGTTCTGGCGCGGATGGATCGATTACCAGTTGGTGGTTAGGCAGTACTGCCCCACCTATTTATTAATCCAATTACTTTACATCAGCCCAGCTTTAGCTCCTTCTTATGTACACCGTTATATGGGCTTGTAAATCAATCTTTCAATTTTAGTTTTTAGATTATCAATAGTACTCGTATATTAGATTCTGTTGTAAATCAAAGCTCCAAAGCATAACATTAATAATTTAATGGATAACCGATACAAATAAGCTCAATAAGTATTAAAGTCCTTCGTTGTCATCAATGTCAGCTCTAGCCAATGCTATAGCAGAACTAATTTGGTAAATTCTGATTGAAATAGATTAGTTTCAAGTAAATAGAGAGAAGTCATTCTTTAGTTCTGATTATCCACAAATTCGATAAACATAAGCCATTTAGATATAAACAGTAGTAACAGTTGCTGGAAGTAGATCATCTTTCATAGACATCTATTCCGTAGAGCTCCATAGCAGGTCTAATTTGATAATTTATTGAAAATTAGTTGAAATACATGAATTCATAAAATACTATAACTCTTTGTGAAAAGATGCCTTAATTAATAGAGCATACGTAGATATCAATTATAATGAGCTTTATAGTAAGTCAGTTATAGTCATTCTGATCCATCATAAATGATTTCAAATAAATAGATCAATTGCTATTAGCTCTGTTCATCGATAAAATTTAGTATTTGGTGGCTATTTCGATACGTACAAAGGTAAATTATAATATTATCTGTCATAGATAGCAAACCTATAGGACTGCTAGCATATTTAACTCCTGCGTAGTGATGTAAGAAAACTATATGGTAGATTCTATAATTATTCCGCTATATTACTAATATCTACATCGATCGATTTTCCTATGTAATTCGAGAATCATTTATCCAATAAATTAACTCCAGCTACGCAACCATGCAATTATGTCTATTCTCTCTATGATAATATCAAAACTAAGCTAATCCGTGCAATAAGATATTTATTCAAACGAGCCATATAGAAAAAATATCAAGATGGCGATTTTAAAATTGTAGAATTGACGGACTAATTGGCGGCATTGTCAACGATTTATTTTTCATACATCTTTTTAATATTTTAATCCCGAGTTTGCGAGAGCAGTATAAACCAAGTAGTGCAATGCTCCTTGAGTTGTGTAGATTAGTACACTGCAATCGGATATATTTCATTTTCGTTCTTGAAAATCTATTTGCGTAGTTTGATTAATATATCAAGTTTTCGTTAATTTTGGAGTGGGAAGGCATCCTATTAAGCATTGTTCCTATTGTAAAAGATTAATTATAGTATGCAATATGCAGTATTGCAATATCCTATTCAGTAAAAGGATGCTCAAGATGGAAGATGGAAATTTAAGCTTTAATTTACGTTTAATAATATTTATTTCGATGTCAAGTTCGATCAATTGGATGTTGAGATAGTTATTGGTCGTGAGTATCAATCTATTAAAATGAAACGGACAAGAAGACCGAATCCACGTACAGTATACGAAACAGAGAGTATGCTGAGTTTTAATAAGTTATGCTGCTAATTTATATTCAAAATTGTGATAGACCGACATAGATGGATTAACAACACGAGCAACAGCAACATCTTGTAGAATAATCTACTAGTTCATACTGTAATACTGTATGTTCTCATAATAAATATAATTAGAATTAATGGTAATCTATACGTTAAGTATTACAGGCATCCATGAATTATACAGGTATGCTGCAAAAGTGCTTATACAGTAAAGTATAGCAGTCGTAATATATTTCATTTTAGATAACTTATCCAGGAATGTACTGATGATGATTTATCTAGGATGCCTTACATGTTTTTGATAGATAACAGAGTACTTGTCCATTATTAATATCTGTGTACTAATGCTGTAATTAATTTGTGTTTATATCGATTTACTTTAAATTGGTCCATTTTTTTTCAATCCAGTTTGGTTTCCGTTATGTCTAGCAATATAGATATAGCAATATATTGCAGCCTCTTGATGCTAGGGGAGATCGTCGGTATTTAGAGTAATCAATAATAGGAATATACTGTACGCCAGTGTTCTTAAAAGTCAACCGGAAGCCCGACTCGAACCCGATTCGAGGGTAGGATTCGGGTTAAAAATTTCTGTGATGATACAGTGTTTGTATAGCGATTTTTTTCATTTCGGGTTGGAAAATCAACAATTTGATTGGGGTTTAGGTTGCATTTTCACTCCATTAAAGGACTCTACAGTACGCGTATATCTAAATTTTATAATTGAATAATTTAGAATCGTGCCATCGGTCGATGTCGAAGATCGGCCTAGCAGTAAGCCTGCAGTGTCTCATTTGATCACTGTAGTTATAATTTTCCTTCTTACAAATTTTCGGCTTGTAGTAAGATAATATAGAGATAGCATATCTATAGAACGAGAACAAGTAACATTGTCGATTAAATTCTTTCAACTGTAGAGCAAAATGATTTCAAAGTAGTAGGATGATAGACAATGCGTGTTCAAATGCATCTAAAATGGCGATTTTCTCGCCAATTGCGAGATATTGGCAGGGAAATACTCCGCATTAAAGCGGTCTATCTCTACTAATAGAAGTTGTATAAGAAAAGTAATGCTAATTCTTCTTATTAGGCACTTTCAATGAGCCTAAAACCCCAAATTTACGACCAAATTATTCAACTATTGCTCAAAGAAAATCAATATTTGCATGGAGGAAATGATTTTTCCAATCACCCAAAGTGGAATCTGCCTGGCCTGGCAATTTTGTCAAAATCCTTGTCATCGATGCGCACTGTATTCCATACTATACCCCGTATCACTTTTAGCCATTTGGTACCTTATCCTTGTTTAGACTGACGTCGCACCTGGGTACTACTGGTACCGATCATCGGCATTGACCATAGAGAATTCCCAACTGCAGCTTAGCTCCATACTGTACATTGATGACTTAACTAGCGCATAAGTATCATTCGTCCCCAACGTCTCTTGTAGCCTTTACCTGAGCGATCCTACAGTACGTACTGTAGTCGGTAGACTATAACACAGTATCTTGTACTGTACGGTTTGTACCGTACCGTACAGTACGGCAATGGACTGTTACCGTACCGTACAGGACCAGATCAAGATTTCAAAAATTTGCAAATGCCCATCATGGCGGCAAGCCTAATGTGATCTTGCCCAACAAATCAATTCAACCCTAAGAATCGACAGTAATGCCTGTTTTACGTTCTTAACTTTGTAAATTGAGTGGAAAACTGGACGAAATAAGCATAATGGAAAGTAGAACTGCTCAGGAAGATTTTCCAACTTCTTGTATTCGCATCAATGGCAGACCTATTTTGCCAGTCAGGGTAAGTTCCACTTCAGGTACTGTTTACACTTTGCAATTGATTCGATCCTACCTTAAACCTGATCCAAGAAGACCAGCAGACCTGATTCTGGACGAGTCCTGTGTCGTATTTTGCCTACCAATTGCCCTAATAGTACTCATGGATATAATTGCGGTAGAATCATTCAATCAAATCGTGCCGTCGTAATCCTCCATTAGCTGACGTCAGTTTTATGACTACCCATCCATTGGAACTGATCGTCGAGATGATTACTGGTATACCAGTGATGATCATGATAGACTAAATACTAGTAGGATAGGCAAGGCCTATCATGTTTCTATACACAACAACATCGACAAGAGTAAGGAATGAAATTTTTAAGCTTGATTCACAGTTAGGAAATTAGAATGCAGTTATTGTAGTGTAGCTTCACGCAAGTCTCAAATACCTTTATCAATCTGCCAGTTTGCATAATAAAATCCCAATAGACTCAACCCGAGAGAATTGGTAAGGTAAAATAGTCATCGTCGATTGGCAGCAAGAAGGGCTAATAGAGAGATATAGCAAATTATAAAAATTGACTATAGTATGGCTGCTTAAACTTGTAATATCGCATAGACGAATCAAAGATTAATACAAGAATTGCATCAACTAAATTCTCTACCGTGATTGATTGATTATAATGCATAATATTTATATTCGTATTACTCGTGTTTACTTTTCCGATGGTTTGAAATGGTTAGTCTTCATTCGATCAGGAGGTTAAGGAAGTGCACTACCTCAAAATAGATAAATAAATCTTTGTTACGAATTATTGAAAAATTTGAAATACCTGCTAAAATGTCTAGTAGTCCTTGAATAATTTTGATCTTAGTATAGTTACGTATAGCGATAACTCCTTGTATGGATGATTAATCAATCGGTGTACAGTAAAAGGGACTGTGATTCTTAATTCAAACAACCATGTTGCTTTAGGACTTGGGATGTGCTTGGTATTTGATCCTAAACGTAGAAATTTTGTATAAATTTGATTAAAGTGCGGGTAGTTTACCTCTGCAGTGTGATTGAAATTAACATCCCAATTTCGATTCTGCTTCGTATTCCTTAATAAAACATTAATTTAATCCAAATCATGCACAGGTCGATGATAATTATAAGAATGAAATTGCTAAATATAAAGCCATGGCGATTGCTCGGCAAAAGAAACTTGAGGATGCCAAGAAAGCAAAGCATAAACAATTACTTCAGGATATAGACATGAAAATGAAAGTGTTAGAGGTATGACATCTTACCAAATTGATCATTAATCTTATGACCGAATCTTTCTCATTCCTGTTTCCACTGCTCCATAGGAGAAAAAAAGAAATCGTCAAAAGTTAGAGCAAGTATCTGAATCGAATCCAAAACAACCTTCTGAACAAGATTCGGCAGTACTCAGCATAAACAACGTTAACCACGTCAGCGCTGATCATAGCAGAAAAAGTAATAACGACAAAAAATCGGAAACTTATCTCGAAGAATTTCCATTAGAGACTAACACTAGTTCAAGTAACATTGAAAATGATAACAGCTTCAGAATATCTGAAAAGGATAATGCAACACCCAAAAAAGAGGAACATTTAGCTAGTAACGATACAGAATTAAACGAGACAAACGCTGATTCTAGTAGCGATACCGGACTAGTTGAGGATTTAATTAAAGAGTTTAGTCAGCATTCATTACAAACACCACAACCAAGCGATCAGGAAGAAGCTATCAAGGATGAAATCCTATCTGTAAAGAACCTTGGTAGTCATCACACTCGCGCTCCTGAAACAGGTGATAGTACATCTTTGAAAATGCCAACTGTTGATAATTTCCAATTTACCAGTCTAAGAAACTACAGTCCGCCAAATAAAGATATTTACCATTCACCGACACAAGAGGACAATAACGAAAGCGTAGCATCGTCAGGTAGACACGTATACTGTGCTAAGATTATATTTTGAAAAAGATTGCATTGTCTGACCGATAAAATACAACAGTTGTCAAGGGAAAGTATACGGAAACTTTTAACATGTGTTATAAATTACTGTAGACGATTCTACAGTGTTACAGGCATTTAGTGAAGATCGACCACCTAGCAGACGTCGATTAAATATGGATCAAGTTGTTGAACCTATTGAAAATCCTCAGAGTGTGGATGATGTCGATGATGCTAAAATTCGGTCGTCATATGAAATTAAAAGGGCCTCTCCCAGTCGCATTGTAATTGCCAGACCTCAATACATATTTGACGATAGTATGGATCCATTCGATACTGATGATAGCATTGAGACCGTGCCAATGAGAAATGATTTTTCATCCGAAACGATTAGTAAAGAGCAAATTGCTCCAATACGGGCTTGGATGGAACTTCATGATATCAACGTAAGAGATTAGTTTTCTTCGTATGTAGATATTTGCGTATGTAAGAGAGATTACTGAATCGTTGAATACTTGTAGATTATGTCTACAAACTAAAGTGTGAAGACGCGGATAATGATTTACGTGTTAATATTTTATTGGTTGTCAGCGTAATCTGAATAATTTTCTCTCGCAGTTTGATAAGGTATCAGCTATAGCGAAGGGATTCTTGACACGTTTATTGATTCGAACGGAAAGAGTGCAAGCTATCATTCAAACCATTAAGGTAACTCTATTACAGCATATAACAGACCTTACCTGAATATAGTATTGCTCCACTAAGTCCTTTATATTAATGTAGGATTCGAACCTCGTCTTGCATAGCTTAAAAGATGACGTAGGCAATACGCGTTCATCTATTCGAGACTTTACATTCAGGGAGCGAATCCTTTCGCAAGTACTATATTATAATTCTATACAAGCATAGATTCTTACAACGTAACGGCAGTTGAGATGACTGCTTCTCTCATTCTGTGGATTTTTTAGCTTAAAGCCGCTCGGTATTCACTAAATGATATCTTTATATCGGCTCCTTCGCACGTACGGATGAACATAATTGCAAATGATAGATTAACCAAGGTTGGTTTTGATCTGTATTATGACAACGTGGATGTTGTAATTTTAACATTTAATAAATTATTCGCAGGAGATTTGCTAATGATTACAATAGTTTCGCTATTTATTTGATATTCTTACTGCAAACGGGAAAATTGCTAGTATTAAAGTTAGTAAATGTAATCAGTAAGGCTCTAAACGCTGTTAAACTCGTTTCAACAGAATTCTCGACAGTCGTCAGCGAAGAGTAAGCCATTGGGTCTAAGTCGAGCAACGCGAATATCTCTTAACAGACGTCTGAAGTCTGCGTATCCTGAACTTTATCTTGATACAACTTTTAGAACGTGTACACAAGTTCCACTGCTCACGCTATCAAGTCAAACTTTGCAGAACTTATAAATTCATTAGATCTGCTATACACGTATACATGTATTATACCAATGCTGCTCATTTCACATACGTAGATTTAATCAATTCTTCCTTGACTGCATAAGCAACAGTAGCAATAAAACAACTGAAAGTTCTAAGAAAGAAAAATCAAAAATTTTAACGAGGTTAGAAAAGTAGGCTTTTATCTATTTTCACACACGTTTTATCCTACTTACCATTAGACTGCTTTATCAGTCGTATATTCACTTGTTTACAACAAAATGTGTATGGGTTTCTTTCTGTCTTCTTATGTATAGTTTTACTATTCAGTTTATTCAAAATCTTTATGTCAATCATTGTATTCTCCCTTAATGACTTTCTTGTAACCGAAATAGTTTTCCTCAGCCTGAGCAAAGTGTTCAATCGCCTTATCTTCGTGGTAATAAAAGGTGAGTGAATTTGTGGCACACTTTGAAAAATTAAAAACTACGAGCCTGCTGTGTTGATTACTTTACACTATTTGATCTATATCGCTTTGTGTATAAAAATGAGCACTCTGTAGATTTGTCTTTATGACATCATTTTGTTAAGTACTTATCAATCCGCAATAATCTATTCCTTTGCTATGGTCATGTTACTATTAGAATTTTTGGCTCTAGTAACACTCCAAATGTAGCTCGTGCATCGCAACATAATCGATCCCCTACTGTAATATTAGATTTAGGGTATGTTCCATGAAATGTTTGAATTATTTAGGTTATTTCATTCAATTGTTTATTGCAATATCTTTTATGCTGATTTTCTACGTTATCTTTGCCTTCTATAAAACTTAGACATAAACGTCATTTAGAATCGGATCCTGTACAATTAAAGAAATCTCGTCCTGCGTCGGCCATCATAGAGCGTGGATACAACAAAAAGAGTGTTGCTGACCGTGTTACTCTAAGTAGTGAATTTTTAAGGCGAAATAAACTCGATCAGTCACCAAAGACTGTTTCACCCTATTCAAGAAAAAAAGGCACGCCGAAGAACTTAAATTCTAAATTTCCTAAAAAGACTAATTATGGCGGAGCTATACCACTGGCGCGAAATATTTCCAAGAAGATCTAAGAATAGTTTTAATTTATTAAGCATTCATTTTGTAACGCTAATTAATCGACCTGTTTATTTATAACATGACCCCTTAGTAATTCTTATTGCTAATTATTTTGCTACCAGTCTTTAGGTACTCATGAGAGATACATATAGCTATTATATGACACAAAGTATGCTTAGTTGCGAAAAATCCCTATCTTTGAGTTGCGTTTACTGTAATTGTACATATTTAAATATTATCCAATTTTTTACTCGTCAAAATTTATTCATTGATACATACAGAAAAGTGATTTTCACTGCCAGAGTCATCCTTCTAATTAAATGCTAGGCTATCTGTATGTTTAAATAGCCATATTGCTCAACCATTTTATATTTGTATTTGCAATCTTTGTACATATACACACATAAATTTATATATTTCGAAATCCTTTGCCATCGTTGTTTGGTAATCTGTTACCAATGACTAATCTCACATTTGAATATTGTAATGCGAATCTAACTGTTGTGGAATGCGTTTCTTATTATTAGAGAAGTGATGTCGCATAATTAGTATGCTACTGTACGTTGCAAATAAAGTTTATTTCAACTTGATACATTCGTTTGATTTGACCAACAAGTCATGGATGCGTGCCTATATCGTAATTTTATTATACTGGTATACGTTACTTGCAAAAGAAATTAAATATGTGTCGGTAAATAGGAAAATATCTAGTGCTGACTATTACAAAGTTCCTATAGATATAATAGTACAAGTTCTATGATGATTGAAAGCGTTATGATCCGCATGCTATCGCATTAAACTACTGTTACCCTAACAAATATTTTATCAAGATTTATGTTATAGTCTGCATTTTAACTATGGATTAGCGGCAAAAGTCTTGCTTGGTTTAATTAATTACGTATTTATATAAAATCATTGCCCAAAGAAATTAATTCGCCAAAACCTTTAATGTACGTACATTAATCCGTCCAAAAACTCATTTCTGTACCTCCTTCGATATATTTTAGATTTAAATGTGTCAGAAATTAGAATAAGTGTTCATTAATTTATTCCGGTATCTTACTTTCAAACTAGTATTTAAATGAACTGATTTGAGGATCAGCTGATTTCCTTCTACCACTGTAAACAAGCAATTTATTCTATTTAATTTCGGTGCATTGTTCGTTATATTATTTCCGTATAGAAATTGACTATTAACCATAATGATGCTAATTAAAAGACATCAATTGATGATTAATAACATTATAATCTGCTTTGAGTAATAGTAAATTAAATCGACAAAAAATTGAAGTAAAGTATTTTCTGATTGAGTTCTATCATAACTTGAAAGAGCTAAGCAATACCGACAGTATTAATAGTGAGCATTATAACGTCTTTTTAGCGCTTCATGACATCACATTCTATCTTAAGTAAAGACTGGTAGTCAATTGGATCGATAAATTATTCAAGCCAATTAATAAACTGGCCAGGGCTTATTTCTGGATAGACTTTGCAATTAATTTCAATTTTGCCTATTGCGAGATATGCTGTACATCGATGATTCATCACATTACTATCTGCCTTGCATAATAGTTAACTACAAAATGATAAATTAGACGTTGGAATATCGGAGTAAACAGATGAACAAACTAAATTCCATTGTTACTCAATAGCGGATTGCTTCATGCAAGTCTCAATAGTGTTTTATTCATCATACCTCTATGTATCAGTGATCCATGATATTTTAATCTGCCTTTAAGACTAGTTAATTCGACCGATAAATTCTTCAAGTCAATAGATTGAATCCTATTATTACTCAATAGAGCCATTCTGTTAGTTTAATAGCACTTCTAATACCTACATGATATTTTATCATATTCAAGTTTACCTTGAATATCATCCTTAAAAGCATATAGAAACAAATGTCAACCCACCAGAACGGACTATCGAATAATCAAGCCTATATTATCTTAAAGGTAAAAATCGATTCCTTTTATCATGATTAGTCCTGAATCAAAAGCATTAAATTATTGATATATTGTATAGTCTATATTCATTTTAAATAGAACATTTTTACTAAATCATTGAAAGTATTTCGCGCGTAAGCGATCTACCGAGACATGGTAGTATTTTAATTGACAATCTTTTATTTTTTTCTATTTTTATTCATTAATACACTAATGCAGACAGTGGATTATTATTTATTTGGCCATTTCCTCTTGGCGTGGGATACAGCCTACATGACAACATCATTCCGCAGATGGTTTACAAACTAGCAACGATGCCACACATATTGTAATGGCTTTGTCATTTTATTGTTATTCTGTTAAAATAAAATTACAAGTGGAGAGACGAAGACAATAGTCGATGGCTGTACAACTAGACGACTCTTGATTTGTATTGTATTTTATCATCAAAAGAAAACATAAAGATTATTTATTATCAAGTTAAATTAAGAATGATAGTATTAAATGTAAATTATTCAATACATTAGCGGAACAATATAAATTATTGCTTCATTTGATGTTGACAACTTTACTCATTATTTTGCCATTTTTAATTATCGCTATAGCGTCATCTAGCTATACGTAATATCGGCCTAATCTCTCGTATAACTGGATAAACACCAATCTATTTAGTATTACTTTTATTAAGTAGAAAGAAAAGTAGCGTCTTATATCGCAAGATATATATATACAATGCTAGCGTGTTGTTTTGCCTTGTAATGCGCACGATGAAATACGCTAAATAACGCGAGGATGGCTAAGAATAACTGATAATGAATTAGATCATGGAAGGCCAAAATGAACCCATGAATAAACTAATATTAATCATTGTCGATCGATAGGATACATCAAATCTTCCTGTCCATAGGTGTTATCATGGCTTTACAGAATAGTTGTAATCATAAGCGAATATGTAAAGTAATTAACGCGATGGATCAGCGAGGTTATTATTCATTGTAAAATAGACTACAAGATGTAATTCAGATGGAAAGAAAGAAGTAAATTACGGTACTCTACTTTTAATATAAGTATAGAATGTATTTGCGGCTAAAAGGAGCATGTTGTCAATCATTCTACATCATCCAATTGTAGATTAATATCAAACTGTAGACCAATGCGGAGCAAGGATGTAGAGTTAAATCTCACAGTAGGAAGTTCCTAAAACTTTACGGTATCTATACGAGACGATATCTGTCGTAGAGCTTAGTACCTTTCCTATTGCTATAATATATGAATAATAATCATGATCATAGTCATGACTTCTTGATATGATGACCTGATAAGAAAATTTTCTTTTGAATGATTATTAAGTTAATTAGGTATAATTAATAATACAGCATCACCAGATCTTATTTTACAGAAATAATGTCGCCACTCAAATTACCCCTACATATTCATTTCATTTTAAAATTGGAACTGCAGATACCGTCGGCAATAATCTGCATTCGTATTGGATCAAAATTACTATTTTCTGCCATTAGAAAGGATATGGTACCCTTTTATAGCTTGTTATCGGACGAACTGCCAATGAATTTGTTCGTAGTCTTTACAAGTTAACAATGTTCCGGGGCTTTCTTGCTATTGAGTACACAAGCTAAAAGGGTCTAAATACACATACAAACCGCATACTTTAAAATAAATACTAACGAGCAAGATATTAATCCATCAATTGGAACGAGCGTATTTGAGAAGGACATAGATCTTCTAAAATCAAAGTTGTAGTCCAACATGAATACTCCTAGCTCCTAATAAGAGTCAGTTTGATAAAAGCGAATTTTATGTCTCCAAGGCTATGACACCGTGTTTATAAGCGTCAATAAGCTATTTTCTACGGTTGATAAAATAAGGTCTGAATTTCAACCGAAGCTAACAAGAATCAATAATTGTAAGTAAACACTGAGGTCGTTGCCTATTTGCATATTCTATAGACTATTTTGCTTTGCTACGTTGAAATTGTTGATCCATTTGTATCATTCATATAGGCCTATCAGTACTTATTTTAACCTTTTTTATCCCATCTAATCCTCCCTAGATCATTTTTCTACGTCTAGGAAGAAAGATTTCCTTTCATGAGGATTACTAATCTTATCTAGTCACGGAATTAGTATACCATCATCTCGATTGCACTTCGACATCTATGGCGGACTGGACAACCAGACAAGGAGAAGAAGCCTATGTTGCATAAACTCTTAGCGTGTTTCTCCGTCTATAGAACACCAGGGAGGATATTATACTAAAACTAAAATGCATCGGTGTCTACTCGAGTAATTCTCTATACCAAACACTTGCATACAATATCCTGATTGTGCTGTAAAGTAATCATTTCCGTCCATGCCGAATTGCCGCGATGTCCGACTATCACGATACAATTTGCTATCCTTTGCATTGATACACTCGACACTTTACTACTGTGATTTCCTGGAACTTTGAGGCGGAGACAAAAAGTAATTAATATTCAACAGTGATCACTGCATCCAAGCCAAATACAACACATGAATAATACATTAGAACTAAAGGCTTGTTATTTTTTCATCGATTGATCAAGACTAACGATACAATCTAGTTGGAAGCTAGTGTGATCTATTCTCCTATCGAATCCATTATCGACTTAGAGCCATCGTCCATGATGCAATAATATGGTGGTAGTGATGTTTTGGTTATCGCCATCGAGGAAATAATTAATCGATTTAGATTAGATGTTGATTGTTTAGTTAACAAGGAAACGCTAAATTTCAACTGAATGATTCATGATTGCCGTAGTCTAGAGTCAACATATTGATCAAGGTTGAGCAAGTTAATAACTATCAATTTATAGAGAGGAAAAGGGGGCAGGAGAAAAAACGATTAATTACGTTGATCTAACCGATTTGGTGTATTTTCCACTCTTGAACTTCATCGTTTTAACATCGATCAAGAATAATATTATTGGTTTTATTTCGTATCATTTTGGGATCCATTTCATCTATTAATATCCACGATATTGTTCTATAGATTAAGGTTGAGGACAACTGCAATAGAAAAAGAAATGAGACCATCGGTAATCAAAATTCATTAAATTTAATTATCCACCTTTACTAAACTATAGAATCTATAATTTAAAAAATATGGCGAGTCTTCAAGCTGTTAAAAGTCGACAACAAACCAACGCCCAACACACTACCGTAGGTAATGTCAATAGTCCTACAAGTAATGCTAATCATCATGGCAGCCGTAGTAAAAGCTATCAAGAAAATGGACATCACCCCCATGGTGATACGACACCGATAGTTAATCATCGTCATGATGGAAATTCGCGTCAGAAAAGGATAGAAAATAGACGTCAACAAGAATCACCAGACCGGGAAAATAATACTCCATCTAATTCTAATTCAACAAAGCGACAAAAATCATCTTCTCATCATGAAATTATCAATCTTAATCGTCGCTCTACCAAAGATTCCCTACCCAATCATACAACAAATCATGGACGTCCATCGGATTCACATCATGAGAATAATGACTTAATAACGGTTAATAACGGTAGCGATATCGTCAATTTAATTCATCAATTGGTAATTTTACGCAAGAAATTTGCAAAATTACAAGACGAATGCAAGGAAAAACTACGTCTTAATGGAGGAGCATCTTCTGACGAAGCAACTGGTAAGATTATCAGTCATAACACCCCAACATTGATCGTAGGTGGCCTTACAACCTTCTTTATTATTGACCATATTGAATTTTGATGTCATCATCAATGCAATTTATCATAACATTGACTAAAACAAACTACCGCAATCTTGATCGACATGATAGAAAGAGTTTTAGAAGAGTCTATTTTAAACGCTTCTTCTTTCCTATCACTGTGTTTTCCCCTTATTTTAATGTTTGATTTTGATTATATCCAGCGTTTTTTCAACTTAGCGTTAGAAATTTCCATAGAATCGAGACTTTGCCCTTATACTTTTATTAACCTACGTAGCAATTGGATGACAAGATTGTTTACTTAACAAAATGGAGTCTAGAAATAAGACATTTAAATTTTCGATCAAAAGTCTTACAAAAAACTTAATTCAATCATAGCAGTTGATCGCCGTTATTATGACTCAATTCGACAGTTCTTTATTATAATATTTCTTCATTTTGCCATGAAATCGCCATGTATTTGTCGCTCTTTGTTCATCATGGCTAACAGGAGGTCTTAAACTCTGCAGTCTATCACCTTACCCCATACAGTTTAGTTAATTGATTTGAACGTAGTTTCCTGTTGTGCCAACTGCCACATACGGCAGCCTCATCAAAATAATAATAGTATCTCAAGGTAAACTCTATCTATCCATTCTTTCAGATCAAATTTGATGTAATTAAGTTTTGACAGAATAGAAGATAAATCATTCATTTATTAATCTTATCAACATTTTTTAATTTGCTTGACACCAGTAGCCATTACAGAGTGTAAAATGGCGAGGGATAGAAATAGATTTTGATTTCTTCCTCTCTTTCTAGTAGAATTTCAATAAATCCAATTGTAGAGCTACTACAAATCGTTTCAAAATTTCATCGTTCATTTGCTAGATGTTGGACTTGATCAAATATAATATGCGTAGATCAAACGTCTTTCGTGATTTCTTTATCGAGGCCGGAAAAGCTTGCGAGACATCCATCACGCACTTAATAGTATTCTTTCGTTGCTTTATTCGTTAATCGTGATGGAAAGTAGTAAAGAGCAGAAATACCGAATACAGTGTGCTTCCAAGATATTTGTTACGTACTTTATATTCAATAGTATTCCTTCGTTGATAGACATGACGTATGCCGGCAATGGAGTTTTTATCCAAGTATCGATGGCAAAGTAGTCACGGTTCTCTGCCATTTTTTAGCTGAAGAATGTAGTAAGAGTAGAACGACTAAATATTACTTTCAAGCTATTTCCTGATACCGTGAAGGCTAAATTTTTCAAGCAATGCTGCTTATCATCACGTACATAAGTCGCGTTTTAGGGGATTAATTCAATCCTTACTCTGTCTATCCATGTATTAAAAGCAAGCCTCTTCATTCATCTACAATAAATTATAATAAGTCAAAGATGTAGAACTTTAATTTCTAATGCGATAGCTAATACCATTTGATTACAAAATCGTATTCGCTAAATTGAGTCGATCGGAAGAGTTTGCTTCTTTATTGATAATGAATAGATGGTCTATGATATACTGTAGAATGACATGATTATACTGAAATCACTAATGATAGATTATTCTACAACTTGGCGGTTAAAGCCTCTATAAAACATTGTAATTGACGTAACTCTAGATACTGTAAGCAGGCACATAGTAGGCTGTCCTCAATTTGAAACTGATTTAATATACTGATGATAATTTTTTAATCGTAATGATCTAAACTTAACGATGGTGCTTAACGAGGCCAATAGTTTTGATCCGTAAATTGCGAGATAGGCGCTAGCACTGTGCTGTGAAAATAGAATATAATGATAAAGATTACACTTGGATGCAATAAAGTCAAGATTCTATACTATATCAGTATTTTAATTTTTCTTAGAAGCTCAACTTACACCATTAGTTGAGATAAAGTAAGAATTAAAACGTTATTAGCATCTTTTTGCGTAATAGATACTATACAGGAAGCATCGACAAGAAATTCAATATTTCTTCACACATTAGTATATTCGAAATTAGGGTCAATGTATCTAGGCTTGGGATTATCCGTCAGATATATCCAATCGCTAACCAATATAGTCCAATATCTGTCTAACAGTTACGGTAAATAATCTACATGTCTTAAAATTGATTCTAATCGAAAAGACCCACAGGGCAGATAATGGACTGACTGCTATTGCAAAAATAGTTCCGGTTTATGGAGTTTATTCTGAGACTAATCCACTGTTCATAGAATTATCGATAGTTTAAAATGACTTTATGACACAAATTAGATATTAATAAATCATTCATCACTGTCAACAATTTATAAAGGATGCACACAATTTTTTAAGATGTAACATTTTGAGATCCAAAGAATTCAAATAAAGTTTTTGTTGCTAATTGTTATATTATTACCGCAAGTTGTGTTTTACATCGTTTATTTTAAAATTACTCGACTAATCATAGAATTATTAGACTTTGAAATTGCCGAAAATTCAAATTATACATTAATCAATAAAAATAAAAATAAAGCATCGGTGAATCAGTTTCCACTGTTAAAAGTAGTAATAGTTGTAGACAAATTTTCAACGATGACAATATGGGATGCAAGGACATCTATCAAATGTTATTTATTATCCATAATTATTTTTGTGAATAATGCTGAAGGACATTTAATAAGATTTAATCCATACATTTATGCAAGTTTAAGAACTGAAAAATAGAAAAGTATACTGGTCTTCAGATTGACTGATTATAGTGAATGGAATATTTATGTACGGAATTGAATATTTACTGGTGCCTCACTTTTTATTGCGGTTAGAAAAACCGCAACTTTTAACAACTTCTACCAAGATACAGTTATATTTTGTTGCCCAACTTTAAGGATGTAGACTATTCACGAAGTAAAATTATGGATGTGTAACTGCTACAGTTATAACTTTACTCTAGATCATCGCTGTAAAACTGTTAAATTTTTTTCAAATCGCCTTCGCTATTTATCAATTTCATTAGCTGCGCTGAAATACCTCTTAATAAACTTACCATACCTTGATTCTTTTCTTCAGCTTCAGAAACGGAATGTACAACAATTTTCAAGGAATTAAATAGTATTGAAGAAATGATATCATCGATTAAATCGTTAGTGGTTGATTATAATGCTGAATATAACTGGGAAACATCGGTAACAGGTTCGTATTTCATAAATCTGTCGCGAACTTCATCTTTTATATCATTTGAGTCTTTAAGAAAGCAAACATGTTGTTTAATGGTGATATCGAGAACTTTCTTGGTTATTTCTATATCTATAAAAATACAGAAAATAAAAGGATACTCTAAATTTTATAATTATAGACCAAAATGAGCAAACCAAATCGCTGGTAGATGACTTAATACATATGCCAGGACCTCACACGGAAGATGCGGTAATCAAAATGCTTCATATGAGGCTGAAAGCAAAAGAATTACATGTAAGTAGCTGTAGAGCCTCTAAAGCAAAGCCCTTATCGTTAAATTTACCAGCCAGGCTTGATACAAATAATGCCTATCTGATCGTCTCGAAATTGACCTACTTCTTTATTTCTTTCATCAATCGATTAGTGTCGGATAGGACCAGTCTTAATTGCCTTAAACGGCTACTGGAAAAATGGACGTGATTTACATTGGTTAACTTCAGATTCGCCTGTTAGTAAAGATTATCCCTACTTATTAAATATTATTTATGAAGCGAGTCGTCGATTACAAGAAACAAAACGGCCCCAAGTTATTATTCTTAGGTAATATTGCTATAATTTTAGTTACCTACATTAGTATAAACTAGATACGATTGCAATACTTCTAAATTTCATTAGAGTAGTTAGTAAGCATATCAAATGGGTTGATGCAATAGTAGAAATTTTGTGAAATTTTAATATGCCTTCAGTAGATCTTATATCACATAGTATTTGATAAAATTATTTATTTCTATATTGGTACGTTTACCGATGTAAGAGCGTGTATGTGATCATAACAAATTTCTTTTCATCAATTGAAGTGGCGAAAGTGGCAGTGGTAAAACATTTACCTCAAGATTAATGACCAAGATGTTTTTCGAGCACGTTGGTGGAGGTTTATCCAGCGAAATGTACAAAGTATGATAGCAATTTACTGTCATGATGGCAATTTTAATACTCGATTTTCCTAATTTTCTAAAACATTTATTTCCTTTATAATTTGAAAAGAACGTTGCAGCGGCAATTACCGCCTTAGCTCCGTTAACTACAGCTAAAGTTGATACAAATTTGGACTCAAGTCGAGTTGTGAGTACAATTATCATCCTTATTTCATTTCAATTTCTAACCTTATTAAATTGTAATTTGTCTATCTGGTAACATAGGGCTACTTTACTGAAATTGCATTTTCGGAAGGACTAATTGTCAGTGGAAAACTGACCTATGTTTCGTTGGATCAGGTTAGGGAATATATTCCAATTTTCCAGGCTAAAAATTGTAACGTTGACTAAAAATATCACACGCCAATATCAATTTTATTCAACGCTTTTTAATATAATGAAAGTTGAACTCATTTTTTAATCTCTCTTGGAAGACACGCATAACTGCAACCTTGAAAGGCGAAGGAAATTATCATATATTTTATCATTTGCTGTCAGGATTATCTCAGGAAGAGAAAGGTAAGCATTTAAGAATTAATGGAAAATGATTAATGCTTTTGGCTATTTTAGTTTGCTTAAAGTTACATGAAGTGGTTAATAATAAGAACGCTTTCATTTTGAGTATTCTCCATCTTTTCAATTTTCTATCTGTAGTAAAATTTTATTTACAAGGCTATACAACGCGAAATTTAGCTTATTTGTCATCGAAGGATTTTGAGGAGTTGAATCCAAATAAATTAGCCTTTAATAAATGGAAGGTAACCGTGATCCCTTATACTCCTATTTTGATCTTTATGCCTATAACAGCTTTAAATTACTTCTTCCTTCTATTTTTATGCAATATTTTATCATATAAATTCTCTACGATCATATAATAAAATATTTTTATTGCTACCATTAGGCTGCTTTGTCATTATTGGGAATAAAGTTTACTGATGTGGTTCATATCTTAGCTGCTATTCTCCTCCTTGGCAACGTCCAATTTTCTGACCCAGATGAAAAGGATCATAAATCATCTGGTAGTAATGGTAAAAATAACTTTTAACCCTACAGTAAATTACTGTACTATAATATAACAATCCACCAATGCTACCTTAGCACTAAGGATTACTTAACAATCACATTTCAAAGCGATGGTAATAAACACCTTGGCTAAACATGAAATAATATCATTTTCTCACTTTCATTTTTGTGAAAAAGGGTCGTCTACGGAAGTTAAATCAGCCGCGAGAAATTTGGGAGTTTCAGGCATTTCTTTATTTCGATGTTTAACTACAAGAACTAAACTTATACGAGGCCAACCAGTTCGTTCATTAAATACGCCAGAAGTTGTACGTATAATCTACATTGAGTAGTTCTTCCCTTGAAAAATGGCCTTTAGCTGATTCTACAAGTTCTTGCAGTCCTTAAGATACTAATAAGAGAATTTAATTTTATTTACTAGTCAAAAGCAGCCTGTAATGCATTGGCTATGACATTATATGCAAGAATGTTGTCAGCCATTATAAGACGAGTTAATTTACTGCTACGAGGCCATGCAACCCAAACCAAAAATGCTTCTTCATTATCATCGGACAGCGCTGGTTCGTCAGTTAGCTCTACAGAGCCCAAAGATGCTTCAGAGTCGAATAAGAACCCGAATGAACATTCGCATTTTAAACGATTTCGTAAGTCTAGATGTATTTTCGCTTGTTTTAACTAGGATAGCTAACATAGCTCGTATTGATTCCATGAACAGCGAGTACAGACCTGAAGAAGCAATCAAATCTTCTGAAAGGTTGTACTGGATCACTAGGAATTTTGGACATGTATGGATTTGAAATTACTAACGTAAGGATTTTGCAATTCAGCGGGATAACTCTTCAAATAGATAATGTCGAAATGCCTTGATAGACTAATTATTCGTGCATATCAATTACTGTCGGTTACAGACCAATAGACTTGAACAACTTTGCATCAACTTTTGCTCAGAAACAATTCAACACTTTTATAATACTCATCTTTTTGAAAGCACTGCCGATGCCTTCAGGTAGGATGGAAGACATTGCTAATCGTTTTAGTAAATGCAACAACGATTTGATAACTTTCTTCAAATTGATGTAGAAACGATATTGGAATGGAAATTGACCTCGGCTACGTCAACAATACGCCCTGCATTGAATTATTAATAAGCCCAGTACGCTATTTTAGCCCTTTCTTTTTAGCGCTATCTTTTCCTATATGCCTATCGTTCTACTAAATCATTTTCCTTATAAATTTATTAATAGATTGGCATCTTGTCCATTTTGAATCAGGAATGCCTCAATCCTAGGTAGTCTGAATATTCAATGGTCATTCTGATCACAACATTAACACTGATTTAAAATTTACTTATGTCTCAAATTAATATAATAACCAAATTTTATTTCTTAGAGGGGACACGGAAACATTCATAAACAAAATTAAAGCCGAACATGACGATAATTGCTGGTTAGTACTATAATCAACTTAAATTAATGTAAGCGTGTATTTTTAGAAGGACAGACTGACATAGTACTTAACCATTAAGATTTTTAAATGGATTAAAGATGATATTTCGGATAATATTTTTAGGTTTTCCAAGCAATCGGACTCAGAATTTGGTATCATACATCACCATGGTGATGTAAGCTACTGTTCCTATGTTATATTTTCATCCTTAGCCTTATTCTTGCCTCTAAATTACTGATGTAAAATACATTATTTTAACTACCTTCAATACCGTACTAATTCAATCTATCAATGGATATTAGGTTTTATATGATTCCTCTGATCTTATAACGTCCAACAGAGATATCATCAGTGATGATGTTATTTCCATCTTTCGATCACAAGTAGGTTTTAATTAATATCCTGAAGCAATTTATACTGATACTTCTCGTTATAGCGAAGACGATATAATATAGCGGCCGTTAATAATTATACTTTCCGTGCTGTTTTTGTGTTAGAATTGTTCATTTGACTTTTTAACGCATCTGTTTTCGCAAGACCTAAGATCAAGTAGAGGTACGGAAAGATTTTGCTTAATAACTTGAATTGGTGCCATCTTGGCAATTTTCGTACTTTATGTCAGTAAGTCATTGAGAATAGATAACCTTGGTCACAATTTGTTCTATCAAACTATATAGGAAATGGAGGCCTTCCAGCAAATTCACATAGAATAACTTCGAGTTCTTCTGATAGCAATGATACTACCGATTATCGAAGAACTTTCCTACAAGATTTCCAGGTACAGACTTAGATGTCTAAAAAGTCTAAGAGCAGCTTTATACGAATATTAATATATGCGTATTTCATTGATATTAAATTAATCTTTTGGTTTACTTATAACAGTTGCAGATTGATAATTTATTAAAAATGGCAGCTGAAGCTGATTCTTACTTTATCAGATGTATTAGAGTAAGTAATCCTTAATCATAATTTTAATTATCAGCTAGGACAAATTTGTTCTAACTTGCTATGATAGCTAATAAATTTCAACGTAAATACAAATGTTCCGGTATAACTCAACTTTTACATATAGATTGACTATTGCCTTGATATTGATCTTAAAATATAGTCGTAGTTTTATGATGAACACTGGTAAATTCTAACCTTAATAGATTACTTAGCTATTACTTAATTTTCTGTATATAAACGTATATTATCTTTTTAGACTGATGTTAAAGGATAGTTCTAATTTTGTAATGAAAGCTCTCAAATTAGCTTTAATATAAATAGTTAGCTATAACTCATATATATCTTAATATATCAGTTATTACCTTTTCGGACGAACATAAAATTTAATCCTAATTTGTATGATGAAAGCTCGCAATTTGTGTCTTTAACGCAAACGTTTAGCTATGATTTAATTTTAATCGTACGGAAATATCAATAAACTTTCTAGACGAATACCAATGAAGTTCCTAACGTATTTGATCGAGTCACTGTGGCTCGACAATTGCGTGCTTTGGAAGTACTAGAAACATTAAATTTAATGACATCAGGTATTATCATCATACTTTGATTTTTCTCCTTGGATCCTGATCTATCCATCCTTATTTCATTGTTACTTTAATCATGATTACAGGTCTGCCATATCAATTGCCACTACTAACGTTCATTAGCCGGTAATGCAGCTATGATGATTAGCAACATGATATTATTAATTGATATCGTAATTAACAATATTCTTGTTCTACTTCCGCAGCTATCGATGCTTCTGTTCCAATAATCCCGATGGAGGTGTTGAAAATTCGAGACATTTATGTGAAGCAATTTTAAATATTTTCCTTGAGAGACTGGATCAATCAAAGCTATCCAGTGAAAATGTAAACTGGGCCGTTGGCGATAACTTCGTTTTTCTGAGGTACATCCACATTATTACTATAATTAATAAAATTTGAGTAATACTTTTGGGGAAAAAAAAGGGACAGTTTTAAATATGATATTACGCCACTATTAGGTCGTTAAAAGAAAGAAAGGTGTTGGCAACAATGCCATTTTTAGGTGTAAATTTAAACTTGTATATTTATTGCATTTTATAGTGAAGATGCAATGCAATACTTGGAATACATGAGAAATATCTTACGTGAGCAAGCCACAGTCATTATCCAAGCGTTAGTAAGGATGTACATTTGCAGAAAAGCATATAAGAAGATGAAAAGTAGCCAAGAGATGAGAAATAAATCTCGGAGAAGTCTTCTTAATAATTCGAAATCGAAGACAAGGCAATCATCACTTAGGTAGATTGATGAAATACTTTCGATATTATTTTTAAGTTATTCGGTGCTTATTATGGATATAACTTCCCATTTTGTGACAATTTTAATCAATCATGAAACTATTTCAATGCTGTTCTTCTAATAGTGACGGAGATAATACTCGCCATCCTGTACCAAATTCTCCTACTACACCGAATGGCAATGTGGTAATATGTGATGAAGATGTTATCCAGAAAACTTGTGAATTATATGGTTTCAACGCGGTAAGTGTCCACTATTCCTAGAATAGCATTTATAAATCGTTATTGGTATATAGTCAAATTTTATTTTATTCCATGGTAAGAGCCTATTTTGAACAGGAAATTTTAATCCTAACTATATTTTTGGAACTTTTAAGTTTCATCTAGCAACAATGTATCCTATTTATAAATTCTTCTTTAATTATGTCATTCTAGGCTACACCACCGAGTATACCTCAATCTAGGCCTTATGCTGTTATTGGCAACTCTAGAATAGAGTTTCCTCAAACAAGAATAATGAGACAGCCTTTCCGACATGGTAAATGCTATGACGATAAATCACTCGCGCTAGAAAGAAATTTCAATTTTCCATGCGTAATATCACGAAATTGCTATCCCTCTAATTTCCATTTCTTTAAACCTGTACTATAGACGATTTACCTTGGAAAGTAATTCGTGTTGGAGAAACAGTAACAGCGATTGCTGCTTCGCCTAAAGCTGGTTGTTTTCTTGGCGAATATCGTGGATATAGATTGCATATTCCACGTCGATTGACTGAAATTATCGTAAGTCTTCTTAACGAATCGATTTTATCCTGTTTTACTACATGACTGCTATTATATTTCTTTCTATCTATTCATTCAAATTCATTTTCTACCTATATGGAATGAGATCGATCTCTAACTTCTCTTCATGTGATATATAGTCTCCTTCTCCTACCATATCGAATGGCTCTGGAAGCAAGAAAGGTTCCGTTAGCGATATTTGAATTTAGTCCTATAGTGATATACTTTATATTATACCTTTGGTTATTTATGCAATGGGATAAGTATTTATATTGATAATAGTATTATAGATATCCCAGGATTGTTAGTTTCTTTTTAAAATTTATCAAGAGGTTTTATATATCCAAACGAATACCAAATTAAGAAATGACTACCTGACTTTGTCGGTTACAAATTTCCCCTCAATATCGACTGTATCAAAGTCAGACAATGTCCCTATAAATATCATTGATTGTATTGCTAATTTATATCCCTGTTACTGTAGCTATATCTGTATTTTAAAATATGTATCTAGGGTCTCATTATTCTTTTAATAATACTACTGAAAATATATATTTCATTGCAATATTTGTCATTTTTATCAAGCAAATGTCCCTATGGCAGAGCTTATTACCCGTTTCATTATTATGATTGAGTGCGGGCAACGATATACATTTTTAGTTTTACTACTGTTAGAAGAAATCTTTTAGTTGGTATAGAAAGAATGAAGGTGGCAAAAAATTATTTGTATATATCAATGTTTGGTTATGACTTGTATCTCGATCATCATTTTTCTATCTTTCTTGTGTATTGACGATTTGTAAGAAGAAAATTTTATATGTATTCTCAATTTCAATTTTAGATTATTTGTTTATCTCTTGTGGGTGATTAATTAATTCATGATAATATTGCTGTAATCGGGTACCAAATGGATTAATTCTAATAATTGTACGAGTTGTTAATGGATATTGGATAGCCGTTTTTGGATGACTTATTCATGATTGATATTTTATAATGCAAAGGTTTGATTTACCATTCCTTGAAGTTTTGATTCATTAACACAACATATATTCCAGTGTCGATAGTGAAAATGAATAGTAGCTATCGTTTATAGTCGATCATTAAGTATAATAAACTCTAATCAGTCATGCTAACATTGGATTTTTCCTGTGAGTATAATGGATTTGAGTTTAATGGATGCTACTTCATCAAAATAGCTTCTCGAACTGAATGATTGACTGGACATTCCATTGCGATCCTTTACCGTCCTCACAGAGGATGTTTTCTACCTCTTAGGCAGTCGATCATCAACTATAATAAACTCTAATTAGTCATGCTAACATTGGATTTTTCCTGTGAGTAGAATGGATTTGAGTTTAATGGATGCTACTTCATCAAAATAGCTTCTCGAACTGAATGATTGGAGAGGAATAATGATTGACTGGACATTCCATTGCGATCCTATACCTTCCTCACAGAGGATGCTTTCTACCTCTTAGGCAGTCGATCATCAACTATAATAAACTCTAATTAGTCATGCTAACATTGGATTTTTCCTGTGAGTACGGTATAATGGATTTGAGTTTAATGGATGCTACTTCATCAAAATAACTTCTCGAACTGAATGATTGGAGAGGAATAATGATTGACTGGACATTCCATTGCGATCCTATACCGTCCTCACAGAGGATACTTTCTAACTCTTAGGCAGTCGATAATCTCATTTCTTTTTCGATATAGATGAATCCACTATGCCAGAGGAGAGATTAGCTATCGCTTTTGATTACTAAATCATCTAATGGATTCAATGGAAGCCTATACTAGAGTAAGATCTGGAGATGGCGGCAAGACTGCCATCTCCAGTTCCATGGACATATTGGATGTTCTCTCTTAGCTGCCAGCAGATCAAGACGTCTAATAGAGCGATAAGTTATTTCAGTATATTGATTATTATAGGCTTGGATATCATGTATGCGCTCATAAGTTACTGGATGTATTGGAGATACAGTGCTCTGTCGGGAGCCACCAGCAATAGGGTAGTGTATCATACGCTACTGTATCAATGAGCACTTTATAGAGCATAGATGGCTGTTGCTATCAATAGCAAGCGTTGTTGCTCATACGGCCTGCAAACCGATGCCTAGTCAACGCTGAAGTTGGACATCCTTTGGAGGTTTTTAGGCTTTTTCTCCACTATTCCTGTTATATTAACGTATTCATAAGAATTGATATCATCTATTGGTAATTCTGACTTTGCAGAACCAATTTGACTTGCTCAATTTCACGGTAATGGAATAGAAATACTGATTGTAATGCTGCATTTTCGATAGAGATGGAGAATGAATTAGCTCTTTTAGCATTAGGACAGTTCAGTGATTAAAAAGATGCCAAGATGGAGATTGATGATTCCTAAAATGTTCAACTTGTAGGCCTTATAAGCATACTGATCTAGCTATGGATGGCAGTAGAATAAATTAATGGTAATATATCATCAGTATAGAGCCTAATCTATTCATTCGCCGTGATGTGAAATTCAACTGGAGGTACTCGTATCATGCGAATGATCTTGCAATGAAATTAATCATGCATGTACAACACAGTACTTACGGGAAACCTTGCCATTCTGATCGATAGAATAGCCAAGTTAACTTGTGAATAGAACCTGTAATGCCGTTCAAGTGTAGAGAATCCTATAACTAACCAAAATTCAATAGAGTCTATAGTTCAACTGTATGCAAAGAAGAAAGAACTGAGTACAGTAGTTTGCATTATGTTCCAGATAGTAATCGTTAACCTTGGCATCATCAAGAGTATATAGAAACATGGAATATCCATCGGTTGCTATCGTCTCCTTTATTGCGATATTATGATAGCCTCTGCAATTTTTCAATGCTTGTATCTCGTAGTATCGTCTACAGACCTTAGGATGAGAGTCCTAAAATTAAAATTGACATGCAACCTGTAAGATTATCATTAAACAGCATTTGACTTTACCAAGACAGTTTCGTATTGCAACATTGTTGCTTTACTACAATTCAGACATTCTATTGCAATTGGATAGATAAACTCGTCACCATTTCTTATTTAATCTATCTCATACTGATCAGATTTTAGAATTCGTATCTACAAGATCACATAAGAAATAAAAGTCTTGGTTATGCATCCCCATTTCAAAACGTAAGTTAAACCGAATACAATCAGAAGTTATTATTTCGCAGCATTTTATTTTAGATCTGCATAAGACACATTGACACCATTCGTCGCATTATTGCTGTATGCTTTGATTCCATGCTGCCATGCAGTATCATCAATTGTAGAATATGGGCATTTGTGGACATCTTGTAGAGTTGTTCTATTCTACTTTAAATTAGAACGAAAATATAAATTTGGTTGTATTACAGTACTTTAAGCTACAACTCTGCCTCAAAAAGGTGCAAAAAGACAAATTATTTCTCTGAATAAACGCACTCTATTTACAATGTTCTAGACCGGACGAATTGTTGAAATTAGGAGCTAAACGACGTCTAGACTCCAATAGACTACCTGTCAGAGGTAAGAAACGAATGGAAGCTACAGGAAGTCAACGTGAAAAGAAATTAATAGAAAAGAAACAAGATCAAATAGAAGACATTTTAACTGAAGAGAGACTTGCGAAGTTGTAAGTCGTATAGTTTGGTCAATATTGAGATACCGTTACGTCATTAGTATTGTGAGTATAAAGACTAAGTAGTCATGGATTGAATTACTGCCAAAAAGGTATAAGTGTTGTCTTACGTATGTTAATAGGTCTCACTTATCACGAGGAGAATGGAATGATCAGACATTGGTGGCTGAGATCCATTACAAGAAGGTTCAAATTTGCTTTATCCCGCATTGTATTACTTGCCATTTAGAATGATTTTTGCGTTTTCTACTTGTTCAGGGAAGTCATTGGAATTATTTTGGGTTTCCGAAAGGAGAGATTGAAATTTTGCAGCCGGAGGAAGCCGTTTATCTCATAGAAATTGTAAAGACTGTCATTAATAACCTAATAACCCAAAACTAGATTACAATCGATTTATGCAGGAGCCAAGTAGTAGAAACATTGACTGCAATTCTCATACTTGTATGACGTAGATCTTGTAATTTAATGAATGTCTCTGTACCAATTTTGATTATATCGATGTTTAAGGGAGCTCTGGAGTTATACTATAAGGGATTGCCATTATCACTACAGGAAGCTTATAGCATAATTTTATCAAAGACCTTTCCAATTTATAAGTATCAGGTACGATGGCTTTGCTTTTTATGTAATTGCGATAACACTTATTTTAATGATAGTAGGACTACTCGATTCATAGCTCCTATCAAGAACCTTATATTGTCAAATTTTGTAGAGTATAAATGTCAGATTAAATATGCTATTCCAGCGTTTACCGTCAGCCATATTATTTCGCTTTAAGTATCAGATGTTAGTATATATTTTAAGATCGCTATGTGGCAAAGATTCTCAATTTGACTCTATGCATATTATCATTTGCATCTCTTATAGGTTTATTGCCACCTACTACGCCTAGGATTTATCGTCAAACGACATCTACCTGCTAGGTTAGATATATAGCAAGAGATGATGATATCCTTTTTTTTAAGGATGATTTGCATCAAGAAATTTTTGCATTTTTGCATCATAGGTTCAAAGTGAATAAAGAAACTAAATCAAAATTACAACCCGATCATGATGTGACAGAAGATTATCCAATCCCATTAGTTACTCCTATGGATGCAGAAACAACAGGTATGAAAGACATTCTTAAGTCGTTCAATTTCTTGAGAGCATGATGTGAAAAGTGCTGTTCAATAAAGGATAAGTTGGTCATTTTTACTTATTTTTGAACTGGCAGATAAAATCTTAAACAAGTTACAAGTTGTTAAATCTACAAAAATGGAAGAAGTTACTACAAAGTCAGGGTAACTTTTAGCCGGAAGCCACTTTGTTAATATTGAATGGAGGATAGTCTTTTACCCATTATTTTTGTATGACTTTGCTATTATCTATTTACTCAATGTAGGTCCAAGATGGAAGACACCATCGATTTCGATGTATATTTGCCAAATGCCAATTTTAAGAAAGTAAACTTTGGCCTCCCAAATATCGCAGTCAAAGTTTCTAGGTAAAATTTTGCAATCTGTGTCCCATAAACAAATTTAAGACTCATTATTGAAAAATAGATGTACGCATTTCAGGTACGATGACCCATTCCCTGATAGTAGTTGCATAGCCAAATTAATTAATCTCTGTGAAGCTGTACCGCTAAAATGGGCTCTAAATGAGAATGGCGACATTACATTTTATTCGTTTGACGATATGGAAATTCCGGTCGTTAGCTAAACATTACCAGGACCAATTACTAAATAATTTACCGCAGATATCATATACTAAAGCTGGGGGAGAATTTCATAACTGTTTATGCCGTAGCCTGTTGTATTGTATCAGTGGATAAGATTGATTTTTATTTGAAATTGTACTGCATCATTTTCGTCTGTATAAGATTGGCAATACCCCAATATGTAATTCGACTAGTAAAATCAAGAAATTATACTCAAAATTGTTTTATTGGCACTGAGTGCAAAAGCAAAATTTTATTTTATGTATTTCTTACCATGCTACTAAGTATTTCAACAATAAAAATAATAATAATATAATTAAGAATTTAAATACACTTTGATGGCCTACGAGTATACAGCTTGAGGGCAATTTCATCTATCAATAGATTGACCAATATTGATTGCTTATTTATCAATAAGAACATGAAAGCATGGTATGAATGAACATCATTAGAAACTAAACGATGTACTATTGACATATGCACGCTAGAAAAGAATGCGCGCAACATTATCTATATGACTTTGGAGGCTGATATTTTTCAACCAGTTTTCAGACTCCTGTGTCCTAGAACGACGATTCAAATGAAAGTCCGACAATACGTGTTATATGACATCAGAACCAGGTGTTGGGAATTGGCTAGAAAACTCGAGTACTTCTTCTGCTAGTTGTTGTATCTTTGCTTGATACTCTTCCTGATCAAGGGTAGCTTTATAGTCTTTAATGGATTTCCCCGCAACAGTACTAGTGGCATCAATTGCAATTTGCAAAGCACGATGGATAAATTGTACTATTTTCACCATATCCTGACAACTCAATCCACGACTGGTTAAAGCTGGAGTTCCAAAACGAATACCACTGGGTATTAAGGCATTTTTATCGCCAGGGCAGGTGTTCTTGTTAGCACTAATGTGGACTCTTTCAAATACTTCAACAGCACGGGCACCATTTAATTTTTGTGGTCTTAAATCGAGTAAAATTAAATGATTGTCACTACCACCGGTGACTAATGTATAGCCAAGTGCGATTAAACCATCGGATAATGTTTGACAATTACTTAACACTTGTTTTTGATATTGTATAAATTTATCCGATTGAGCTTCTTTTAAAGCGACAGCGACAGCGGCAATGGCATGATTATGTGGCCCACCTTGTAATGCTGGAAAGACAGCAAAATTGATTTTATCTTGCAAATCGTAATAGATCGGCTGGCCAGATTGATCATGATGGCGTATTCCTTTACGGTAGAAAATCAATGCAGAACGGGGTCCACGTAGTGTCTTATGTGTGGTGGTTGTAACCACATCAGAATATTGGAAAGGAGTAGGGGCAAGTTTGGCGGCAACAAGGCCACTGACATGGGCCATATCCGATAGAACGTATGCCTTTTGTTGGTCAGCAATTTGTCGTATACGGGCATAATCGAGATGGCGACAATAACTACTAATCCCAGCAATAATTAATTTAGGCCTAAATAATTTTGCATTGGCTTCCAATTGATCGTAATCGATTAAACCTGTGGTAGGATTGATCTTGTATGGCATGGACTCGAAATAAATGGACGAAGCTGAAATACGCTTAGTATCGTTCATGTAGCCATGGGTTAAATGGCCACCATCGGGTAAATCTAAGCCCATGATTCGATCATGAGGTTGTAATAATGCGGTATAAACAGCAAAATTAGCCGGTGAGCCAGAATAAGGTTGTACATTAACGCCCCACTGTTCACGATCTAATCCAAATAATTCAAGAGCTCGACGTTGGCATAACAACTCAATGTCATCGACGACTTGTGTGCCACTATAATAACGAGCCCCAGGATAGCCTTCAGAATATTTATTATTGAGACACGATCCCAATGCTTGTAATGTCGCTCGACTAGCGTAATTTTCTGACGCAATCAATTCTAAACCAAGCCTTTGGCGTTTTTTCTCTTTGCAGATTAAGTGATAGATTTCAGGATCTTCCTCTTGAAGAGAATTCTTTAAACTGCTATCGAATTGATAATTATCAGCCATTGTCGATGATTTATTGTACTGTACAGTAAGTATCACTGGATCAATATTCTACAGGCCCAGACGGCAGTGAATGCCCTTTCCAAAGTGAGAATCTCTGCTGCACTAATACCCTAATAATATCAATATGATTTGTTATTAATTGAAGGCGTAGTATCCTTTGGCGATAGGATCGAGATGATGTAGCAAAAGAATAAATCGCCGCCTGAAATTGCCAATGAGAAAAGGAACAACTGGACGTCGCGGCTTTGATCGGATTGCCGATGGTGTACTGTACCGTACAGTACAATGAGACCCAGTTAAAGGATGTCTAAGGGTACTGTACACTGTACACTGTACACTGTAGTCCAGTCCCGGACTTCATTTCTAGTCGAAAGCAAAACGAACCGTATCGTATCGGACCGTACCAAGCGGTAAAACCGGTGTTAACCAGTGTTAACACCGGTTTTAACGAGTGTTAACCAGTGTTAACACCGGTTTTAACGAGTGTTAAACACTGGTTGTAACTTGAATCGATCCGAGCTGGCACAGCTTGGGCTCAACAGTAGAAGCAGTAGTCGACGCTTTGGAGGAAAAGCAAACTAATAAGGCGCTCGCATACGCATCTCGATGCTTTCCTTTACTGGTAAAAGCATGGAGTGTAGTAGGATTTAGCATTCGCGTTCTGTACACAAGTACTAGCTGTAGTCGACGCTTTGGAGGAACAGCAAACTAATAAGGCGCTCGCATACGCATCTCGATGCTTTCCTTTACTGGTAAAAGCATGGAGTGTAGTAGGATTTAGCATTCGCGTTCTGTACACAAGTACTAGCTGTAGTCGACGCTTTGGAGGAAAAGCAAACTAATAAGGCGCTCGCATACGCATCTCGATGCTTTCCTTTACTGGTAAAAGCATGGAGTGTAGTAGGATTTAGCATTCGCGTTCTGTACACAAGTACTAGCTGTAGTCGACGCTTTGGAGGAAAAGCAAACTAATAAGGCGCTCGCATACGCATCTCGATGCTTTCCATTACTGGTAAAAGCATGGAGTGTAGTAGGATTTAGCATTCGCGTTCTATACACAAGTACTTGCACTAGTGCAGAAGCTGCAATAATCGACGGAGTTAACGAATAGTAAACAAATAAAGGGCTGGTATACGCATCTTGATGCTTTCCTTTATTGGTAAAAGCATGGAGTGTAGCAGGATTTAGCAATCGCGTTCTGTACACAAGTACTTGCGCTAGTGCTGTCCTGTTAACGCTTATTATGCAGCGTGGCTTGAATCGTTTGACTACTATGGAGGTAAATAAATACGACGATACTAGCTAGTGGCGATGTTAACAGCTGTTGCTAATAGCATCACTGGTTTCCAACCGGATACCAACGTTAGCGGAGCGTTCAACACGGAAAGGAATAGACCTTTACAATAGATCTGCTGTCGTGTAGTTCTACGTTGCTGTATTGATGCTCTGGCTTTCAGACTGTCGACAAGAGACACAGTTGTTCTCCCAAAAAAGAAGCTTTATTGGCCTAAGTAAATCAAAGAGAGAGAGAGAGGAGGGAACTACAACCACAGGCATGATCGAGACAGAGAGGATTCCGATCTCCGTCTCTCAGTACTGTAACTGAAGCGAAAGAAAAAGTGGACATGTGAATGTTGAAGCAGATAGCTGGAAGATTCACTTGTTCACTTTTCACCGATGTAAAATCACCAATGACACTGTGTAGCCATGGACCACTAGATGAATAAAGATATTCCATTAATCTAGTAGTCCATGACAAGAGGTATTCAGTGTTTTACTTTCCATCATTTAATTAATTAATGAACTCATTATAGTAGTTCGATTAATTAATAAAAAAAAACAGTGATGGTCACGTTACGTTGCCATAGTAAAGCATTTAAAAGGTTAATTAATTAATTTCGATTGAAGGTTCCGTTCCGGGCCTGGTCCAGTTCACAGAAACGTATGGAGAACTCATGGACCACTAGAATAAAACTGGTTTCCTTCTAGTGTTCCATCCGTTACGGTCGTGACGTCATGTTCTGACTACCGTACACTAACAGTACTGAACAGTACATAGTGTTGAGTGTAGTTTTATGAATTTAATGGACACTGTACTGTTTACTACAAAGCCGGACCTCGCGCTGTCCATCCACACGTCTGTCTGTAATATTCCATGCGATTGCTGGCCCTAGACAAGATTCTGCTCCAGTGCCCAACTGGCTCATGCTGTACGTTGCAGCGTTGCAGCAATACAGTTTAAGCCAGGTCAAGACGCGCTGCAGCCTCCAAGTGGGTTTTGCTGCCGTTCAAGTTGTGAAGACAATTTGCTTTCCAACTCCATTGCATTCTTCACTGGTTATAATAACATTCAAGATCTCGATAGTAATACATACTATCGCAAGATTGAGCCTAATAGATAGCGTGATAGCTCCTCCATTTCATCTCTCTACCACAATGCTTAGCTATGCCCGAATGGCGATGAGATCGGCCATCAACGACATCTGCAATCAATGGCCAAAAGTCAATAGCAATATTCCTCATGTAAATCAATTCCTTCAAGGTAAGGCAATCGTTATTGCAAACTCTGAAATGCTAAAATAAAATTTTGTATTGCAGTCTACATCCTGTGCACAATCAATTCAGGATGCATTGAGTGAATAGAGCTTTTTGGGGGAATCTTGAAAGAATCACTCAATGACTGCATGATATGAATTAATGATTGTTAACATCAAGAGTATGGAGATGTAGCAGTGTATGCAATACATATGCAAAATTCTTAATGACTGAATTATTTTTCAATTTCAGCTCGGTCTGTAACCACTTTCAAAAAGCTACCACAAGTATGCGTTATACTTTAATGTGATATATAGAAACAATAAATGGATGCTTGTTCGTGTATGAGAAAAGAAATAGACCAACATGGGATTGACCATTTGGCCAAGCATGATATCAAAGTTATCAAGGCTTGAGTTAATCGATCTATTTTTATATTCTTCCTTAAGGAAACGAGAGAGAAAATGCAAAATCATGGCTGTCCAATTTGTCGTAATAACATTAAAAACTTCGGATATAAGGTAATACTAGAACCTTCAATTTTGATGGAAAAAAAAGAAAGAAACCAATTGGAGAGACAGCATGAAACAAATCAATCCTTTTTATTATTAATTTATCTTTAGGATGTCTTATTGTTGAAGCAATTTATATCGGATGAAGGTAGGATTTATGGAAAACGAAAAACAGGTAAATATCACTCCCCAATCAATCTTTGTAGTCATTTCATCCTAAATTACAATCCTTTCTTTTTAACCATGTTACTAGATTGAGTATTGCAATAGCTAATCACCACTTCTAACACTGGATGTAGGTTTATGTGCAAAGCAACATCGCAAAGTTCTAAAAGCGATTAAACGCTCTAGGGCTGAAGGTTGGTCAACAACGACTACTTTCAATTCCAAATGAGACCATGTTTTACTCAGTTGAATATTTTAAAATCACTTCTTTTACTTAGGGCTACTACCTAATTATAAAGCACCAACGCTTACGGAAGTTGATGAAGAAGCCAACAATGAATAAGCCATTTTCGGACAGTTTTCTTGTATACTTTTACAAATTTTTATTCTCAAATGTATTGGTAGTACTGATTCATGCTGTATTTATGGTCACTGTAAGTGTTTCCACAAAATTAGATTATTATCCTAAGCAACAGCTATCAAGATGAAGTGGACGGTTATGCTAGGGTAGAATATCAGTGTTAGATACCGATGAAACTCACTGACGAGTAAACTTGAATCACTGCGCTTTCCGCATTTGTCGATTTCATCAATGGATCCATTCCACTAGTCGTGGCTCAGCTACTCTAAATTTTTAGTATAGCTTCCGTTTTGATCAATTTTATAACTTGCCTATTACTATCCTCTGACTTTCTACTTCATATGGACTGCACCTTGTATCTTGTACTGTATATGCTGTGTATTCAATGATAAAATCGAAAGCCATGGATGACTACCGTAATAATGAGTCCATGGTAAAGCGGCAGGGATTATGTTTCTAATGGAATCATTTTCAATCGGTAGTTACGGTTATAAAATGTTGCAGTACTCGATTACTCTTGTATAATAACGCTGCTTTAAATATATTTATACCTACAAAATTAAAACCATATTATACTAGCAAATGGCTTTAGTACATCTACGTGCTATTAATAATATCGAACTGTTGAGGTCTCACAGCATGAAAGCTTAGCCTCTTATTACTAAAATTCCGTAAGAATAAACTATCGATAATTATTTTCCAACATTATAGGCATAATACTTTTCATTCGATCTGCATAAATAGTAAAATAACATACTGGTAGCTACGACAATATCACTGCATCGTATGTAGATGAATAACTATGCGCGTATTATTGAATTACTGAAGAAATAAGAATAGCAATTTTGCCATCTTCAAAATGCAGCATCTCCGTCTCTTTCGCATACGTGGAACGAAAAGAAAATTGCATTGACGTAACGCAGACTAATTGCAAAAATAGTTATAAATCAGCCTGTATGTCTCCACGTGTATCGTTCTGTAAACTCTCCTTGTACTGTATTTAAAATGGCAGAGCATCGGAATTTCAGCTTAAAAGCAACTCCTACATGCTCCTTTTCAGTAGTATCCGGTAATAGGTAATAGTAGAGCAAAAATGAGTATTTCCATGATACTAATCCACAACCGTTCCAATTAAAAATTTTGAAATTATCAAATTTCATTCCCAAAATACTCAAAGAAAATCCAAGTAGAAGGCTACTAAGCCTAAAGTAACTCAAAGACGATAAAGTCTAAAATAAATTCAGAAGCCATCTAAGCAGTTAGGACTACTCATTCTTTCTTTACTTCATTCTAAAAAGATTACCAAGTTTTTCTTTTAGCTCATCCTAAAATAACTCAAAAGCGATCTAAGTAATAAGGGCTACACTAAGTCTTTTATTTTATTCTAAAATAACTCAAAAGTAAATCAAAGTAGTTAGGATTGCTAAATTTTTTCTGTAGCATATTCTGAAATGATTTCCAAGTTTTTCTTATACTTCATTCCAAAATAACTTAAAAGTAAATCAAAGTAGTTAGGATTACTAAATTTTTCTGTAGTACATTCTGAAATGATTACCAAGTTTTTCTTTTACTTCATTTCAAAATAACTTAAAAGTAAATCAAAGTAGTTAGGATTACTAAATTTTTCTGTAGTTCATTCTGAAATGATTACCAAGCTTTTCTTTTACTTTATTCCAAAATAACTCATAAGCTATCAAAGTAGTAGTAAGGACTATCAAAATCTTTCTTTAGTTTCTTCTAAAATAACTCAAAGGCTATCAAAGTAGTAAGGACTATCAAAATCGTTCTTAAGTTCATTCTAAAATCACTCAAATGCGATTTAAGTAGCAAAGACTATTCAATCTTTCTTTCAGTATAAAACACGAAGGCAATCTATATAGTAAAAACTCTTAATCTTTCTTTAGTTATTTCTAAAAATCCTAAGGCTATCCAAGTAGCAAGAACTATTAAATCTTACTTTAGTGATTTCGAAAACTCTAAGGCAATCTAGGAAGAACTACTAAATCTTCCGTTTGTTTATTCTAAAAATTCTCAGACAATCTAGGAAGTAAGAACTATTAAATCTTTCTTTAGTTCATTTTAAAAGCTCTAAGGCAAACTAGGAAGTAAAAGCTATTTAATCTTTCTTTAGTTCATTTTAAAAGCTCTAAGGCAAGCTAGGAAGTAAAAACTATTTAATCTTTCTTTAACTCAACTAAAAGCTCTGAGGCAGTCTATGCATGTAGTAAGAACTACTAAATCCTTTTAATTCATCCTAAAAGAAGCCTCAACGCAATTAATTTAGTAAGAACCACTATATCGGTCTTTTGATTTATTCTAAAATAAATTTAAGGCAATCCCGGTAGTAATAAAGCAGAGGAAGAGTGAGTATTTCTGGATACTATAACGGCTGCACTTCTAAAGCTATTTCGATAGGAAAAATGTAGCAAGGATGACGGAGAAAATTTTAATTACGGAGGAACAACTCGGCATGAAGTGCTAACTAATTATCAAAGAAATTGTATTTTAGCACCTTCAGAAACTTGATCACGGTCATAATATATTCTTTAAATTCAACTCTTGCGAAAACGCATTCGTTTCGAAGTAAGGTATAGAATGGCTATCGTACAGTGGCATGCGAGAATATGGAATGAATAAAGAGCAACCCCTTAAATCTGCCTATTTCCGCAATCGCGTATTTCTATCTATACAATATGGCGCCTGCCATAGGCGTAATAGGAAGGATTATTGTAAAAGTTTCTTAAGATGTTTTGAGAAAGATTAAGATTGAAACTTTCGGTTTAAAGCGTATAACCTTGGGCAATAAAATTGTTCAATGCTGACTAATATTGAATCTATTCTGATGAATTGGTTGTTATTTGTAACCTAAAATAGAATTATAGAATTATTGCAAGATAAACCTTTAAGGCATAAATACGCGATAGAAACCTTCCGATTCAACTACTTGCTTAAAAGTATCTCCCTCATTTTCGATAGATATCGTCCGCTATCTTTCGTTATGAATATTTTGAAGAATATTTTTGGGAAGATGCAAGGCTTATCCTTCATGCTGTCTTCTAGTTACTCTTAAAACGAGTCCACACTTGCTATTATTACTTATACTAGTCATAAAAATGAGCGCAAAATATGAATTATAATTACTTCTCGTTGATGGGACCTGATTTCAATTTAATATACTGTACCTAAAATGACTATCCATAATTCTCGTACGGCATAAATCCGTGGCCGAAGCCTAGCGCGATGAAAACCTTGGCCATTTAAATCAATCATTTTGCATAGTCCTCTCGATCACTCCTGGAATTGTGTTTTTATAAATAAAATCAAGCAGCATCGTTTTTCGACTTTTCATTGCCGATGAATTTTATTGATGTTCTGATTTTGTAATTTATTTTCGTTATGACATCGAAAAATTAATTAATCGTGCCGTCATTTACCCGTAAATGAAACGGAAATCGCAAATTTATTAGCCATCAGCAAGTATAAAATGAAATCAAATATTATTGTTATCCTTAAGGGTTAATTATTAAAGGTGTCGAAAGTAAATATGCTATAGCAATCGATTGTTTGTGACGCCAGTAGCCACAAGTATCCGCTTACTAAAAACTATTTTCTCTTCAATATAGTGTGAATAAGTTTTTACGTCAAGAGTTTCTCCAAAATAGACAATATGCAAATTGGCTTTACAAAGCGAGAGAATCTTTTCCATTTTATAGAAAATAAATTAAACTCTTCCATAAATTGAGAATCTATTTTTACTGTAAGGAAATTAAAAAACTGATTGAAATTTTCTATGCTAATCTTTTCAGTTTACTGTGATCAATAAGATAAATTATTTAAAGAAACTTTTACCAGAAAAAAAGGGGGTAAACGGTATCAAAAATGAATTTTAACTCCACTTTACCTTTGAGAGGTTTGGTAAAACCACTGAGCTATGACTGATCAATCGATTTACTGATTTTTTATATGACACTATTCCAATCACAACTTTAATAATTTCTTTACGCCAAGCTATTTTATTCAGATAAGCAAGTAAAAAAATGAAGTCCGTTAAGGCATGGGCCATCAGAAGAAGACAGGTCTTTTATTGATAGTCTATGGTCGAGAGACTCGGGACACAAATAGTTTATAAATACATCCAATGAAATCATTTTAAGTGGCATCACTGCAAGTGAAAAGTAATAAAATTTATTTTTAGACTGTTTTCTACTCGTAGTCCATGATCAAGGCACGAATAGTCTATAAATGCATCCAATGGAATGATGTAAGTAGTACTACAAGTCCATAGACATAGGATTTATTTCTGACGATCCCTTACCAGTAGTTCATGATCAAGAAGCGAATAGTTTATGAATACATCCAATTACATAGACATACTGTAATGTAGGAATTAAGATGAAAACATAGAATCTAATTAAAATTAAAATGAAATCTAACTGTATTATTTGTAAGACTTTACAAGCGCTTTAGTAAACGAACGAATTTTATTTTAAGGTTAATAAACTAAAGTGAACAAAAAATTATTTTTGGTGCATAACTCACACACAAAATACATCACCCATTTGGAGGTTAGATTGTAAGACTGTACATCTACTTTAGCAAATGAATTAAATCCTCCAATTAAGTAAATTTAATGGTGAAAAAGTTCTTTATTGGCAAGACAGAAAGTCGCCATTTTAATTAATGCAGGCTTTACTCTATACGTATTTTATTGCCTACATACAAGCACATCTGACCAACATACTGGGTTAAAAATGTCAATCATTTCATGAATATAGTAGATTCAAAGCCGAAACGAATGCGTTAAAGTTGAATGCGGTAGCCATCAACATTCGTCTGGCTAAGACGAAATAGACTAGTCCTAATCGACGCCTATCTTTCTATTTTTTAAGTTTTATACGCTTATATGAGCAAAGATTCAGAAAACTTAAGATTGCGCTATGATTTCAGCGCAATAAACAACGTTCATTAATTATTCAAAGTAAAGATTAATGAGCAAAAGCCAAGTCTGGATAGCTACAGTGTTTACAGAACTAACGTTGACTTAGCGAGTTTAAGCTTACTTTACCCCTTTGCTGGCATACATATGAGCAAAGATTAATTGTTTAACTCAAAAAATAATATACAGTTCAATAGTAGTACAGGAAGATATCTTCAAAGTAGAGACTCGTTGAAGACTTCGGCTACTACAACGATAATTAAAATTGTGGAATGCCATACAGTTGACGAAACATGGAGCTAGCAGAAAAGTGTTCCATTAAACAAGTTATAGATTAATTTAAGCGTTATTGGAACTGCTAATGGATCAAGCAAACTATTTCCTCTATTTTCTCCTTAACGCTTATCCTTTCGGGCAGCTCAGCACCTAGATACTGTGAACGAAATCCTACTTTGCGTTCACTATTGTACCCTCGTCTATTCGATTCTGTCTATGAAGAAATCACGATAATCGCTATAGAGATGCAATATCAGAAAGAACCAGCTGAATAAGATCATAATCAATATAAATTTATTCAAGTATCGTCTAATCTCTTTCCATGTTTTTACTATACTAATATTTAATTTTGTCCTAAATATACGGTAGTCATTTATTCTATACAAATTCTTCTCAAAGCTTAATATTTCCTCACTAATTAGATCCTCTCGCGAATGATACTAAAGTAATCGTTAAAGAGATACCAATGCCAGAAATGATTAACTCAGCAAAGATAATCATGGAAAATTTATATTAAAATCTCGATCAATCTCTTCCAATATATCTTATTCTACAAATACTTATTTATCGCTAGATATAGAGCAGCAAATATTTATTCATTCTTGGTAGCCTCTTTGCGATATTTACTGTAACCTTAAATATAATTATTAGACCCTATCGAGAATATCAAGAAAGATTTTACAGTTAGTTGACAACAGAGATAGAAGTGTCAAGGATTGATAATTCCTATTAAAATACCTTTTAATCTCTTTTACTATTTTTTTTATACCAATATTTATTTCGTACTAGATACACGTATTGTTGTTCTGTACAAGCTCGACGCAATATTTGTTGTACCTTTGCTTATTCGATTCTATTGAAACGAAAATACAATAACTGCGGTAGTAATACAACTATTGGAAAGGATCTACTCAACAAGACTATAATATTGACATTAAAATATCCTTCCGTCTCTTCTAATAATTTCTACTATTCCTATACCTATTTTGCGTCAGATACGCGGGTAGCTATTCATTATATGAATTTTCACCATGCTTGTTGTACTCTCACTTACTAAATCTTTTCCAGAAAGAAACTATAACAGTTACTACAGAAAGGCAAATATCGGGAAGATCAACTCCATAAGACTGTAATATAAAGCTCATATTAAAAATATCGCCAGTCTCTTTTAACATTTTTTTATTATACCAATATTTATTATGTACCAGAGGTAACTATTCTATTTAAACTCTTAGTAATTTTTGCCATACCTTCCTTCATTGGTTAGATTCTAGCGGAAAAGAAATTATGGTAGCCGCTATAAACATGTAAAGCTCGAGAAGAATCAACTCGGCAAGATTAAAGCAGAAAACCGACATTAAAATGCTCTTGTTTATAATATTTTTTTCTATATCAATATTTATTTTATTATCCTAGCTACAATTATTCATTCTATATGACTTCTTGGCAACGCTATTACATGGATAATAAGATAGAAAGTAAATCATTTCCGAGTGCATTCTAAACGTTAAAATTAAACTTGGGATACTCGTATAACTTTACAATCAGTAGCACCAACCTCTTCAAGCGACAATAATCGTACCGTTATTTTTATTACGACACTTTTTGACTTAATCGGAAGTCATGATTTTCGATTATTTTCATTAATGTTCCATGCTATATTAGTTACGGACTATTGCTAATTCATTAGATGTGCTCGTATTTATTGCTAATAAGTCAACACACGACTCCAATTCATGTTGCAACTTGTATTTGATAGGATTTGAGGTAATAGATTATTTCGGTGTAATTATGAACGCATCATAATTCTGGCACCTTAAGGAACTGATTAAGGTTATACTATGCTTATGGTTTTCAATATTCGATATACGAGCATTGATAGTACAGTTCACTAATTGAAATTTTATGCATAATAATTACGAGAGTATAAATCTAAATTAAACTGACGAAACTAAATGCTAACGTAAACTGATCTTTACTACTTTCATACTTAGTTAGTACATGGATTAAGTCAATCCAGATTACTAACAAACAATCTTAGAGTAAACAATATTATGGCGTCGAATAAGCTTTAATGTTCTTAAAATTTCTTTCGATTCCGGCAAAGAAGGATGAGCGATCACTATAGTGATGGCGGATACATTAGATATAGAATAGAGAGCTTTTAGACGGCCTATACTATGCTACATGATCAGAACTTCAAGAAGCGGTTTAAAACAAAATTTAGGATTGATGTTCGCTGTTATCTAAAACTTTTCGGCATAAAAAAAAGTTTCCCACGCATTTCAATACCTCTTGCTGTATGCAAGCTTATGCAGCAGCATACAGCTCTACTACAGGTTAACCCAGTTGTACGCAAACAGCTATCAACTAATTACTCCATTTGCCGGTAGAATAGAGCCGAAGGATTATTCCTATGAATCTCCATTGTAAAATCGACCTAGTCCAACGCTGATCTCATATTATCGCCATAAGTTCAGCACTACTCATCCGACTAGGCTTAACTGATGTAATTATTCCGAGCTAGCAAGTCCAACGGCATCTTGGCCTTCTTGCTATTTCCTTAGTAAGCCAATAGAAAACTTCATATTGTAATACAAATATAGGCATATATTGAATAATCAATTGATTGTTAATTGGCTCTAATAGTAAACAATCACGAACACGTGGTAAAATTTCTCTATATTTATATCCTCTCATTTATGATAGCTACTTCCGTATATGTTGATTATTTTACAACTTCCCAAATGATGCTAGAAAGATTTTATTCACCTAAAATTGACAATCATTGTCATGTCATGGAATTCTTTTCCCAATTGGTATCATTAGATTACGATTATCTATATCCTTTTAGACACCAATCTCGATATTACGTCGTAATCTTACTTAATCTCGATATGGGATACTTTAATCTAACCTGTTTGTTCTACACTCCTATTTATTGCAGTACTTTCAATTCTAATAAAACTGTTGCTATTAAGCGGCGCTTTTATTTAATCACTCTTAACTATACAATAAAATTATCTAAATAATATTGAAAAGATTCAATTTAGGACTGACATACCTTATAGACTTGAATGACTATCATATAGTAAGTTAAGGAATGTCACCGATCGATACTCACTTTTATTGCCCTGAAGGCATAAGTTAAACAATAGTTGTCATTTCAATTAAATTTTGCTACAATAGAATAAAGAAAGAAATAGGTTAACATCAACTAGCAAATAAATATATATCCAAGTCCTTATATAAGGTAGACGACTGATTCAATTGATTTAATTGAAGGTGTGCGGGATGATGGAAATACCAATTCGTATCATTCATTTCCTATCTTGTATCTACAAATTTCTTGAGGATTTTGCTGCTAATTTTAACGAAATAGCAACTCAGCAAGACAGGGAAGCAGTTTTACTATGGTTTCAGCATTCTTCTCCTTCACTTTATACGTAAGTAATTGCATTAGATTCCATTTTTGTAGAATATTTATTAGCATAAACTTTTTTCATTACGATTAAGTCCAGAATTGGTTTTGTCAGTATTGCAAACATTAATTTTACTTGAGCGTAGTAAAATTCACGGTAAAAGTAGTTTATTCATTATTTACTTAACTATCCTAATTATCCCTCGATTTGGATACAAGTAGATAAAATCAGTTCTCTAAGAAAATTAATTTGTGTTATTTCGTTCAACTAGCACCGACATACAAAAATCTTAATACGCAGTACTCTATTTAGAGTTTTTTCCATTCTCAGTAAAAAATTGCTGGTACCTGTCATCAAACTTAACTCCTAATTTAAATGCTTGTTACACTCTAAGTATTTACATTAAAATAACTATTATTGATTTAATTTTCACCGACGAAATATAAGCACAAGCCATAATCAGATACTTTCTGCTAGACAGATTAATCCTCCATTTAAAGATTTCTATCGGTTATACTTTTTTGTTTTTCTACTTATTTCCAAAGCCTAATAATCTAATAATGAAATTATATTGGATATTAAGAAACTTTAAAATTAGCATCTGTATTCCCTTGAATAATAATAAGCAATAGATAACCGTAATTTTATTCCATAACTTAAAAATAACTATCCTTGATTTTGATTGACCATATCGAAGGAAAACTTAATTTTTAGTAATTGCACTTTTGATTAAATTTACCGTAAATTTTAATAGTTCAGACAACTGCAGCAAAACCGAAACAAAGCTATTTCAGAATTTTCCAAGCAAATTCTCTCTAATTCCAAAATAAGTTAAACAGAGATATGACTTTTCATCGACCGATACGGTATACGCTATTAATTAAACAAGCGTATTTGGAAGAAAACTATAGTAGTTACACTATCGTATATAATCAAAGCGCACTTGCTAAAATTAAACTAGTCATTAACTGAACTCTGCCGCACTCTTTTAATTGCGCCATACCGGACAATTGATTACAGACAAACAAATTTATTTATTTCGGAAAAATAGCTTTTAATTATGATCGGCAAAGCTATACCACCTGCAGTGCTCAAACTCTTAATCAAAATATTTTTGTCAGCGAGCATAATGACTAAGATACGCGTATATTAAAAACTCTTTGTAATTGGTTACAGTTAATTATTTCTTCTACAAGACGATGTAATTGGACTGAATAAAGTATTCGGAAATATACCCTTTCAGTCAAAGTGCGCTGACCAAAATTAAACTAGTCATTAACCGAATTCTAAAGCACTCCTTCAATAGGCTAAAAGAAATAGATATTTCCGATGGCTGTATGTTTATCTTCAACTTCAGTTTATTTTAATATTTTTAATTCTTCTAAGCGGATTACGGACACATTCACTTTGTCAATTAATTTTATTTAGCAAGATAATGGGAATTAAAACTTCAGCATTTATGATTTTACAGTAAAAAACAATTAAGAACTAGTCACTTACATTCTTAAATGCTATCGCCTATAAAAAGGAAAAAATATCCTTATTGCTCTTAAACTTGTCTTTTAAAATAATTTCATATTTTTTTACCTTAAAGAATCCTTAAGCCGTATTTAAAAAATTAGATAGTCGCTTTATTTCTCCTTATCTTGTTCTTTATATGCGAAATTATAGTTGTAGTATTTCAGTTAAAATAATTTGGCGTCAGTTTTCAAAATCTCATTTAAATATTCTTATTAATCGACAACATCTGATAGTCTACATTGGGAGAGGTAACGAAATACTTTAGTTACTGTTAAGCGAAAAAACATTCCTAATCTATATAACAATAGTGCGTAATTTATGCGACTTTTTAATATGAACTATAAACTCTTTTCTATGCTTTATATAATTAATACGGCACCTTACAGCCTTTTTGTGATTGAATTCTAGGTACGATTCTGATAAAGCTAAAATTAAAATTTGGCTCTCAACAGTTCTGCTACATGCGATTGATAAAATCAGCAGCTCCATGATCCAGGTTAGAAACGGCCTGAGTGTTGCTTTAATAATGTACATAAAATGAAGCTCATGGTTTAAACCTGTAATTTATACTAAATTAACTTCAAAATCATATAATAAAGCGGCTACAAAAATGATTAGATAGGCTATAGTAATCGTAAATTTAATTTTAGAGTTTTCTAAATATCCCCGTGAACAACAGCCTAGAAAACTAGAAATTTTAAATTTATATTTTTATGACGTGATATTTGCTTACACGTTGAGAACATGACGTAAATAATTCAATATAGATTTAAAAAAATAGTTTCATATGCTATTGCAGCTTTTTACATTTATCATAGATTTAATTTAACCTTCATCGTCAAGTTATAGCAAACTAAAGGATTGTCTTTATCAATTCTGACTATCATAGCATGGAGAAATTCAAGTGTTGCATCTTGAAGCATGGCTATTGGAAATTAAGGTAATATTAATACCAACTAGTTATTGATACTTGCTTACATGTGCATTATATAAGCCAAATTTTGGAACAATCAAACTTTTAGTTTCATATTTTGCTTCGTAATGCAGCAAAATGAGCAATTACGGCTACTGTTTTCTAAAGGAAAATTTTACAGAATTGATCTTTATGCGCTATTAAAATAAATCGCAAAATTAATTTCAGAGAGACTTAGGCAATCACACATTACCGGCTATCCGAAGATGCAGTGAACAAATTGACACTGGTGAATATGTAAGCCCAATATGAATGAAAGTATCTAAGGATACAAATAGAGGTTTAAAAACCATAAAAGAGCTCAATTTTATTAGTTGCTATCCAAGATACGCAAATTGTAAAATGCAATCACGATTAAACAGGAATCGCAATATATTATAAATATTTTCAGTATTCATATCCGGATTATAAGATTACTTCAAATACAGAGACAGATAATCGTATAGAATTTAAAGGCAGTATAGAAGCATCCATAAAAATTTCTATCGTCTCAAGTCGAAGTAATATACACGTAATATCCTATGTGCCTAACTAGATGGGCAAAATCAAGCGGTGATATAGGATTTTCATACCGGCTTAACACCAAGACTTATTACAGCGTATTCAACAGCTTTCCAATTTTAGAGACGGATTCAATATTCTGTATTGACCATAGATCAACATTGAACTGTTTTTCTCTGATTTTTCCGGGTAACAGGAGTCAAGGGATGTGAATTGTGACAGTCTTGACGAAATTGCTCATTTTTATAAGCACTATATCACACTAAAGATTATCCATTACCAAACTTCATCACTTTTTTCTCAATATTCTCAATCGGAAGCTTCTTATCTCCAATATGAGAGAACTCATTCTCTGTGTGATCCAAAACTAATACTAGCTGATCCTTCATTAAAAGATCTCTTCAATAAGTTAGTCGTGGTGAGTAAAATTTTTGCATCGTTCGTTATACCATAAAAAGCAAATACAAATAAGAATGTTCTCATGACTACTTATCGCATAACTGGAATAAGACGAAATCTATTTCTACGATTCCATCTATTCAGTAAATCTGTCTGCAGCTCTTTTCGCTACTGTAAATAGTAACTTGTTCAATATATTCTCAGTGAGCTAGTCATATGTTGAAAATAAGCAATCTTGACTTAATTGCAATCTTAGTTTGCTAACCAACAATAGATTTGACGGGAATAACTCATTATGTATGCGTAGATAGTGAAAGTTTTCCATGTTATTCAATCTCATCGCATCTATGCGTAATTCTAAGCACACTTCGGATACTTTTATACTTGTATGCTAGAAAAATAAAAATAGGGTTAATAATTTTACTTGCTTATATAAATCTTATAGCATACAATAATATTTCATTTCTAGTTACTAAATCTGAAAATGATGTTACTGTTTATTAATTTTCTCAATTTTTAATACTGTTTGCTGCATATTAATGTATGCGAACGATAGTCTGCTGTATCGCTTCATCAAGAAATGATTCATAAGTGTATTAATCAACCTCAACAAGAAGTGCTAGAGAATATTAAAGCTTGGAAAAGGCGAACGCGATTACATTCAGATGTATCAACTTTTCCGATAGCATCAACAGATGCTCTTCGAGCAATTCGATATAGGTATTTCTATTTCCATCTGATGTAATTAGAGACATCTATGTAATAATCCTTTAGCATCGACATTAATTGAACAATGTTTTTCTTATATTGCATGAACACCCTTGAATAAACCTAGGCTTATAGCTTTGATGCAGTTACAAGATAGCATGATTGAGTTAATACAGGAGGTAAGCTTAGCCTTAATTAAACTCCTTTACTATGCATTGAGACACTTAAATGACCCAGTCAATCCTGCTTCTCTTCAAGAATTAATTTCGATGACGGAAGATACGAGAAAAGCTACTATTAAATATCTGATAAGTGATTTCGTTAATCTACTGTATGCAAACATTGAGCAGGTTCCCTAGTTTAGACATTACAAATAGGATATCATACCGAATATGGCAACATGAGAATACATATATAGATAAGCTTAATATAGTACCATAACTACATCTATATATGCATGACGTGATAATAACATCGTGATATTTAACCATATATAGAAAGAAGGTAACATACTAATTATGTAACTATTACAGAACGTGACAGGATCGTATTGTACGAAGAATTTATCTAATTACGATTTAAGTATCGCTATTATTTCTTATAGACCACTACCGTCATAAGTACTTTAAATTCATATGGTCTTGCTTTGGAGCTTCAGCTAAATTTCTGCTATGAATACACTAAAGGCCTCCTTCAAATGAAAAATGAATTGCTACGTCGGTATGATTTTAGTAATGCCATCAATCGCTATTAATCTCTTCTTGTTGTACTAGCTGCTATTATAGAATCTCAGCCATTGAATTAATTGCTAAATTTTTAAGTAGCGTTCTATTACTAATGGTTTTATTCTAGATCATTTTTCGTCATGATTCAATGTTTCCCTGCTCCTAAAGTAGATGGTACAATCACCTGTAAACTAGTGTAAGCTATTCTTTTTAGCTAGTAATGTAGTTAAATAAAAAGCGGCTAGAAAATACAAGTATTTTCTGATCTATTACCTAAATGAGGACTCTTTTTGACTAGTTAGTGCTCAGTATGAGGTACTGTACTTAGCTAAATAGTAATTAAATATTGGTCCATGTTAGATTAAATATCTATCAACCTTTATTACAATCAACTGTCACAGCTTTTAATGTAAATACTAATTCTTATAGGCTTTTAGCTGATAATTATGTAAAAGAAGTAAGTGGAGTTGCTGCTCATTATATAGGGTAGGTTACGACGAAATGTACATTTTTGCTAAATGGCTTATTGATATTTAAATTAGTAATAGCATTATGGCCAGTTGATTTAGGCTGCCTTAAGTAATAGCCGTATCTTTTACATATCCAAGTCATTTTATATTATTTATGTCGAGATTGTCATTTTTTGAATAAGCACTTGATTAATCGAGAAATAGTCTTACTACTATTCAGTATCACTTATAATATCCTATGTTAGCAGTCAATATAGCTATAGCCGTGATTCTAATTTCAATTACCGACATTTTTAATTCTATTGATCGGATCGATTATATTTTAAGATTTACTGATCAACATCGCGATCAATATAAGATACTGGTAAGTTTTGATGAACTCTGTTTCGAAATATACATTCTACAGTAATTCAGGCCGAATTACAGGCAAAACTATAGTTTAAAATGATAGGTGATGTATATTTAAATGCGTCATTGGTATTATTGGAGATTGTAATAATAGTTCGGTATTGAATTATGTAGCCAAGGATGCAAAAGGAACAATATCAAAATGGCGATCGTGGAGAACTTCTTGTTTCAGATATCAAAATTAAACTCAATAAAGCATCCAGAGGAAATCAATCCGGGGTAACTTTTAAATGACCATGCCAAAATATGTTTTTCCGATTTCTAAAATGATGCATTCTATGAATTTTAAAAATCCACATTAATTAGGGCTATGTAACTGATTTTCGTTACCAGCTGGGCTTTCATTGCAACATCACCACGATTAAGAATGTAAATATAACGGTAAATAATGCTTCGAATAAAGTTAGAAATAATGTTAAATTCTGTTGATATTTTTGTTCTTAAAAATATAATTTTATATTGTTTGCATAATAACCCAAAGTATGAATCATACGTGTATAACTAAATTAAAGCAATTTATAACTCAAATTTCATTTTATAACGCGAAATAAGTCTAGAAATAGGATATACAGATCGATAAATTTCATGTACATATCTAAGATTTATATCAAACTTAAAGTAGGTTATAAAGATAAGTAAAACTGGTGGTAGTTTCAAATATGATGTTACAGCACGATGCCATGATAAATTATAGTGGTTTATACGAGCAGTACTCATTAAAACTTGAAGCAGGATATTAATCTAAATCGACGTTTATCATAATTCAGAAGTGATCTTGTAATACAACATAAAACTTTAAAATGGATATACGGTTAAGATGAATTATCCAAGCCTGTAATTCAGTTATGATTTAATAATATTATAAGCGCATAAGGCTAGAAGTATGATATAAAGATAATTGCAATTGCTTGAACTTTAGCTGTAATCTTGCCTTGCTTTCGAAATAGTAGTTATCATGTAGTAATATCACTATGTCTCTGTATTGCAACTTATTCCTTCATTAATTACCCTTACAATTTATTTACTGTGGTTAATCTAGCTTGAATGCAGGACTTTACCATTTGTATTTCGAACTGGAAGAGCTCAAAATGCGAAAGCTCAGTCGACATTGGCTTGGGATAATTACTTCTTGGATGATGTTGATGTACGAGAATAACTAGCATACAGCTTAAGATCATTAGTGTAAATATCTATGTTGCAAAATAATTTACATCCGCAAGCATTACTGACCTATAATGATTTCATTACTTTATAGAAAATAGATGTTTATTGTCTGAAATATAGACTAGTTCAAGAAATTAAAAATTAGGAAATTTCACAATATAACTATTCAACTAATTTCCTTGCCTATGTTAAAGTTTGACTTTAAGGACTTAAATTAGAATGATAGGATTATCAAGTTATAAATGAAATAAATTCTTCAATATAATTTTTTAATCATTGATTTCTAAATTTAATTTTCTACCATGCAGACAATTGATATTAATTGTCTTAAACATGAAGAGAAAATTACGTTTGCGCAACTTGAAGAAATTTTACAATGCGAATTTAAACGTCGTCTTGGCAAACCCTTAACGCCAGCCAACTTAGACTTCTTAAAGAGTTTAATAACAGGCATATTGATTTTAAAATTTAATTTATCAAACTAAAAATTTAAGATAGCGTAATTAATATCTAGCGGATGACTTAACGCTTTAAATTCTTACGCTATTGCTATTATGAAATAGTGGTAAGGTAGATTGTAAATTCGCTAAGACTAAACGTTAATCGCTTCTTTTTTCTTTATAGGTAGAGAAATTCATACTAGTTATAGCAGAAATGAAGACTTCATCTCATGGGACGATTTTCATTACGTTAGTATTCTGACTGTCATCATACCAGATAATAATGTTATAAATGTTATGAATAGCTTGTATAGGCAATTTAGTAACAATAATTAGAAAGATCCATATATTTTGTAATTAAGAACATTTTCTTCCTTAATAATAGTTAACAAAACTAGGCAATAAAAATAAGTCATGCAGTGTTGGTGAATGGATCTTTACGTGTTTAGAGGTTCTAGCTAAGCCTGAAAATTCACTTCTTCGCATGTGGCAAGATGAGTAAGTATACTGCTATTGAAATTTTGAAGTTTAAAAAATGCAATAACAATGAATACACTTTTATGTATTCACTTTCAAATATTTGAAGGCATATTGTAGGATTTATTAGCAGAAGTGATGTAGAAGAAAGCTTGAGAAATCAACCACGTAAATGTTTAATCAGATTCAGTCAGCAAGTGCCGGGTGCAATAACGATTCCTTATACTGATGGTAAATAATATATTTTCCTAACCAACTGTAAATTTTATCTCTGTTAAAGTTGAACAATCGATAGCCATATTATGAAGTTATTAATATCGAAACAATATCAGCTATGATTTTCATTGCTTGCTCTCAATGTTGGATTAGAAAATAGTGATATACATTGGCCCAAACCCATTCAATGCTCTGGGTCGCAATCGACTATAACATGGATAGATTCGTATGAATTCTTTCTATGCTCTCTTATCGTCAGTTGATTTCTATGCAAAAACATGAAATTTTTTCTGATACCATTTAATTTTCAAGGATTTTAATTGACGGAAGGCTTAATTCAAGTATTTTATGTCCGAAACAAATACCAATAGCAGATTTAATGCGATATCGAAAGAAGCATAAATCAGGTTTGACGTCATATGCTTATATTACAATAATGCTAATAGCCTTCACATTTCCGACTTTTACGTTACCACATGAGATATATAACCCAGAGCAATCATAAGTCTTATTTTAATTAAGGTTTATACTGGTAATTTAAGTAGTCTTTTTATTTACCAACTAGAAATCCTTGTTGGATACGATACCTCATTCCCGATTCTATCGGTATAGCCTAAAATTCGACATTTAACTTCAGTTGATTGGTTTTCTGGGACTCTTTATATATCATTAAACCCAAGATAATTAGCTCATTTAGGAAATATCTACCATTTAGCACCAATCGATTCGACTTGCTTTTTATCATTATTAATGACCAAACTCGAACACTACAAAGATATGGCTGAAAACTGGAATAAGGATCATTACTAAACTGCAATAGTTAAGCAGTATAATATATGATATTTACTGATAGATCACATTTACAATTCTAATTGCAAGTCGAACAGCAACTATGGCAGTCAAGCAGAGATTCATATTTTAATTCATCGTTTAATCCTTATTCAGATTGTACAGTAAGGCGATAAACTAATTTCATGCTTTTACTATTAGTTATAGGTTAATTTTCTAGATTTTAAGTTTAAATTTTACAAATCATTTTTATGTCAACACCTGTCGAGCATTATTTAAAACTATAACTTGTATAATTTATAATCGCCGATAAGTAATTTCTTATGCTACAGTACTCTTTTAATATTGCTATTTCATTATTACTGTATTGAAGGTTTGGTATGTTAATTGCTGTTTAAAGATGTTGCTTTTAACTTTTTTAAAATAAAGAGCATTAATCATAGAGCATTATATTTTTGTAATATATGAGCACCCATTGTTACATGAATTGTTACCCTTCTTGTTTGATATCAACGAATTAATATAATATTTATTGATTACCAGGTAAAGGATAAAACATAATTCTTCAAATTTTCGGCTTATAAACGTTTAAATAACACACTGTATTAGCCAAGCAGATAAACTGCTTACAAAAGTCTCCTTACTTATGCATACGAAAATTTGATAAAAGATGTTAGTGCAATTTCCCTTATGAGATGTCTTGGATTGAAGACAAAAAACTTGAAAATATTGATAACAAACAAGATGCAGAAAATAGCGACTAGGAACTGTAATATAACAGTATCGAAGTAATTTAAATCGATAATTTTTAATACTAAAGACACCACACATTTTTGTTAATGATAATCAAGTCTACAAGTTGAGAAAATACAATCGGCCTATCAGGTTTGAATAGCAAATTGACAGTAGTAAAGGTCAAATTATTATTTTAATACAATGATATTGACGTAAATAGCAAAAGCATGTAATGAGGATACCATGCATGAAATTTATATATCTGGAAATTCAATTTTTCTAGTATTCAACAAGTGTTTTACGAGCCGGTGAATACAGCTAAAAACGGAAAGCAGCACTACTCTTGCTAAAGTTAATCTTAACGATTATCAATATTAGTATGGTATGTTATACCGTATATATATCTAATACGGTGTTAAATTTCTTACACATATTTCGTCAAATGTTACCATAATGTGCTGAACAAGCTTTAGTATTAAAGCAAAATTAGAAAAGTTAATCTTTGTGTAGATCACGTAGGTCAACTCATAGCGTCAATTTACAGGAATAAGAAAAAGAAATGTCCATGTAATACACGGTCATTAATTTCATTTCTATGTTAACAAGTGAGATGGATTAAAGCTATCACTAAGATAAACCTGGCTTAAATACACAATTAACAGTAAAATACTGCAGTTTCCAAGTAATGTCTCAAGTAACGTGTTCATATTGTTTAAAATGGATGAATTTAAAGTAAGCTAATTGAAAAGGAAACGATGCAATAAAATATTTATTACCGTCTTAATTTATGCCAGTAATAAAACTGGAAAGAAGAATTAGTACGATTAAACAAACTGCTATGTACCATAGCACTATCATCAATAGAGATTTTCCCTGCCTTGCGTATCCTTTTAGCTTATAATCCCTAACAATTTGATTTAAATTTCTCTTTTCTGGCTTGTAACCAAGTTCCTTTTTAGCTTTGTCTAATTTAAAGTAGTGCGTCACACCAGTTTTATAGACCTCAGCTCGTGTAATTAACGGTTGAAAATTGATGATATAACGTCCAACAAAGGCATGAATTAGTTCAATTATAAAAGCTATAATAAAAAAAGCAATATAATGTTTTTATTATTGCTTATGGAAAAAGATCCTATTGAGTTCCTGTATACTGTTATGTTAAATATTCCATCTGATACTTTTTGGGAACATATAAATTGTTGACCGTACACTAAATTAACATCCTCTATATTGATAATTGTTAAGAAATATTTCTAATTACTTATCGCCTAATCATTATATGACGCCATAACAATTATCATCTTCTCATTATCTTACCAATATAATACATAACGCTAACAGGTAATGTGATAATAGGAAACTTGTAACCGAGTCCTTCAAACTACAAGCAAGGAAATGTTAATTTAACTGAGTCAATGTAGAACAGGAATAAAGCTCAATATTATTTATTAAAACGTTAGTAGATGCCCTATGAAATAAAATTTAATTATATATATATATTACATTTAATTAATATTTGGTTACAATTATTAAGAACTGTGGTTATCATCATACCATTGGACGGAAAAATTCAAAGTTATTGATCGGACATCCATCAGAAATGAAATAACAACTTCCTGCCTATAATGCAAAAAATCCAAGGATAACGGTCTAATATATTCTTTAGAGTCGCATAATATTTCATAATCAAATATGTCGATGAGCAATTTGAACTGTTTAGCTCATACCGCTATATGGTTCTTTTTGCTGCTTAAGCCAATCGCGGCAAGTTCATGAGCTTTAACTAAATTATCAACGTGGACAAATTCTACCAAGTTAGATTGAGGTCCAATCTTGAAGGAAAAGAGTCCATTCTGGATTAATTTCTGTTATTAATTAAGAATAATTCGGATTAAAATTCGTTGAAAATAGGTTAAATGTAGGTTTAAATTTACTAAGTTTACATTATTTAATTCATTTAACCAGATTGACTGGTTCTACATAGATGTTTTACTTTACACAAAAATACTCTTAAAGATTTATTAAGGTTATTGATAAATATCTTACCATAATGCGAGGCATATGTCTCTGTTCTTCCTCTCCATATATTCCAGCGGGTCTAATTGCACAAGTTAACAAGCGATTTCCATCTAAAGTATTTTGTGCCTTTTGTTAGTTTACTATACTGGTTATACGTATGTTAATGGACAGTTAGCTAAAAATCTTCATACTTGCAGTTTCAGATCCATTAGCTTTGAGGATTGCTTGCTCAGCTATAGATTTAGTCTTTGAGTAATAATCGCAGTGCTAAAAGGTATAGTAAGGATTCATGATTACTGTATATTGATAAACTCATGTATTGCATTTATGATATTATCTTCTTACTTTTTCTAGCGGAAAATATGGTAAACTTTCATCCCCATTTATTATCGGCTGACCGCCAAAAACCACATTAGTAGTACTAGTATAAACAAGATATTTGACATTTGCTTCTATGCACGCTAAAATGGAATAGTAATGCAATAGATTTACAATTACCAATCAAGAATTATAAAGTGGGTTAGGAATACATAAAAAAGTAAATGGCTGTTAACACTATGCAGCATTTTACCAAATATAAAGCATTATTAAGTATGGTGTTAGATATAGGCCTTGTAGGATATCACGGCAATTGAAGACAACTACATAGTTAGTTTAGTTATAGACCTAGCGTAGACTATTGTAGCACGAGACGATACTGGAAATTGAGATCCAAGAAAGGTTATAATTAGACTTTACGTCTACAGTAGTCTACCATTAAATACTGAATAGCAGTATAAAAGCATATTTGAGTATTAAATATTCCCCATTTCAGCGGCTAGACCCGATTTTAGATGAATTTTAAGTAGTGGCTGGTATGCTATTAGCACTATTGGTTAAGTGTAGTACTATGTTGTAGGGCAATCATTTCATTGTGTCGTTTAAATTTAACATAAGGTAGCTTCGATTTGCAGCAGATAGAAAGACCTTCTTGTTTATACACAACATACCGTTAATGCTGTTATTTGTGCCATCGATATTCACTTCTTCGATCAATTTCTTATTTAGCTAAGATAGGAAGCATATCAAGTCAATTTTGTTATTCAATGGAGAAACTGAATGTAGATATGGGTTCTTAACTTTAATCAACAGTTATTTTATTAAGACAGACAGAGCTACACTACAAACTATAACATATACTGTAATTATACTGTAATTATCGAAAATCATTACACTAAAGTAATTCAATATCCTAGTAAGGTTTTAGCTTTTACCTGTTCTCTTCCTGACATCCCATATGATGCTACATGAAATACACAATCTACACCTTTGAAAGATTCTTTTAATTCATGGTAATTTCTAACATCTCCCTAGAAGTTAAAAGTTTAATTAAACGGATAGAAATGCATCAATGATTACATCAATGATTTCCCCTTATTACTAAAATATAAAGACTCATTTTGATAGCAAGATCGAAATGATTAATTGATAAATTATTCATTAGTTGCGTAGTATTTAAATTTCATTTAATATACTATATACTCGTCTATAAATTATTTATCGACTTCTTTCTCCTCTTGAGTGCTAAATACTGGTAGACAAGTCATTTCTCAACATCGTCGATTCTATAGCAATGTTGATAAATATCTACTAATAAACTTATAAAGTATTTATAGGATGAATCGATAGTCAAGAAAATTTGAATATAGTTTAATTAAAGAAGAACTACTGTCATGCTATAGCAAGATTTATGCTGGACTTACTTGAATGAAAGGCGATGATTTGGAATATATAGCGGCTGATGTTGATTTATCGAAGAGTCTGACATCACATCCAAAACTTTCTAAAGACGCCGCTAATTTATTTCCCAAATAACCACCACCACCGACAATAACACAAGACTTAATAGTGGCAGCAAAATGACTCAATGCAGTATCCATCTTCAGCTTGTAAGAGGAGAACTACTACAGCTAATCAAGTTAAATAAAGTTGTAAAATGATTAATGTAGAACCTGCAGTACCTTTCGATTCAAGTTCGTGACTGTTGTTTACTATACGAGAACGTATAAGCGTATTCTCAGCAAAGATTGATGCGTTTTAATAACTGTATGCTATAGCGTTGGATGTTATAGTTGCTGCAATGTTGTTCTTCATTAGCTTAAGAGGATTTGATAGTACTATCTATCGTTTATCAAACCATCCATCAGTAATAAATAAATTAATTATGAGTAAATGCCTTCCCTCTCTTCGTGATTATATTATTGCATAGTGAATATAATATACTGTTCGAGCATAATGGCAGCGGCTATAGCACAGTACTAGTATTAGCAGTTGGCGTTAGTGGAATTGTAAGTCGCAAAGTCCGTCTTTTCCGTGCATCTGCAATTCTGAAGACGAATAACCCTACCACACAAAATTCTAACACAAAGAGTCTTGTGTAAGCTTAATGGAGAGTTTAGGAAGCTGCATCGAAGATGATTTAGCTGTAAATTTTTCTTTGAACAGATTACTTTGAGCAAATTATGTTCCCGTTTATTGGAATGAGTCATGAACTAGTGCTGTATATGTAGTGTACACTGTACAGAATGTATAAAGCCTCATCTTTAGGCTAGTAAATTCGTCAGTTTTCGTTCTGTGAATGATATTAACTAGGAATTCTCTCATCTTTAGGGTCTGCACATGCTGTAAGAGTGTCGATTCAGTCTTGTGGATGATAGAAATGATAGTTTGCCATCTTTAATATGCCCATTGATGCTGTCAGTTCGCTCTAAAATCCAGTTCTGTGGTACAAAAGGTAACGAGAAGGCTGGAATCGTCAAGATGGATTCAATTACCGTCATCATTAGTCTACTAAAGCGATACTTATGCACTCGTATCTGTGCTAACAGTCATGGTGCATAAAGTTCAACTGAATCAAGTATGCGTATGATGTATAAGAAAATTAAACTTTATAAGTCTTCAGCGATAGGTCTTTATCACTTTAGAAGCTTACTACTGCGTTACTGGCAGCAAGGAAAGAATACCACCTTCAACAGATTGATTAAGAATTGTCTTCAATCGATCTCGTGCCAAATGATAGGCGAAGAGCAACTTTTACCAGGGGTTTCTCGATTTTTTGAATATACGTGTAAGGGTAAAAAATAATTGAAAAGTCTCTACATTTACCATACGTGCATAATACAGTAGATCGTTTTGTAGGACATTGTGATTGCTTTCATCACATTCAGTTTTGATCGAATTATATTGGACTACACTGCATTAACTTCACGATATCAAATATCATTCATGAGAATCAGATGATCGTTAAGATTACAATCTCGAGTTAGATATAATATACCAGTGCAATGAATACAAATTCGTAAGACAGTTGGACAAAGTAACGTGGGGCGCACAGTGATTATGAATATGCATACAACAAAGCTTAACGTGTTTCGAAACGCAAAGGCAGAATACAAACTCCAAATGAATTCCTTCTTCTTGTATTGCATTTTGCCTTATCTCCAATTTTACGAGCACACAATAACATCAATTATAGAAGAAGGCATAACTGTTCGATTCAAACTATAAAACTTTTATTGACACGATTCATGTAAGATGACCAAGCTTTCGCTTTAATCAAAGTACGTCGAGAATAATAGCAGTAAGAATATACCATTATACCTTGTATTACAGTAAAAGAGTTATGTAACAGCTAAAACAATTGGTAGCTCAGAATTAATGTAAAGTACTACTTACTGGTTGTAGTAAAAGTAGCCACAAGCACAAACTTCATTGAAAGACAGCGCACTGATTTCGTACAGCGGTGTATTTCTCTTAAATAAGACGTGAACCAGTATTGACTAAGCTATCTGGTGCTACGTTATGAATGTTCAACAGAGACAAGGAGTATAACTTCGAACTTAATATCAAGTTTCTTATTAGTACACAGCTTTGGACAGCCAGCACCAAACGCATTGCTTCTTCGCGATAGCATCACTACTTAAAAATCTTACAAATTTTAAATCATACCGACCAGAATGCAGTACTTAACAGTAGCCTGGTAATTTCAGTAATTAGACAGTGCATTAATGAAAGAAAAATGCTATGATCTTCAATGATCTACACAAAGAGTGATACATAACTATTATATTTTTCAATGTTGCGCTTAAGAATATCTCCACAAGGGCCAAGAACACGTTCAAATCTTGCTCTATCCAGTTTGACACATTTCAGGGTGCTTGCTGCTTTAACTGTAGCTGCACGTGGTCGTTTCAATAAAAGAGCAATTTCACCTAGGGTGATCAATAGCCACAGCCTCTAGTTAGCATTGAATCGATATTGGAAATAAAAGCACTTTAGAAAATTCAATCAATCATACCAAAGTAGTCTGACGGTCCTAACTCTCCAACTTCGACGTATTCAGTATCACCTGGTTTTCGTTGTAGTACAACGGCTTTTCCTTCTAAAATAATAAAGAAATCTTCGCCAGGATCACCTTGTTGGATAACAATCTCGTTTTCTTCAAACTGTGCAGGTTCTAAAGAGTCTGCTACAGTGAGACGTTCCCATTGATCCAAAGATTCTAATATTGTACATGAGATAATTAGATCAATTGAATCTAGCTACTAAATCAAGCAGCTTGACAATCAACTACAAATAATGTTGTTGTTCAAAAGTACCTAAAATGGAAACTTTCTCTAAGAAGGATTCATATAATTTCCTCTTTCGCATTGTACTTCCCTAATGACATAATAATATATCAGTTATCATTTATGCCAACGCCGAGGCAAATTGAAATATTATCAGCCAATTGTTACCATGAGGATATGACGATAACTGTCGCTATCAATTGCCCATAATTTGCATTCAGTCTTAGCCTATATAAATAATAATATTGTCCAATGCATCAAGTTAGTCAAAGTTGCGGATTGCATAGGTAGAAAAATATCCCTATCATTAGGTTTATAACAGCATCAGAATATATCGCTTCATTCCACTACTCGGTTATTAAACAACTCATCGTAGTTAAACTAGAAAGAAGCTTACTAGCAATGCACTTTAGGTGATAGCTAAAAGTTACTATTGTTCCTTTACGCAATTTACCTTAATGGTAGCAGCTCTAGGTGTTCCATAAATCAATGCTAATTCACCAAAGCTTGCCATATCACCCAAAGTAGCAACCAATTTGTCACCGACATAAACCTACAAACACCACCGATTTAATAAACTACATTGATCAATTATCTCATTTAACACAAGTAGATAAAATCACTTACATCAACTTCTCCAGAATCCATTATGTAGAAATTGTCGCCCTCATCACCTAATACGTATGAACAATGAAATCAGTTCAGTTCGTTCGGTATAGACAGTAACGGAAAATTGAAAAAACAGAAAGTAGTCTTGGAAAAGGGCATTTCTATTATGCCATGATCGTAGTAATAGTATAATGAGTATTTGAAAGATTTCATTTTTATTCTAGGTTGGAATGTAGCTATGCGAGCAGACCTTGTCTGATGATGATGTCACCAGGCTTACTTTCACATGGAAACATAGCGTCAAAAATATCACTGTTTAAGAACAAAGTCCATTGTCAGCTAATATTGAAACGGTATTATCATTGAAAAAAGAGCATAAGACAAGGTTCGGTATCAATTATCGCTATTGCATAGTGACCTTCTTTCGTTATCATCCAGATGTGAAAATAAGATATTCTTTTCTATCGCTTTTGATAAAGCTTGCATGGTCTTAAAGTCTTTGGGTACAACCTAAGGTTTATTACAATTGACAATATGATCAGCCATGATTTATATACGTGGTAGAGATTTTGATCTTCCTACCAAGAGTTATACTGAATATGCGCTACATGGGTACAAGCGTGTGTAGAGTAATGTCGTATCCATCACGCTTACAATCGACGCTAGTTTGCGCTATTGGATTGTATAAGCGATAAGAAATTCTCTATGTACAACCTCTATCTACAGCACTAAGGTATACCTTCTTAACATATGTTGCAGCATCATCTTCGTTAATTACAGCACCACTAACACCACCTCTTCGTCTCCTACCAGTTGAAGCTGGTTCTGTAGTTGGTTCTTCATCTCTATCTTTGCTGTCTTCACTGCTAGACTGCCCTTGTAATTGCTTCTTTTTCTTTTCATTATAGTCCTTTAAAAAAAGAAGAATAATAACAAATAATCATTTGTATGCGTTGAAGGGGGAAGAATGAGAAAAAAAATAATACGTCCAGTCATCGCTAAGCGTAGTACTTTCTCCCATCGTCGTGGTACTGTCGTATTCTACTTGACAGTATATCAAGTAAAACAGACATTTCAACATTATAAAGGGAACAATCACTGTAATCATGCGAACTTGACAAGAGTATTGTATGCTATTTGCTAGGCCTAACGTATGACAATAGAGATGAAAAATGAACTCAAACTGCAATCCGATGGTTTCTATTTTTTCTTGAATGTCATGTTGTCTCTTTACTGATGGCTAAGGGTAAATTAAGGGCCATTGGAGGATGCAAGTGGCTACAGTGGTTGAATTGAGCAAGAAATGTTATGACCGATGCTGTCCATTCCATTTGTAATGCATCTTCTAGCTGACTGTCAACAGGCGTTCCATCCGTCCTCTCCAGCCTATTCCATTGTCCTGTTGACAATAGTCGAGTGGTACGTACTGTATCTATGGTGACATGTCTGTATTGAGAGTCATTGTGAGATGTGACACCTTTGGGCGCTGCAGCATCTTGAGTAGTGTAGAGTGGATGTGAGTCTTTTGACTGTAGGTATTGAAGTTTCTTGACTGTAGTTCCCGTTCTAGTAGAGGACAGCTTGAGTACTGTATCATACAGTTGATTGCAGTCAGCCACGACCTGGACAACGTCATGTACACAGTGTATAGTACTGTAGCGTACAGTCCAAGTCAGTGAAAGTTGGGACTGTACAAGGGGGGGGAGAAAAGAGACGCCACTTTGCGGTGTTAACATATGACTGTTACTATTGTATGGTATAGTCTATCGATTTACACCGGCCAAGTTGCAATGATCTGATGCGAGGCTGTTCAACGCGTCGAAACGCTCACTGCAAGTCTAGCCTACAGTACAGTATCAGACAGCGTGGATCCATTGGATTAGGTACTGAATCATGTTATCGTGCAATAGCTTGTTGTATCGACTTGCGACAACCATGGCTAGAATCATCATTTTTCAATGCCTTGTAGAATTCATCTGGCTTTGAAGACAAAAACTGGGCTGAATAAATTGCTTCCATTAAGGGAGAAATCGCCATCAATGTTGGCTTATACAGTAGGATTGATGGGTTGAAGATTGAATCAACGATTGGCTGTTGTAGAATTGACATTATCGACGTTGCAATCGGATGATTTTCAACTGTTGTCAAGGATAAATTCAGTCATTATTTTACACTTTAACGCCTCCACGCGACTGGTCAGTGACTATGTCCATTCTACAAGGGGAATTGAATCGGTCATAGGTAGAGTTGAAGTAGTAGACTTGGATGTACATGTGTGTGCCTTCTCTCTCTCTCTTTGCCTCTTGCGATGTGCACCATTGATAGACAATATTATTACATAGAATGCTTGGTAAGGATGCGATGAAATACCATCCACTTGGTTGGATGAAAGTCGCGGTTGGTCGATGTATGTATCGTCGATTGACGTTGGCTTCAACGAAGCAAATACCTAACAAGGCTGTCGACGATACTCGCAGCAAACAGCAATATACTTACTGGATAGGCAATGCATCGCTACTGTGGTATAACTTACGCTGTGGATAGTAGGGTATCATACACATTCAAGTGACAACAGACAAACATCAATGTTGGAATTTGTACAAAGTCAAGAATTCAATACAACTTTCTAGTTTGAAAAGAGGATGATGCTGCAGCGTTGCCTATGCTAACATGGACTAAACAGAGATAACTGTTGTACTACAAGTTCAACACTACACATTGTTGGAAAAATGTCCAATTTATTCCACGACTGAGGATAGAATAGTGTGTCATTTGCATTGAACTATTGTTCAACAGTGCTTGGAAAACATTGTGATGGTAACCACTTACCATCGATAAATTCTCAAAGTGGTCTCGCAAAAAGCTGAAAGGGTTGTTCGGTTGCGATATGCAAAGTTGTACTATGCTCTCCTTTAAGACAGCTTGTAGGTTGTGTTCTTCTACATATCTCTCACATTGTCGTAAACTTTCGGCGTCGGTATCTGCTTCAGTACCGCTGAAAGAGATCGTGGACGGCTTGGCCATTTTGCGATCAGTCCAGAGCCCTACTGTACAGAATTGGAGGCGGAGGAGTGTTAAAAAATTGCAACTTTACAGTACAGTACAGTACAGTGGTCGGTTTAAATGGTTGACTAGTAGGTGCAGTACTGAAATGTGCGCTGCACCACTATACACAGTACTGTAATACTCGCTCAACGCTGAGTACCTATTAGTCTACGGTGTGTCCACTAGTCTACAGTCCTCCGAGCCAGCAGCTTGGTACTGTACACTGTACAGTCCTATACAGCACATGGGACATATGGACGTCAGGACTTGGCGTCGGTTGTCTCGATGTGTATTTAACGTCCAAACACGAAAACTGGCCAAGCGTCTAAACGTCTCAATTTCCATTGTTACCCTAGTGTACAGTGTACAGTGCTACTGACTGTAGACGACGTACTGTAGCCTACTGCACTCGGTACTGTAGTGGAGTCAGGCTAATCATCAACCAAAATCAACAATCTACAGTACTGTATACTGTGTACTGGACAGTGTACACTAGAACGATCAACAATGGATCCTTTCCTACCTCCATGCAACAAATTAAAATTAATTAACTAACGGTTTACTTCCAACATTTTCGACAAGCATTACAATAAGATAAATTAACAGTGTCACTTGATTACATAGTGATTCCATCCTGTAGTAGATTACTACTAGCATACTACTAGCATAGATTCAACCAACTTGTGAGCTACAGTATACACGGGTAATTCAACAATTCTGACGACTCGTTATAGCCATTGGCTAAGTAGCAGCAACGACGTAGGGACAGTATTCCAATACTGTACAATCACATAGTTGTATGGGAGAAAATTGTTTTCTTTTTTTTTTTTTCATTGAATACTTCAAGGCACAGGCGATGCAGACTACGCTTGAATACCAACTTGCTACAGCGTCGATGTACGGTGGGTTACAAAAACAACACTATGGAATCTTCCTTTTGAATTATACTGTAAAGATCATGTGTTTAAAATAACATCAAGACCTACTCATCCATTACTAGAATAAATGCAGACTTGGAAATGTACAAGATACGCACTTTTCCTTTTATGAAACTCCAATTGTACTGTATTGAAGTTAAACAGGACATGACAATTTGCTGTAGATTCATGCTGTACACTGTACACAAGCCGACAGTCTACCGTTGGAAAATAATCTACTGCACCTTACAGCACTCTCATTTACCTTGAGTTTGCACTATTATTTTAATGGGAGGTATTATTTTACAGTTGTTGTAATTCCGATGTTTCTGTCGACATTGTTAAGAGAGAATATTGACATGATCGATGCCCCTTGAGGCGGTTGTTTCAGCTTATCACAACATCACAATGACGTCAACGATAGAATCACTACAGTACTGAAAATGATACCCACCCCCTTGCTACATAACCATACTGTACACTATACTAGTGCTGACGTCTTGGACAACGTCAACACGTACAGTATGGCGATTGTCAATGGATCCCGTATTGTATGGTGTATTTTCATGCCGTTTATTGACATGGATAGGTTTCGGGGTTGACCAACAAGCACAGTGGGAGGCTACAGTACGCTAAGGTAAGTACAGTACTATAGACTGTGGACTGTTCAATTGTCCATTGTATTGGGGGTAGGCTGACAGACAGATGGACTCTCCACTGATGGACCTACAGTACAGTACATGGAGTAGGGACCGGTCTCTAGAGTTACAGTATGTACAGTACATTGTACAGTAGGCTTCTTTTCTTTTTAAGGGGTTGACCAACAAGTCTGGACAGTACGCTATGGGTACTGCATTGGGCATAGACTGACAGACAAATGGACTGGCTCTGCTGATAGACCTACAGTACTGTACAGTACAACGTACTGTAGGCTGAGGAGTTGACCAACAAGAACAGTCGGAGACTACAGTACAGTGTACTGTACGGCACAGTACTATAGACTGTAGACCGTCCAGTGTACTGTAGTTAACGTGCAGACTGACAGACAAAAAGGACTCGCTTCATCCATGGCCCGGTGGAGTACAGTGTAGGATACACTGATCAAGATGTTGATGTATTGTATGAGAATGCAAATCGTCGAAGACACTATAGGCTGTCGACACAGTCCTGAGACTGCTGACTCTGCTTCTGACCAAATGAAACCGAGACTAGCTGAAATGGCAAGATGCAGAATGGCTGCAGCCAAGCAATAATAATTCAATTGGCTCTTCTATCTTTTGCAAAGACTGCAATTAAAACCAAGGAGGATTAAGCTGTTGTGAATGCAATCGTTGTATTGATACTGTCTAATACGGTACACAATTGCATAGAGGACAAGATGAAAACCAATAATAAGAAGAAGAAGAATAAGAAGAACAAGTCGAGGAAGAGCAAAGCAAAGAATAAGCTTAATCAGAAAGGTCTGGCATCTACAGAAAATGCCTCCGTCCCTGATCCAAAATTACAGGATACTACGACCGGCAATGATACCCATCCTGCTATAGATTATCTAAGAAAATGGCAAGATGATCGATCCAATTGGTCATTTAAAAAGAATAGGCAAGTTTGGTTACTGAAAAATATGATGGATGTCAGTAAGGTAAAGGACTATTTGCAGACTGACGAGTACGCGGTATAGACCAATGGATATCCTCAACATTTTTAAAGCTACTCTAGCCTCTAGACGCAAATCATAGTGCATTTCCATCGATTTACATATGGAAGATTATCAAAATGATACTACTGTAGTTGATTGACTGTAAGAGATTTATAGTCATTTTTTCCATTAATTCATCTCGATCATCATGTTCCACTGTGCAATGGACGATATGCATAGTTTATGGAAATGGCATATTCTAGTCAATGCCAGCTTTGTAGGTACTATATAGTTTCTGAATAGCTTGTTCCAGAGCTACAGTCTGCAATAATGCCACAGCCTAATTGTCTTTATAGACAGTAGAGAAATCATTATCCATTTACGCGTACAGGTAGCATGATGATGATTGTGTCCAACTTGTATACAGTACAGTACAGCAGTAAAGCGGTCATGAGCTCTAAAATTATACTCGTATCATCACTAGGTTAATTATAATTAATACTGCACTGTGCTTCTATACAGTAATTGAGTATGTGTCGTTGAAATTGACTAATATGATGTAAATTGAATTATAAAGGAGAGTAACGAATACATTAATAAATGTGTTTTAGGTTAGTGAAAGTGATTTTAAAACCTTGATAAAATACATGCAAGGCCTGCGTGGCTCAGCAAGAGATACCACTCTAAAATTTGCTAAAGAAAGAATGGATCAAGCTGATTCCGTTGATGTTTCTAAAGGTAATTGCAATCAAGTAATAGATTAAGCGCATTGATATTGTACTTTACGTTATACGAATCTCAATGGCTTACTTTACTATAAAAAATTTAATTTAATTTATTAATGAATCTTTACTAACTTTACTAGCCTTGACTTGTTCAATAGCCTCATAACTCTAGCTTACGTATTTGATTAGAATAGTCATAGTTTAACGTGTGGATTTACGTCGTCATAAGCACTTTATTGCCAAAAGTTTTTATGCACAGTTATAATTAATTACCTAATAGTAAATTTACACTCTATGTGCATGTTACAAAGTCTGCCAAGATATTAATCTACCAATTTATTACAATATTTTGCAGTACAAGAAACTGTGAAATCGCCACAATATAAGAGACTTTTAGAGACTTTAAGGATCCTAAGCTGAATAAATTGCATGAAAACTAGGCTGTAGTGAGGTTGATAACTGTAAGCTATCAACACAATTATTTTACAAATACTACAACTACTGCTTTATGTTGATTATTAAAGACAGTTCTATTTGTTCTACGATAAAGTACTCTAGTATTTTGATCGCTAGACAACGACAATTACCTTCACATTTACTTTTATTCAATTTCTGGTGTGAAATAGATTGATACTGTGTATACTGTACAGCAGCAATCTAATATTGCCTTTTTGTAATCACGATTACAAAGAAAAATTTATTGAAATCGGACCCTTCACTTTTCTAATCAAGTTTGAAATTATTCATCTGCTAATTAAATAAAATGAGAATTAATAGCAATTGTCCAACTATCCTGATTGTGGCTAGTGGTGGTAATTCACATTTCTACCTATATAAACCGGTAAATTCTCTATTGTTACTATATATACGCTGTTTTAGTATACAGTATTAAAAGACCTAATAGAGTTACTGTAGGTTACATTTCTCTCAATCAAGTTCGAATAGAGTCGCTCTGTCAGTCTAGCAAATTTAGAAACATTAGTACTGTAAACCTGAAGACACTGTAACGTGGCTTGTTTATTTATTTATTTATTTATTGATATCCTTGCAACATAGGACTACGCTCTTACAAGGTATCAACAAAACATAAGGAATTGATACAGATGAGCACAACGGGATACAAAAATACAGTGTTTAAGAATTGCTACAGTGCAGTAGTAATATTCATATTACAGTGTTTATCGAGCGCGGTATATTTCAGTCTACGTTAAATCTACATTAATAAATATTGCGTTATGTGAGATTAGTACAAGAGTTGATAACATCGAATGAGTACCGCTTTTTCAATTATAGTAATCGTACAACAATATCTATAATAGTATTCATTTTATTATTCAAAAATGAGGCATGATATAAACTAGCGAGCAAGTAATCTGTAAATTTGAAGTGCTTATGAGGAATCTGCTAGATGACTGTACTGTATTAGTAACTTGACGTCCAACATTTAATAGAGTGTCTCAGCAACGCCCTTAGTAAAACAGACCCATTTACGTATATTAACCTGGTATCTGAGTTGTATTTTCTGACGTAGAGATCTGGCAAAACGCCATTTTTAAAATGGTAATACAATCTTGTTATTAGTAAAAACAATTCTAATTCCAATCGACTCCAATTTGTCTACGATTACCAAAATCGGAATTAATATGATTGTTGTTTATCTAATACGCTCAAGTCAGTTCTTGCTGTAGCTCTTATATAAGTCTTATGACGATAATCATGAAGCTATACAACCTACCCTGCACGAAGCTGACATGGACAAATAGTCAGAGTCTAGACACTACCAGACACCAGACTCGTCGATAGCAAAATTGACTTCATGACTACGTCAACGAATCAATATGATGTCTTGCAGCTATTGGCTTTATCGTAACAAACAAGTTTGAGTAATTTAATTACATTCTATCTAAATTTTTATAACTCGCATGCATGAGAAATGAATTAAAACCACAAATGTCGTTACAGTTAATAACAGCTATTAGTTATAGTCAGTGGTCTCATTATGAAAAATTTTAAAGCCCATAATACCCACTGTTTCTTTTCAATTTCTATAGTTTACAATTAGTACCGTAGATGGTGACAGCGTTAAAAAAGGAAATCTATAGTAGTATGATCAAATTTTATATATTCATAAGCATGTATTCCTTATCGAAAACTATTGTAGCCATGTCTTAAAATTTAATTTATTCCGTTTAAGGTATTCTATGCCGACTATGCTTAGTAAATTTTCTTGAATAGCATTTTTGTAAATGTTTCACCGATGCGAATGTTGTCCATCAACGTTATTATCCATTTTTTGCATACTGCATTGGTACAATCTGAGTTAGAAATTAGCTATTTCTTAATAACTCAAACCTTCCTTAAAAAAGTGTCTCGTTACTTATTACGTGCTATCATAAAAAATTTATTTTGCCTTAGAAAATGATAATTATACCTGTTAGTAGCGTAATAATCGATATTAGCAGCTGTAAGTAATAACAATCTATTTTCAGTAACAATAAAGTTTTGATTGCTTTGGTTCGTTAATACAGTATTGCTGGGCAATTTTTAAACAAATTGGCCTTTAAGTTTTATTTTTACGACATGTAAACTAGTTGATAACTATTTTCACATAATGGAAATTAGTCTTCTATTTCTTCTTCCTCTTTAAAAATTATATTAAGAGGTTTTAGTAATCTTGGTAGGAAAAGGATACTTTCAGAGTTTACCTAATCAAAATTTGTATACAGGTAACGTTAACATCATCAACAACAATACGGCAGTCTCAAATAGTTTAACACGTAAAAGAGTAATAAAATTACTGCGGTTACCGTCATGTGGTCATAAGCGATTCCAGTTCGATCGCTATAATTCTCACTAAAAGCTGGAATTTTAGGATACCGTTGGCTGAAATGCGTAAGAATGGTAAATTTTGCATTCATTTTAACACCAATTTCAATTGCTTCGGATGTCGTGCTATAGAATAGGATCGAATTGAATTAGGTAAATAGCAAGCATTCATAATGCATTTTAAGAAATAAGAATACGAGTATACATAATTAATCAGAGTAACCATAATTTTTAATTTAAGAATGGTGAAAAAATTTTTATAGTAAAGACTTGAAATAAAAAATTAACCTGTGCTTTCTACTTCTGGCTTCATCGACTAAATCATCTTCGAAAGTGGCTTCATGTATTAATACGTCTGCATCCTTACCTATTAGATGTAGGCATTAATTACATAACAATGAGCACTTTATATTACAAGAACTTCTCATTTTAATGAAACGAAAAAGTTATTGGTAGATATGAACCAATTTCAACAAATTTAGAACTTGGTTGGGTATCGCCTGAATAAGCTAGCTTCCAGCCTTCTCTGTGTGTTAGAGCTATGCAAAAAGCTCCTTTACAGTGATCTGCATAAACGGTTTTCAGCTAACAATATAAGAGTAATCGGTTATTTCTTGCAATAGGATAAAGCATGGCCTGCTACAAAGATTAATTAAATCATGATTTTCCTAACTTTTATAATGCCTAATTCGGTTTTTACTACATCACTAAATACACAAACTTCCTTAAAGAATTCTGTGGCTGACATAAATCTAAAATACAACAAGAGTATAAGTATGCAGCAGCAAGTTTGTTTTTCATATTAGGTCAACAATTAACGATAAAGGAAATGGTAATCAGTATCTAGTTACCTCCATTGTACACTTTCAAAATACGAATTATATTCGTTTAAGAACTTGTTTATTGCCCATGGTCCAATAACATAAAGAGGTGAATAATATCCATCGGTACTCTAAATAGTAATGCGTAATTTAGTTGCTAATCAGGTTCTTTTCTTAGACTAGTAGGAAAGTTAGATATAAGAGATCGACAGACAGTAATCTTTTGCCATGAATACAAGTATTTACGAGTGCCGATGAGGAATAACATATTAGTTATGTAAAATTTAACCTGAGTAGCCCGTTTATGCTCCAGTAATACTTCAACGATACCCTAAATAGAAAGGTAGTCGTAATTTAATCAATTATAGCATTAATCAATTCATATTTATTTAATACCTGATGATGGTCAGCGTGCATATGGGATATGAAGATAAATTTCAGCTGTCGCAAGATATCGCTTAGTTCGCTACCATAGTGTCGATATAATTGCCCAAACGTACCCTCGCCACAATCCATTAACATGCAGCTATTCTTACTAATTGGAATAATAATTTTATAATTTCAAATTTCAATTGATTAAAATCGTCATTTACGTTATTTTAAAAATTAATTAAGTAGTTAATTAAAATGATTTTACGCTATGCACACTAGACCAACTTTAGACGTAACAAAATGGAGGAGACATTTCTATATTTCGATGGATAGCAGGAGCCGGTACCGAGAAATACAATTTCACCGTGCCTGCCAATAAGATTGCGTTGTACAGGTGATGTAGCTTTAACAGATAGTGTACGATTCTCTCTATCCAAAATGTCTTGATTACTAAATTGTATAGCATTTTTGATATCCATTCGATTATTAATCTTTTCCACAATCGAATTTACGTTCGTTTCTTGCAAAATCTTTGACCTATCGAATAATTAAAATTGACGTTAGTTGCACAAGTCGAAAGATCAATAAGGTGCAGCGATAAAGCAAAAAATCTCAGACCTGTCGAAACCCATAAGACTGCGTGGTCTGAAATGATACGTTAATAAAGTATCGGTAATTATCCAGTTATTTGGCACTTTCTTGTCAACCTTATACAATCGGTAACAGCATTTTTGTTAACGCTAATAAATCAGTAATGCAACTGTATGATAGTAGGTACTGAAATTGAATAATACAAGCAGTCTCATAATTACGGGTCTTAATTTGTTATATTTCAGCAGTGGAAAAATTTCTGAACTTAAAGCATGTAATTTGTGATAGCTTTCTTCAGAGATAATTGGTGTTACTCCACCGCATACATCTGAATTTAATACCAAATGCTTCGTGTTTGGACCAAATCTAGTTATAGTAAGAAAATTTGAAGTATTTACTTACTTTAGCCATTTTATAGATATAATTTGTTGTCATTATTAGTAATTTCCGTTTTTGTACAGGTTTTTATAGAAATCTACATTAGCAAATATACTTTTTAGTCCAGTCCAAGTATGCGGTATTTTCTATCACATTCATTGGACAGATATGCAACATCAATTCTGGTTGTTGATTTTCGCCATTAGTAAAATAACTGTAAGGCAATAAATTGAACATTTGGTCACAAGTGCGCATCTGATTATTTTATTCAACTTAGTTATACCTTTCAAAACGATTACAACCAACCAGTTGAGGGATATGATCCAGAGTTGGGCAATGAATGACTAAGGATGTTACAAAAATGTTTTTATGCAATAGTAATAGCTAGTGGCAATACTTAATTATTTTTTTTTTATATAGTAAACATTTTACAAAAATATTTCAAATATTAACATACTCATAAATACCATTCCTGGCTCTTGTGGGCCTACACAGTCTTCTGGCCTTACCTAAGTATGATCATTTGCAAGTTATACAGCCTATTAAAATCTAATGCGCAAATCTTTAATATTTTGTTCTTAAAAGAATGCTACATGTTGGAGGTATCAATGATAACTATAGAATTACCACAGTGCCATTCCGGAGAGTAATAGTTTGTCCCATTATCAGCGATTTTCTCAATTTGTTGCTGTTTATGGACAATTATTTTCGATTAAATTATTTATTTCTGTAGTAAAAGTGTGCATTGAAACCATTCATATAAGCTAGCTAATGCATACTTAGGTACACCTAATGCTTCAGCTTTATCGTTCAAAAATTTTCCTGGTAATTGTGAAAGCTGAATTAAAGATGGAGAAATAAGACGACCATTATTTAGAAATATAATAAATTGCTATAGCTTTGTATCATCGATTTATAATACCATTTGTCATAGCCGAAGTAAAATACTAATGTATTGAAGAATAATAAGTGGCTTATGTTAGGTAACAAATAGATCCATTCTTAACCATTAATAAACTATAACCTGACAGATGTAGCTAATAATGGTAGGTTGCTGAGGATTTTGATAATTATAAACATGAGATGTAGGAAATCTTTCTTCGGAAACTTTCATTTTTTTATTTTTATTCATTGATGCCTCGGAATCTGGATGATGTTCAATTTGATCCTTTAAAGGTACACCTAACTATGACTATGTCAGATTATCACTTTTGATACTTAAAATATACGTTACCTTCGGAAGTCTCATAAAGTGATGAGCCCACATCTAGTAAAAATTTTAGAATAGATTGCACAAATTACTCGTATATCAATAAAAGATGTAGGCTAATTTGAATATCAACAACTAACCATCAATAACAACAGGCCATAACTTGATGTTTTCATCTTGAAAATAGGGTGTATCATTAGTAAATGTTAAATGCCCTAAGAGTGCAAGATTGAAAGTCCAGGTTACTGGAACATTCACTGACTGTAATCAATTAAGATCGTCAAACAGATTGCCGAACTTTTTACGCTGGTGATTGTTACTCTAATAATCACATGATGTAAACTTATTGAATATACGAATAGTACGTATAATCAGGATTATGGGCATCTTTAACAAATCAATATACGTTCATTTAATAGTAAAGCTTGGTAAAGGCATACTATTCATATTGTTAATCTTATTCAAAGATAATAATAAATGAAAATGATATCGGACATACTGAAGTTCAGTTTTTGATGGAAAATGTAAAACCTAGTGGCATTAATGTAGGCTTCCTGCAAGTTGTTGAAAACATGATTTGAAAACAAATACCAATTACTAAGATCGCTATTGCTTGTATAAGAAAACAACTCACGAGACTGGGCGGTCCCCATAAATTGATCGGGGTTTTAATATCATCTTCTTCATTAATGGTAAGCGCGAGGCCTATGCATCGGTCATGGTATTATCATAGCTATTAGTATTGATGCAAAACGGTATGACATGTCATCAAGATATCAGGTAGAAAGAGTGCTATTACGATTTACCTGGTAAGCCGCCAACCGCATTGAAATCAGCACGAGTCATAAAAATATTTCTTAGCTTTAACGGATGGATCTTAATCCTACGTCAAATTTAAGCATTATTTCATGTATGCTACGATGATTGATTTAGAATTGATCATCACTCCTATGATCTGTAAATTCCAATTGATGCAATTGCAGTCTATCGTCCATCTTACCGATTTCGATTGATTATTCTTTGTATACCTGCACCGCAATTAAATAGATACCTAAAATATCGTCGATAAGCGTATATTAGGATGTGATCGAGGTGACATTAGCGTAAAATAGAGATGCAGTTTGGGTGTGTAAAATGAATGAATCATTTTCTTCTTCAAATACGAGTATTAGCGCCTATCGTCATCGATATCAAAGTCTAGAGTAAGCTTGCATATTTATCAGTATCCACTAAAACTATTCAAGTGCAATAATGAGCATTTCCGAGATGTGCTTTTTTTAATTGGATTATTCAGAATGGAAATTAACATCAACTTGTTTTCGCTACTGGTTCGATTTTATATGAACTTTGCAAGTTGGCAAGTAGTGATATTAGATGCTCGCATCAATAACGTTCAAGGCTATCCTATTCTAAATCAATCCATCAGGTAGACTTGATACCTTTGATTTTCCGTAAAGAGTAGGAAAGAAGCAGGAGCATCTTTGCTACCGTTACCCAAGATTTGAAGATATACTTTATTTAGCTTGGAGGCAGACATTGATTTTGATATCCTACTCAATTTCCTGGATAATTGCTTGAATATCATTGAAGAAAAGATGAGCTACTAGTGCAATCTTGTGACACCACTGAAATGCCTTGCCTAGAGTTGGAGAGAAATGGCTTCACTTTGAAGGATTTAATGGACCATCAATGAAGTAGGTAAACGCTGTGTTGAAATTGCAACAACATGAGAGTTGATTTCTCTGCAGTCTCAAGTTAGTGCTACCATGGCAATCGCCATTTTGCTTAGGTCAGGTCACCTCTCAACGCCTCAATCAATGAATCAGTACAGCTGGTGGAGACTAGAGACCGTGGAATGAGTTTATGGGCATTGCTCGTGCGCATAACGCCGCATATTACTGTAGAAAAGTCGCGAAATCTTTACTAGGGTTTGTATAGGAATTATGGTTGGAACTTTCCAACCGTATCAACCAGCACTACAGCATATTGCACACTAGAGACTCTAAAGGTCTGTACTGTACACTGTACTCTACAGTACAAGTACTGTATTCATAGAATCCTTCAGTATGCGCATGTACGATTTAGTAAGCTTCATTGTATAGGGTACTGTTCTAACCGTGACTAAAAGACTATACTGTCGTTGTAACTCCAGGAACACATAGAGTACTTGCTACCAAGTTGGCGTCGTCATAGTATACTGTATGTGATATAGATCATAAAGGTATTGAAATACCTGGAAACTCCTCTGGACGGACAGACACTTGGCCTACTTGGGTCGATAAATTGTGGCAAACACTTCAATCATTCAGTATGCGCATGTACGATTAGTAAGTTCCATTGTATAGGGTACTGTTCTAACCGTGACTAGAAGACTATACCGTCCTTCTAACTCCAGGAACATATGGAGTACTTGCTACCAAGTTGGCGTAGTTATATAGACTACTAGAAAAATACCTGGAACTCCTTTGGACGGACAGACACTTGGCCTACTTCGGTCGATCAATTATGGCAAACACTCCTTTATGACAAATAGGCAGATAGTCGATTTTGAATGGACTGATTTTTTCTAAATGAAGTAATATTCCAATGCATTCCATTGCCTGCTACTAAGTTCTGCTTAGAAGCAGTTCAATCAGATCATGAATGTTATTCAAATTAATACGAGTGATTTAGAAAACAAAGACGAAAGATCTGTACTGAGTAACTATTTTTCCACATTTTTAGCCTTCTCTGGTATGAAAAGTCCGTCCATCCGAGGACAGTGGCAGGTCCAGTTGTCCATGGCATCGTGAACCAGTTGCTGCAATGTCGTCCAACGAGAAGTTAACTTGAGATTAATTATGCTGTATATTCACTAATTTTCCCACTTGTTGTTCATCAAGAAGCCTTTCCCAATTCGAGTCCATTTTATCCTGTAAGCAGCACAAATCGATCTACAAAGATGCAGCCAGCAATAAATACAGACTGCCTCGACTATACAGTGTTTGTGTCAGTAGCTTGTACTAGTAGACTCCATATAGAGCGATGAAGAATAAGAATTTTGAATACAACGTCAATGCGATGATTATTTCGCATCTCACTACAGAACCATTCACTCCGAATCGCAGTCTACACCATGTAATCGTCGCTGCAGTTTCAGTTAGTAGACGACAACTAGGACAAGGCAAAATGATTACCCACGAAGATTTCGTCATTAACTAAACATATGGCTAAGCCACTGGGCCTGATTGCTATTCGTGATTGATTATTTGTCATCGAATCATATCAACAGCTACCGTAGGCAGTATCGATGATAGCGATAATAGGTAGTTTTCATGCTACGGCAATACTAGTCCAACGATATGCATAAAAGTTGGCATGATTTCCTCCATCGTGATGATAGCAAGTCATGGTGATTGATTGGAATTTACTAGCAGATTGTTGTAGCTCGACTTAAGGATTGTTATGGGTACACCGATCAATATTGTTAGCCGTTTCGAAGGTAGGTGTTAATTTATTATTTAGCTCGTGTTTGCACAGGCCGATCGTGGCGATAATCATCGGCCATGTTGATCCTTCATTGGGGCCAAAGTTGAAAGGCGATCGGATACGATCGATAGACTTGAGTCCCCCTTGAAGCGAGTTCAAGAATATGCGGTGCAGGCCTAAAAAATGTCTTGCTGATCACCCGCTGTCTATGAAGGCAACAGTAACATCGCGATAAGTTACTCACTTTCAGCCGTCGATCCTCGCCATTTTTCCATATCTCATCAATCATTCCATCGTAGGATGATAATTGGATCTACTGGAGATCGATGGAGATCCTCAATGTAGACCTAAATTGACCTTATTGAATCCGTCTCCTGCATGGATTATTCGATCATAAATCGACTTAAAAATACAGTCAACAATGCCGTAGTGCGTTAAGTGTAATCGTAACAACTTTCCCCAAGATCAAAAGGTCAAAAATCAATAAATAGATAATAAAATTTTTAATAATTTTATCTTATCGCATCATCATCTCTAATGCTAAATAAATTTGCTTGCTTTTACAAATACTATACATTTTACTAGAGACTACTACACCCTTTTCCACTTGCCAAAATGATACAAACTCAGCCGATACTGCTACACCGCCCTCATCTCAATTTCCCTTTAAAATTGGAAAGTGGAATAGGAGGGTTTTAACTTAAGAGTCTCTGATTCTACTATGATACAAAGCGCTTAAAAAGGGAACAGCCACCTTTAAATAATGTTCATGGCTATAAAAAAAATAGACTAGATGGAATAATATTGCCTCCATTTTGTGACTTTCAACCTGATTTGGCTGTTGTTTGTATTACTTCAATCACTTTCATTAGGATCATTATAATTAGCAAATACGTATACAAGTGCAATATTCGTATACCCGTATAATCAAAATAATTCATGAAAGCTTGCGGAATATTGTTCAGTGATTGGAGATTGAAATTGACCCATTCTCCTACAATTTCATAGCTCAAGATTTTCTATCATACAAAAAAAGTTATCCTAAACTCTGAAATGTGAACACTATCTCGCTATAAAGCCTAGCAATATCAGCATTGTCTCCTGTATAATTGGATATTAATGGCTAAAGGGAAATGTAGTAATTACTCGTATAATCAATCAATCGGCAATACCGCCAATACGTGTATTGATTAATTAAAAAGATAAAATGCAGACGAGTAAAATATTGATCTAGGCGTATCTTATAGTTGTATCGATTGCGAGTACAATCTACCTATCTTAGGTGTTTTCTACTTGGCATCCATTGCTTCAGCAGCTAAAGCTCTCGTCAAGGTTCGCGTGACAATATCCTAAATTGAATTTAGACAATCAAAAAATTGAATTGACTAAGCATTCAAGATCTCAATAGAATAATACATGTATCTTGTCTAAATTACCAGTATATTGACTTGATAGCAACGTTATTTATTTTAATTCTGTTGATGATACCATGAACACAAGTTAGAAAACTGTTTCTATTGGAAAGCAACGATTCATTTCTTGATCCATAATCATCAAGCGTAAGCGCTCAGATTTGAGTGGAAGACTTCTCTTCCAACTGTAATACAGTTCCAATTGTAGACTGATCCATAGTAGTTTTCGATGATGTTATGTCATCATCCTGTGCCAGATTAACCAAGCAAGGAACTTTGTAACAATTGCAATTCCTAATTACAAAGTTGTAATGTTAAGAATTGATAGCGTCAATGACGATAGGATTACAGTAGTTACAATTGACACTTTCTATTTGAAGTCTGTTCCTACGGGAAAAGTTAATGTCCAGCAGCGAGCAGCAATCCAAACTCAGGTAGAACTATACGTAGTAGCATGGACTACTAAAAGAAGACCCGTAGTAGTAACTTCCTCTGATCAAGATGATGGAGTTAGGACCCATTCCAATGAATCAAACGTACAGTAGGATCCACAGCGGCAATAAATTTCACTCTCTTCATCAGTGATGTTTCTCTGTTGAGACTTTCAACAACAATTTCAATCAAGACGGTATCGTCAACAAATCATAACGGCACTCTATATCTTTGCCTCCGGGTTTCGCAGTTATGCCACTACGTTTACAGTATATTTGATTACTATATTAAGCGGTATGTGATCATGCATAAGCAATCTTTACCCTTCCTGAAACGATAGTCTATAAAATTGTAGGTTATTTTGCCAACGATTAGTAAATTCGTATACGTACGCTCTATTGATATGGCCGTGATAAGAATTATGTCTACTATATCGTAAACATCAGCAGGCGATGTATCGGATCAGCAATCAGCCATGAATCGTTTTTTTCATTAAGCTGTACATGACATTATCAGCCCGCAATGAAGTTTACCGTTCTTCAACTGTTTTTTCATGCAAAGTGTAAAATGTTTGTATTCAAATGGAAACCGATGTACTCTTAGAATCTCCTAGACGACGTAAATGTGGACAGCAATCACATCTTTGTTTGCCGGAATGTAATAATAATTCTTATTCTCTTCGTAATTTAGCTTCATGGCGAGAATTATGTCGATCGTGGGAAAGTGAAGATAAAAGTAGTGTAATCATTACCGATCAAAATGGACACCTTCCCCTATTTTGTAACCGCCTTGAAGAAGTTCTGCTTTGTCGACTTAAAGGTAGTATGGCAATTTTTGCTTGTTGACTGTAATTCTATTATTTATCTGCTTATTTGTGCTATGATTTATACATAGCGATTGAATACCAACCAGTGATATAACATGTTGTATAGTTACGATTGTACATGCGGTATTTAGCAATTTTAAGTTAGGCTTAGTTCTGCTATATACTGCATATGATAGTTAGCCAGGTAGTCTATTTCAGTCACTAATGGTTTACTCATAAAGATTGCAAACGATAATATCAAAACTCTGCCATCTACAATAATGTACGTAAAATTATTCTAGACCCATACTTTTTTAAATGTGGTAGTAATGATTAGTTTGTTTGTCTACGAACTGAGATGCCCCATAATGAGGCAGAGTTTCATTGTTTGTTTATCACTGGTTATGACAAGTTAGATCAGATTTTAAAATTTCAGTTATGTTATACATGTATAGGCACAGTAAATATTGAATATATCTAACTCATTTCAATCTTTAATGTAGCATCACGTCGATCCTTATTTGGCGTTAGCAAACTTGAAATATGGCAATTATTTTTAACTTTATCCAAGCATTGTAACAGTCGACAGTAAGTAGTACAACAGTTTTGTTTACCAGCTATGTTAGTAATTTTTAAGAGTAAATAATCTAATGTACAACTGTACTCTGATTTCTTTCATAAAGCAGTTTATCAAGTTTTTTAATGATATTGTTTTAAGCTCTGATTTATCTCATGACTTAGTTTATCAAAGTTTTTTGATGACATTACTGAACGTATAAAAAGGTGCAATAAGGTAAGTACATGAAAATTGATTACAACAATCTTTTTAAAAGAGACTTAAATTATTCTACAGACCGCTATACTATAATCAATTTTTTATATTAAGATCATACTTGGCAGTAATATCGCTCTAAGAATAGAAAACTCAATTTTAGAATACTGTTTTAGAATTAACCAGTATTAATCCATAAATCATAATCTCAATTTGTTGAACGAACATTTCACACATTTTATAATTCTATACTTAGTTAAAAACTTATCAAGGTCGCGGTCGAGCTTTCATTCGTTTAGCACTGACGAAAGGATTACTAGCTAATGTTGTCCAGACTATAGCGGATAGTACTCTTGTAACATCGGTAGGCAAAATTGGTGATTTGTTCTAACAAATATCTAGTTGTACAAAACACCATCACTTACATTCTCTTCTTCTGAAATCTTTCAATGAAAATGTTAACTTTGATTAATTTTTACTTTCAGTGGTATGAACCTGATTCAATCCTTTTATCCCATTCAGTTAGACGTAAGCACTGCAGTTACAATAGATTTCTTCTTTCTGCATGACTATAATTTGAACCATATCATTATTACGAGGCACTGCTATATCTGTCAGTAGTAAGTGGTATCCCTACTAGATATGAATAATTAAAGGAGAATATTATTCTATTTAGAAAATTTATTAGACATACTGAATCAAGTATCTGACATGACGTTTGATCTCACACTAGCTGTAAGTCAAATTTACTATATTTGATCATTTTGAATTCAGTTGTTATTTAGATAATACGTAATGCGTGTTAATTATCACTCTCATTTTAGAATGTTAGCTTCCTGGATGAAAGTTGGATAATTCCTGTAAATATAAGACATATTTTAGCAAAAAATTAGTGCTTATTGTGATAACAGACAGTTAACATTTATATCTTGATTTGTCAGTATCCTACAATTTTATTAGCTAAAAGAATAATTTTAAATAAGATTTAAAAATATCTGTTTTTTCACATAGGTGCAAAAATTAGTTCAATTGCCTTACTCTACCGATATCGGAATTTTAGTCAGGTAATTAAAGCACTTGTAGTTACTCATGGAATACGTCGTCATCAAATATTTATTTATGAATAATTATAACCCTCCACTAACCAAAAATTTCTATCGTCTACAAGCAATAATTATTGTGATATTACATTACATGCTAGATCATGAACTTTAGATTTGCCGTTGTTAAAATACTTTGTATTCATGTTTATTTGATCACAAAGGTATCTTATGAAATTTCTTTTATGGATTATATTTTAGACATATAGATAACCGTGCTGTTGTAGTTAAAATTCAGCCGCAATCACCAGCATCTGACACCGGTATAGAACCCGGAGATATATTAGATCAAGTTTTCGGTGAAAGCCTTTATATGGTCAGAGTTGGAACGGCAAGTAGCTATTACATTTACTAAATAGAAACAAGTAGGATTAAATGGTATCAACTGGAATGAAGCAAACATACTTATCAAAATAGTTGTATACTATTTCAGATTAATTCAATTCTACGAAAGTATCAAGATCAAAGTATTCCAATTCTTATTATCAAGGTTGGTAGTAAAATTACTAATTGTAAAACGCTATACTATTTACTGCAATTTTCTGCTTGTAGATATATTATAGTAAGTGAATTTCTCGCCTCGAAGACCAAATTAGTAATAGCCCGATTATTTTAATTTTAATACTAATATCGTCTGGATAGTAGATAAAAGTTTTATGGTTGATGATATTAAAGATTATTGGTTATTATATCAACAGAAAAATTTATCCAATGGAATGCCCTTTGATCCAATCACTCGTCGACTAGATCAAATTTTCAAAAGCGATAATTTGGTTGTCGGCCAAGAGATTCCTAAATCCAAATCTCAGCAAATACCAGATGCAAATGGTGAATGTTGCCCGTTACCTAGCTTAGATGAAACACCAGTACAAGCTCCGGATGATGGCAATCTTTTCTCAGTCGTCTATGTAGGAAGTACAAATATGGGGAATAAAGGTGATAAGGCCTATATTGAAGAAGGAATTAAGGAAGTAATCAATCAACAGAAACCAGATACGGTAGGCTTTTATAAATAATCTTAAGTTGTTTAATTAGCCCAGCCAAAGCCATTGCAGATCGATCTTATGAGTAGAGCGTGGTGATTATTACCATCATGCAAATATTATATCAGTAATCTATCTACAAGCTATTATTCTTTTCCATTGACAGCCGGTTTCAATTGAACTTAATGAAGGATATCTAACAGCAAGAAGTAAATCCAGCAATGAGGTAAGTATTATAGTTTTTATTTATTTTTAAGCCATTGAAGTTAATCTAACGTTACGAAGCATCTCGTATAAGTTGAAATAATGCAACAGATATATTTGCAGGAAACTTGTTTATTGTGCAATATAAAGTAAGTGATAAAGCTTTTCACTTTACAATTTTTAAGCCTGTCCTGCGCTTTTCTTATACGGAGATTTCATCATGTGGTCGACTAACGTACCATCCGGGCCTCTTTGCGTTTATTGCTGGGTAAATGGTGCAACATTTTTGTTTAACTAACTTCATTTTTATGCCCTTAACTTGATGTATACGTATATACACTGACAGAGACACAACATGTACCATATCAAAAAATTTTACTTGCCATGTATTTAAAGCCGTATCTGAAGAAATGGTAAATAATCTAGTCAAAACTCTATACGTGGATTTGACTTGTATCATGATATAAGCTAAATTTTTCAATATTTTCGAAAGATTAGTAAAGAACCATGTTAATATTTATTCAATCATTATTATTTTTCAACAGGCTAAGGCATTACTTGGCTATTTAGGTATGCGATAAGTATTTATCACCGCTAATATATGTAGAAATGAACTCTTACTTGCGTGATCGTCATCAAATGATGCTTAGGTAGCGTTATAATATTTTATTCTGCTTTTTTATCTAGTGGAAGGATTTTCACGAACTTGTTGGTCTGTGTAGCTTTTTAAATTAGCACCAATACACTTAATATTAATGTAATGTTACAGTCGCAGATATATAACACTCTTGACGTATTTGATATATATATAATGTTGACATGCAAGAAATTGAATCCCTTTTTACGTCTAGGAAAATAAGTACTGTTGTTGCTTTATCCTATAATGCCATGATGGTCAATATAGTATTCTTTCCAGAGTTACTCGTACTGCAACTGTTTTAAGGACATCTGATGCTCAAATGAATTTAATTAGAAATGATATCGCACCGGATCTCTTTCTGGTGGTAACTTGGCAATATTGATAAATGCCTGCTATTATTCACTCCAAGAATTTTTAAGTTACGCCTCATTCAGCGCGTACTTAACTATTATAATTAAATGGTTTACATTTCTTTATTGGCTTTGCTAAGATAGTAATTTTTTTTTCCCTTTCATCAATCATTTTTATAATCTTTTCTTAATACCGGAAGTAGTCAATGTACTACGAAATAGTTACGAAAGGAAACCCTGGTATGCAAAGTATTTGTATCACCCTCGAATGATTTAATATTATTATTATATTTCAATTTGCTATAGAAATACAGTATAAAAATACCGTTCCATTTGATCTCGTGCAAGTATGAAATTATTGCTACAAATTAAGACTAATTAACTTTATGCCAATTTCGAACAATTTCTTGCAATAACTAAATTCCTTATATTTGCACTCAATTCGAGCCTAAATTTATGCTAATAACCAATGTTAGTAGGATAAATTGGCGTTTCATGATCATACAGTTAATTCACTGTGGATGCTATTCAATAAAAGATGATGATAAATGAATCATATTGCCAAGTATTTCTTGCGTAGCTCAGTGACTATACGCGTATATTCCTTCTCGTCGTTAAAAATGATGATTCTTGTATCATATGAAATACGATAGTTGCTCCTTCTTTCTTGCTTTTTCATCTTTTAAGCTAGGTTTTGATTTATTCTTATTATGCATATAAGCTCGTGTCATTTATAGTCTTAAAATTATGTTCAGTACAGTAGAGAGAAAAATACATTTCTCTTGTACAGTATTAATAATGGAAAAATTACAAAATGTACGAATACAGTCACTATTCCTTGGTTGTCTAGCGCGATCGATCTGGCGTGACTATAAGAGTAGAAATGCATCACGAATACTGGCATTCCATTGCTCTATTCTACTGATACTTATTCCCAGAAGTGCTTTTTAAGCTGACGGTTACCATATGTTTATCATCCTTTGGTATGCTATGAAATATGAACAGTATGCCATAGCGCTACAGCTCGTTGGCTGCGCAATATGAAGCGAGAAATAAAGTATATTTATTTATTTATAAATCTCTCTAATTTTTACACAAGTGTTGCGTGGTTTCTCTAGCCATCTATTACCACACAACTGTAGGTTGAAATCTAAAATAAGATTTTTGTGTCTGTCCGAGTTGTTGTAAGTTACTACTATGTTACTACATGCTTCATTTGACAATCTGTGCATTTAACTCTACAATAAAATCACCGTCAGAATCGTAGAGGTCACAAATGCACTGTAATACCTGTACAGTATAGTGAGAATGGTGATGAATGATTTTGACTTTTACCAACTCTTGGCAGGACTGATGCAGTACATCTCCGATTCTACATATGCTTGGGCTAGTTGTGAGGTACAGAGCTTGTCTACTCGCCCCTCTACCACAGTATTTTATTTCAACAGACAACTATTTGATCGTTGTGTTGAGATTTTGGCATTAGCTGCTCTATCTGAGTGATTTACATACGCGGATTGACGTACAGTATGTACTCTATAGTAGCTCCTAATGATCGCTCGCCATTTTGCATAAATTACTTTATATGAGCATCCGATACGATGGTAATTGAGTTGAATTGCATTCCATAATTATAGAGCATTAGTAGAATTACCCATGCCTTTAATTGAAAAGGGTCAATTAAAGTCCTTGATTATTCTAAAAATGCATCCTTTATCATAGTAGATTACATAAGTAGTGTACATTATTCCGGTAGGCCATTTTGGTTAGCATTTGGCCGATATTTTCAATCATCGTTGCCAAAAAACAACCTACTTGATCCCCTACTTGTACCACCATGATCATTGGTAGTCATGGATTGGAAATAGTAAGAGCTTAATTCTAAGATTGACTGCTAGTTCAAGTATCCATGCAGCAAAATGCTCCATTTTTGGAAAGTATTTACCTCGTCATTGAATGTTCGAAATGGGAAGTTGACATAGCAATATGGATTATTGCATCCGGTTTCCGTCCAGACATTGTCCGCTCCCTGGCAAGCCTTTCCGATGTAACATACTGACCCGTACAGTAGTCAAGCGTGATACAGTTGTATGGGATAATGGTTTACTGCTATCGAATACTATGGCAACGTTTCTGCCACTGTATGTGTACAGTATCATAAAGTACAAAATGAACCTGGCAGTTTATTCTCGATTTCTTTTCAAGGTACTCTACCATCCGAAATGGAGAGAGAGTGGAATAGGAAGTGGATGCCAGAGCCCCCCAAAAGTGCAGGCTTTCTATTTTTTCTGGCGTTTCCACTTGACTTACTGAGTGAAAGCCATCTAAAATCCATCTGACAATGACAATGGATCGTATCGATCTAAAAAACCCATGTTTTACTTTGTACTGTAAATCTTTTGGTACTTTCACTAATAATTGTGAAGGAGTTTGACGTTTTCCGTTCATTTGAATGGTGAAATGTTGTGGTTGAACTCTTCCTGTATCGATTGATGTATATTTTGTATAAAAATAGGAAAGAAAAAGTGTTTGATGTCCGCTAATTTATACGCCGAAAAATGGCGGACATACTGTTCTGTAGACTGTACAGTCTAGAGTGCAGAGTGTACAGTACTGAGTACAGTAATCAAGAAGGTTTTCATCCTTGACCAGCAGTCAGGTCTAGTACAGACTCGTTGGTCCTGTCGTATGATCGCGTTTACCCTTAAGCTATTTCTATTAGCGCAGCCGATTGTTTGCGTCACCATCAATCAGCACACGTCACCGTGACGATTCCGTACCGGACTGATGTTTGACACTACGGTACCGTTGTCGCTCGCTAGTCGATAGGACGACAACGTTCAGTACTAGGGACTCGTGCGACACACTACGGTACCGGTGCCGTCCCGATCCGGTCCGGTCCGTACCCTGTACTGGTTCACAATCGAGTACAAAACTGCAGTGGAAACCCCTAGAAGACATTATACGGACGAGCAGAAAAGAATATACCGCAAGCAAAAGGAAATAAGAAATTGATCAACGATTGATTGATTGCAGTTGTATCCACTGCAACACTTGGCTGCTCCATCAAGTTCTTTGCTCATTTTCCAACTTGATTTGGCCTGTAGTAGTAACACCAGCAAGAAACTTATTCCAATTGATTGATTGAACGCTATTGTAGCTGACGGATTGCGCTTGGAAAGGGACGACAACAGTAGGCTTGCAATCCAGCAACAAAGAGACATTCTTGCGCTTCCTTTGCTATCGTATTCCACCTGTTTCTTCCCCTTGTGGACAAGATTATACTGCCATAGCACGACTTTCTCCATTCCATCGTTGGCTATCGTTATGGCGCAAAATTCTATTGTAAGTCAGATCAACGATACTGCAGAGAACTACCTCAATAGTTACTTAGTCATCATCAATACACAACACCAATGACTGGCTATTATCATCAGCATAGGTAGCGCCGGTAAAATCACCTTATAGTACAGGAATGACTGCAATTCTATCATAGGCATGCATACAAGTAGACTTCAACGTTGCATTGATCCATTGATTGTAGGATTACATCATGTTATACCAATGCAGAGCGATGTTGTAACATTATTGATGCTAGTCTGGATAGTAAATTGATCAAAGTTTGACTACTATTTCATCACTTCTTGAAAGTAGCATGCTGTAGAACTGAAAAAATAACATTTCCTACAGGAGACTGTACCCGCGTATTAAGTTATTCCATTCCAATGCTATTATCCATAGATTGTCAGAATACAGTCGAAGGAAGGCACCAAACGTATTCAGATTCCACCGACTTCCAGTGTTGGTCATTTCTTAAATGAGGTAAGAAAGAATGTTACTCTTTGACGTAGAATCCAATTACAATCTGCTGCTACTCGAAGAGATTCTTGTAGCCGTGTATTGACAATCAACAGTCAAGTTAGCTACTGCAACGTCAATCAGTTATGTTAGTTGATTTACACGGCTCTAAAGCGTGCATGTTGACGGTCCAGCCTCAGCATCCTCTTAATAGCGACCTTAAGAAAATGCAAATATTCCTTAAATGATTATAACGTTATTGCCATTCCATGCGGTATGAAATAGTTTCTTACTATCCAGCCATTCCTTGATACCTCAACACATAAACTGCTATCAAAATTTTCCATCTTGATTTTGGTCACCATTAAGATCGTAGGCTCACTCGATTGAACATGAAACTGTCCAACTTTCATTGACTAGCGTGCGAGCCATTGCTAAGTAAATTGTACCTAAATACGTCTATATCAGCAGGCTGACTGCGATGGCAATCATTCTGATCCAACACGTTATATATCAAACGTTTCAACTTGATGAATGCAAGAATTAATTTAGCTTACTGTACTGTAGATTGTATAACATAGTCTAGTGTCCATTATGGACGCGTATCAAAATTAAGTACTGCAAAGCACCAACCAAGTACAAGTGATGGCATTACGCCAGTTTAACCTGCCAATTCAATTAAATTAATAAAATAAAAGCCTTTCAATGATGGTCAACGTGGTCGTCCGTCCTCTTACAGTGCTAACGCCTGAATATAGCAATACGTCGTTATAGCCAAGTCTTAAATTCAACATTTACAACAATTCCTCTATTTTATCTACTTAGGTCAGAAATAGTCTCAATTTATCAACTGTGGGCTGGTCCTTATATAAAGATCGTCAGAAAAACCATCGAATTGCAAATTCTAGGAAAACCTTGACTTCGATTGGCATAAAGTAAATACTCGTACTACCGACAATAATTATTAAAGCCTGCCATTATTATTCACTACCTTGCACAAGTTGTAGTCATATATCTCCTATCCAGGCATTAATCCATGGATCGTATAGATTAGAACATTCTTTACAACTTACGCTATTACAGCATTCATGCAACTTATTTAGCTAGTTAATAACCCTCAGTACAGATAACAACAAAAATCACCTGAAAACGAGGATGCTTTTGTCCATGCAACAGCTTTAAACGTTATCAATTTGTCTCTAATCTTAGGCATGGCGACCTATTATTATTACACGAAGAACCAGCTGCTTGTTCTTCTATGGATCCAGACGAATGTATGGATACTACAGACTCAGCTGCAGCTGCTGTTAACAACACAACTACTTTGTTTGGCAATTCTGAAGTTTTACAGGACGAAGTTGATATCTTATTAAGTAAAGAGGACGGACTAATTCATCGAAAAAGGCACCCACAGTTGTAAGCTAAAACATTATGTGTAAATTTAGTGCAACATTGGTTGATAGCATACGTAAACGAATCAGCTATCCCTTTACAGAATAAGAAAGAAACATATCTGTATTATTTTTTCGCATAGAATACACTTGTGTATAATACTGAATAATAGATTAAGAAATTATTCTTACCTTATAAACTACTAGATGCCGACATGGTCCAATGGGAAAGTGCATTCACTGCTCACCTTTAGAAGTATGTACTGCATTAAAAATGAAAAATGCATGTATTCTATGATATAAATGACAATATTAACGTCCTAAGTTAATTAATTCAATATGTTTTCTAATTTTATTACTAGCCTTTTGATGAAGAATATTTAAGCAAGCTAGAACCGCCGATCAAACATTTATCATTTCATTCTTACATCAGAAAGCTTCGATCTGGTGTCGACAAGTAAATATTCCCTACTTCTATTTCTGTATCAAATGATAAACTTACTGAGTAAATTTGACAAAATACAATGATTACCACAGGGGAAAATTTACCATGTTGGAGAATGTCGTATGCACAATTACGCCTGGTTGTAAAGAACATCCACCATGGCCTAATGGTATCTGTACAAAATGCCAACCTAACGCCATTACTCTGAATAGACAAGTTCGTCAATGATGGGCATTTATACGTTTGATTAATTATTAAAATGGAACGAACTCATAACTGTACTGATTTTATTGGCTTTGTAGAGTTATCGACATATAGACTATGTAATGTTTCAAAATTCTAAAATTATGGAGAATTTTTTAAATTACTGGAGAAGTTGTGGCTGTCAAGTAAGAATTTTGAAAGTGATTATCTTACCACTTTTGGATAAGTCATCGCCTGTAACCTTTGTAACTTTCTTAAAACAAAAAAGCGATTAGGATATCTTTACGGATATTACGATCCTCATAAAGACGTACCATTAGGCATTAAAACGGTGGTTGTTGCCATCTATGAACCCCCACAAAAGAATACTAAGAATTCTATTCAATTACTGGAAGACGCACAAGCGGATACCGTTGATGCAGTCGCTAAGATATTAGGATTAAGAAAGGTTTCAATCGCATAACAAACGCTTGCTATGAGTCACTGAAAGTTTGACGACTATTTTTAACTAAGGATAATTTGATTAAAATAAGGTTGGCTGGATTGTAACAGACCTGTTACCTAAAGATGTGCATAAAGGAACGGTACAGCATACTAGAGGTGTCGATATGCATCTAATGTCGGCTGAAGAATGTATCATGGCTGCCGCTTTCCAAAATGCTCATCCTAATCCGTGCAAGTATGCAAGGGACAAATACTTTGGTTCAAAATTTGTAACAGTGATAGTGTCAGGTAATGAGATTTAAGATTTATGTAATTTGAATAGTTGTGTGCAATTTTACAACTACCTGGTGCCCAGCTGTTGGTTTAAAACTTTTGCGACATGTATTTCATTTTATGACAATCGTAAACGCTTTCGTTCGATCAAATAGGTGACTGCAATGATTCCATTGACATACATGGTTATCAGGTAGGTAGTGACTGATTATAAATCTCAGTGACAAATTTGGTTTATTTATATTCCATAAAATAGAGATACGTAGATGATGCGTTGTTGAATAGTGAATCAATTTATTTATAATAGGTTTCAAATCAATGTATGTCCTTGGTTCGTGATAATTGCTTAGTACCTACTAGAGATGATCCAACACTGGCGTATGTGAGAAATTCAACAAATATTCAATATGTTCCTGATGTATTTTATAAGGTTTGCAAATAAACGTTCAATACAGATGAAAAATAGTGTCTGCGTTGTGAAAGACGTCTATTTTTAACAGATGAAAGATGAATATAACAATGAAAAATTAGCGTTAGGAAGGCCTTTACCTGTCGAATATTTATTAATTGATGTAAGGCATCTTACTAACGTATTTTTATATTATCGATGATGCTCTATAGTTGATTTATTACAACTGTAATTGACATATCTCAGGTTCCTAATGGATTCCCTAAGAATATGAAGTTCCTATTGGATAAATTAGATGATCAATTTCCTATTGAAAATAGAGATAATATCGGTCAACCACAGGTAATTGCTGTAATGTCTTTTGCCAACTTTATAGATAGTACTAATGTCAACTCATTGAATAGTACAGATTGCAAGTTTGTACTGTGTATATTACTGAAAGCTATTACTATTTGCTACCTGATGGTTACCTTTTACCCCCTTTAGAACTTTAATGTTCTAGCAAAGTATGCCGAGCAACATATGGATGGTAAATTTTTGGAAATGGCTTCCGATTTCCACTTCCTTACTTATTTGGTAAAAACGGAAATAATAAAATTAGAGGTATATAGCCGTTTGTAATAAAAATGTCGACTGATCCGGCTGAGTGTAATGATTTATTGTGTGGTAAACCATCTGTATGTTTGTAAAATTTTCATACGTATATTGGGTAGCATAATGTGCGGTCGACCTACTTTTAACAATCTTATATTAATTCTTACAGGATTTGCAACCTCTTGCAACGGCAGTAAAACAAGAATCTGCTTTAGAAGCTATACATTTTAAAAGAAGTAAAGCGTGGCAAACGGTAGAACAACTAATGAAAGCTAATGGTGAGTTTTGAACCATTATAGGAAATACGATGTATTGTAAAAGTAGCGAGGACTCACTTCTCGTACTATTTTCTACGTATGCATATCTACTGTGTTGTATGTCGATTAGTTTACCTGCTAGTTATGTGCAGTTTTCATCATAATCACTAAGACTTTATTCGCAACTTTTAAAATGGATAGGTCCTCCACAAGATAATCTCCCGAAGGCAGCTACATCTTGGTCGTGTCAGCATTGCACATTCATAAATGCTCGTAATGACGAAGCCTGTGAAATGTGCAACTTGCCTAGATCATGATGAAGTTCACCAACGACTAGCCTTTACTATACAGTGCTAAGCCTCAGTCGAATATAGTTGGTAATGGTTGTAGCTTATTTACTCCTACTAATGTTATAAAAATTTCTCGTATGCAGTGAGTCATCAGGCTGAGCTAGTATTGACTTTGTATTTTCGAAATTTATACGGTCTTCAATTGTTCCGCACACCGAGTTAGTTGCTAGGATATGTTTGTATAATATTGTATGCAACTACAACTGATTTCCTAACCTAAGTACGTAACATTCAATCGTTTGCACTTGGTAATATAATTAATTAAGTGCAACCGTTGCTACAGTGACTTAGAATGTGTATTAAATGGTAGCGGGTTAGATAAAATTGGATATGGAAATAACAAATTGTGCTATTAGTCTTGCGTTTCCAAATGTAAGGCTAAGCCCGGCTTAATGCAACCTTGTTTTGCTGTTTGTTTGCCAAACTATGACGGTATATGCAATTTTTACGGATTAAAATCTACTAATACCAACTGTAAAGAAATTACTAAAATGCCATGGCCAAAGTATAATCTGGAGATTAAAACTAGGCTGCACACTGATTCTGCAATCAAGTGTGCATTTGCTAATTCAGAACAAACAATAAAAAGTTTTAAGTAATTGAATATTTATTGAATTAGTTCATGGATCAAGTTTATGCAATAAATTGATAAGGAAGAGCTCGAAGAACTTCAGGTTCGGATTCTGCGATAACCGTTTGTGCTCCTTTAGGGGCTTTAGGCTACAGCAAGCAATAACAGCATGTTTAGTTGATAACGTACACTTTGAGATGATAATATAAATCCATGTTATCGTTTAACTGGGCGACAGTAATTGATCCACTGACACAAGAGTCTCTACTTTCAAAGTATACTTTTAGCAGACGTATGATTAACATCCTTTTCTATTGCGCATTGACTAGCTTACCTTACGCTTAAGGTCAACTCTTTCTCCTTTCGCAGCTGCATCCTTTCTTAAGCGTTCGTTCTCTTTTACACGACTAATATCAATACACAAGCATTAAAAATTCATCAAGATGCAATGCATTGACTATACTGTCCATACAAGCATACAGGCATGACGTCGTATTTTACCGTAAAAAGTCATCGCGACATTTGGAATGACTAATGTGCTCGATACGAACATTGATCCTCTTGGGCATAATGCGATTTCTAAAGAAGAGCGAATAGAGGTTAATTGTATTGCACATTTATCTTCCATTAACACGAAAAGATAGTTTTGACTGAGTGTAGACTTTTGCGTTTCTGTCGACAAGTGAAATGGTATGCATAGCTTGCTAGCTAATAGCTAGCAATCTTGTCAATCTTACCTGACTTGCTTATTGACGATGACACCAACAGCGCGCTTAGTAACATTGAATACACGGCCAGTTTTACCATGATAGCATTTATGTGGCATACCAAGTTGGACGGAACCTTTTCCCTATAACAAGCAATCCATCATATTTAGTATTATTACGGCTGCTGTTGCTTCCGTCAGTAATAGTTGGGGGAGTCTAATGCTCTCTCCAGTAGATTAGCCTGTTGATTATTCAAAAAGTAAGAAGACTAAAGCGTAGTGTACAGTATACTGTCCGATGATTGATTACTCATGAGCACTGGCTAAACCCCAACTCTACTACTAAGACTAAAGTGTACAATATACGATCCTTGATTACTGGTGAGTACTGGCTAAACTAAAACTCGAGTAAATTATCGGAAAGGAACAGGACTTAAGGAAGCGCACGATTCCTTTCAACAGCCAAGACGCCAGTACTCTTTTTAAGACTATAGTACATGTATCGCGTCTATCTGCTATATCAAGACTATGGGTGAAAAAAGAACATACCTTGATATCTACGATATCGCCAACTTTGTACGTTTTCAAATACGTAGAGAGTGGAATGACGCCTAAAAGGATTTAAGTTCAATTAGTCTTATTATGAACAAGATCATGTCAACTATCAATCGTCTTTCTATTCTAGTATAACACATTCATGGATCGCCATGTTGACCACTACTAGCTCATACCGCGTTTCCTGAAAGCGGCAGAGAACATATAACGTGTTCCGCGACGATAACCGTGAGTTTTCCCCATCTATTTAATGATCAAAGGGTAAAATGAATGTTTAAGTGAATCACCAGCAACATGAAATCATCATTTTAAGCATAAAATAGTCAGAAAAGACAAGGAGAAAGCATTTTACCTTTTAGCTCGACTAGTTCCTATCCTCTACACAAGTTACTATACAACGAAGAGATCGTCGAAAACTCCAGCAAGTCGATTTTTCTGCTCATGTCATGTGGTGTATGTAAATGAGTTGATCACGTGGACGCCAGGGAGATACGGCATTCTGGTCCAGTAGTGGACTGTGAGACCTGGACCGGTCCTCCCTCAGACGGATGGACTTTTTTTTATTTTAATGGACAGTACTGTACTGAGCTGTGGTGGAAGTTGAGTGGAACATAGTCATAGAATCCTACAAAGAAGACTTGGACCGGTCCTCCCTCAGACGGATGGACTTTTTTTATTTTAACGGACAGTACTGTACTGAGCTGTGGTGGAAGTTGAGTGGAACACAGTTATAGAATCCTACAAAGAAGACTTGGACCAGTCCTCCCTCAGACGGATGGACTTTTTCATGACTATAATGGCATATTAGTAAATTACTGAAATTTCCAATGGCATATTAGTAATTATGAAACTATACAGTGGCAAAACAGTAATTTAGTCTTTATTTTATTTTAGGCAAAATTAACGATATGCCACTATATTTTTTTATTTTATTGTAGTATTTTATTCTATTTTAACGGACAGTACTGAGCTGTGGTGGAAGTTCTGAGTAACACAGTCATGGACTCCTAGAAGAAGACCTGCACTAGTCCACTCTCAGACGGATGGACTTTTTTACTGTAACGGACAGTATCGAACTGTGGTGTAACATTCATGGACGCCTAGAAGAAGACCTAGAGGCTGGAGTCCTGAACCAGTCCTCTCTCTCAGACGGATGGACTTTTTATTGTAACGGACAGTATTGAACTGTGGTGTAAAACACTCATGGACTCGTAGCAAAGAAGACCTGGACTGATCCTCCCTCAGACGGATGGAGATTTTTTGATTATTAATTAATTACAGTAAATCAATGGGAGATCGTCAATGTCGAAAAATGACGACTTAGTCTGGATCTTGCCCGTGTCGGTTTTCTAAATCATTGGTACTAATTTCAATCACATTGATGATCTTATAGAGGCTTTTTCCAAGCAGAATTTTAGATCAATAAGATAGCTTATGTAATGCGGCAGACTATGTCTTATTCTGCATAAGTTTACTAAACCATAATAAAGTTAGACCTATGAACTTAAGATAAAAAGCTGCTTTTATTACAATATTTAAATCGTCCGTGTAAGCTGATCCGTAATAGTAGAACAGTATTTGGCATAAATATTTTAGACGAGATGAAATGTCTGTTCTTTCCATGCCGTTACTCACCCAGAGAAAGGAGTTTTTTGTATGAGTAGCGGCAGTAACAGGAACAGTATGGAAGAACAGAGTTTGGCTAAGGGGCAGTGAGGAATATAGGGAGAAAATGGTTGAGTAGTTCCTAACTCAGTCATCGACTTGTGTAAAAACAGCACTAGAAATTACTACCGTGTCCACTTTCCATGACTCAGCGAGTGATTTACAACACCTCCATAGTCAATACAATACAGTACTAGTAGTTCAAATCGAAATATTCTTCTACTGGAGTTGTAAAACAGGATTCCGAGTGCAAGCATTTTCGATTTCAATATAGCATTCACAAATGATGAAAATCAATTTACGAACTCGGCACAACTATCTTTCGATATAATTTGATCAGTGTATGGCATCTAAATAGGATGGAATACAGTACATGCTGTAGTAAGTGTACTACAGTATACGAATAGTCATCTCAGTCAAAATTCAGAATGATTGCACTGATATTGAGTGATTTCCGCGGATTCTTTTCTGGCGGACATAATACCCAGTACTGCCAGTACAGCATACAGTCATGATTATGCCAATGGGACATTTAGGAATCCGTACAATTTCTCTTTTTTTGTTAGTCTATTTACAGTACTGATACTTTCATGACTAGCTCTGAAATTGATTCGTAAATGAATGAATTACACGTTAATTTTTGAAGACTAGGTCAATAATAATTAATCTTTAAACTCATTAGATACCCTTCTATTCAATGGACGTATATACAAAATGGCCCTACGATGGTAGTATGAATACAGTAGTAAAAAGAGAGATAGACACGAAATGGTCGTATAGTATACTCCAAATATTTCCTCATCATTTTAACTGTACCATTTATCTGCAATCGTACGCTATCTACGATCAATACTAACTGTAATCAATTGCCAGTGAAATAGAATGAATAGTAGTAGAAGATCCGGAATATGTAGCGATAGCCGTAAATTTGAATTAGTACCGGCTAATTCACATCCTGGTATTCATGTTAATCGTGACACAATGGGAAAAACACATCTCGATGTTACATCTGCGTTCCATTTATTCAATTTTAGTCATACTTTAGACGATATCATAAGCAAAGAAGTCAATTTAACTGAGAGAAATGTGTCATTATACTGCTACTCTGATCCAACGGAACGCTAACTGTAGTACAGGTCTACAGTAGCTATCTGACAATGACGAAGTGGTTCAAGTGCAGCGCTTGAACATCAAATGGACAAATTAAAATACTCTTCGAGTAATCTAAAGCAACACTATTTTGATATTAGCTCGAAAAGTAATAAAAACCCTCCGTTAGCTTCGCATATATTACTATCATTCCAAAATACAATATTATACATCCTTATTTGTGAGCAAATTGGCATTATATGAGTAAATATAGACAACGAGAAAGACAACCCTACATGGTGCGCGCTGATTTATATTCGTTGTCATCATATCAGTATAGTAGATAAAACGCGTTGTGCTAATTGTGCGGTAAAGTCTTACCAAACGGCTGCGAGGAGACAAGTGAAGATATTTAAAATAAGAATACTGTATACTTTTAGGATTTTGTAAATCACACATCAGGTATGCGTATAGGTTAAATAGATATCTAAGAGGCACATACTTTGCATTATTTTAATCCTAATTATGCATTTGATAAAGGCATCTTGTGTTACTTCATCATGTGAAATGGTATTTACATCTCTAAACCATACGGACCTACTGCTATCAAGAAATCAATCAGCGTTTATCATGGCGTTTCAAAAGAAGAGTTCAATTACTTTGTTACTCTTTTTTCTTTTCAGTTTCTGAGTAAGCAGGCGGATTCTACATTTAATACGGACGAAACGATCGTTGATTCAATGAGAAAAATTTCCATGCTGTGTAATCAATTTTAATGACACTTACTGCCGGCATGCCCTGAGTTGGTGCGTAGAGGTTGTTTGGATTGGACGGAGAATAATATGCAGTTGCGGCATTTGGCATTGCTGCTATAGAACAGTAAGATAGTCAATACACGCAATAGTTTAAGAGTAATTTCCATCTTCAAATAGCTGAGTAAAACAGACATTAGAGGAATCAATCTCTGCTATGACTACATGGTTCAATTAGCCATCATGATGGCGATATTGCACTTATCTACGATGAAAACTGACAATAGCCAAGTTCACACTCGCATTTCCAGTAGTACAAGGCGGATGTGAAAATGGCCAGTCTATTAATTCTTATTTTAGTACCTGCATTCGGAGGTGGAGGATAAGCGTTCATTGTAGGCGCTGTCGCCCCACCTTGATAATAAACATATTGGCATCCACCGCGAGGACCCTACGAAAAATCAATGCAACGCATTATCGATCACACAAGGTATAAGCAGTTTGAAGCTCTTTTGATGAATGGATAGAATTTAGTGTACTACATACATATGCTGCTTGTGCCTGAGCTAATACTGCTGGAGATATCGCAGACAGTTGCGGTGCGGCTACAGTGCCACCTGTAAATCGAATTTATTCATTCAATGTCACTTTATAAGTGATATTCAAATGGACATGATTGTAAGGCAAGAATATGTCGGTAACTATCGATGACGAACCTCCGCGAACCATCCTCGTATACATGGTTCCAAATTCAATAGCTCCTCCGGATGTAAAGTACATCTTGAAATCTAACGAATCTCGAAATGCGGCTATTTTGAAATAAAGAGCAACAACATAAGTAGGGTGCAATAGTGTCTAATAATCATTATTGTCATTTTCTAGCAAAGTTAGTCTACAATTGTGGAAAGTACTACCGAGTATAAGCAACATTTACTTGCAAGACAAAATCAATCTACATTTTTGGATAGGTTGGCAACAATAGAAAGTACTGCATAAGGTTCAAAGTAGTAAATACATACTCTCTTCTTGATCCGGAATACAGGTTCCTCGTAAATGATTTGATCCAAATATCGGTTGTTTTAACTGTTTATACAGTTATAAAGTAAAATCAGTCATTGAATGCAATACTCGAAAGTGGTTGATAACTACCAATATCTATACGAGAGTCTTCTTTATAGTACATTAAACAGATTTTAAATTGGATGGATAGAGTTGCTATCTTGACTTGAATCATGATGAAAGATTCATTTTCAGCAGTAAAAGAATCATCTTATAACATGCTGTAAATGGATCGATACAGTATTGACAGTGATCTTACTTGTTTTATTAATTAGACTGACTATAGAATATAGTGTGCAATTGACAGTCAGTCAGCTATGATACTGTAATTATTGTCACTTTCGCAACGGTAAACACCTTCATGAACTACTTTTGTCCTATTTGGATCAATGGTAAAGATGAACGTAATATGGTAAAATTGAAGATGTCCAAATGATTGGAATCGTACATGTTTATGACTTTGTTTACTATAGTAGATTATCAACTACTACATGATGCTACGGTACGCTATAGCCAAGTAAAACCATTATACTGATCAATGGAAATGGTTCATGAGAATAGAAATGATTTTATACTTTTGATTCATTGATAATAATTTTAAATGTAGGTAACATAATAGCCTGCTGGAGGAACATGATGATACTATTCCATGGCACATGTAATAAATGACTGCAGTATCATCATTGTCAACTGTGTTAACCTACGATCAAATACTCTCGCATGTCAATGCTGTAAGTCCAAGTTACCTCAACATTACGTAAGCAATTAAATGGCATTGCTATCGATCTTAAATGATCGTTTGATTTCATACTTGTGGCAAAAATAATCTAGATATCAAGTAGAAGAGAATAACGATAGCATTAGGCAGTTGGATTTAGTGTGCATTGTCTTGCTGAGACGCTTCTATCATACTGTGTAAGGATGCTTTTCTAGATGTAGAACAACTGAGTGATTGTTGTCCTCTCCTTACAGTATGTATAAGAACTATGGCAGTTTTACTTGAGGTAATCATTTCTATTAGCAATAAGATAGTCAGTCCTGTATTGTAACGCAATCTCTTGTAGGCATGCTTATCCTACTGTAGTTTTGATGCTTTGGCGAAGCAGGTCTAGCATGGCTATGTTGTTCTCCTGCTCTGTAGAAGAACTACGGCACTTGGACAGTACTGTATATTTAAAAGATGATCGTTTTGATCAACAATACGGTCGCCAGTCCTGTATTACAGTCTACAGTCATGAAATGTCTTTCAATGCGGACTATCCATACAACAACTTGGTGATCATGGCTAGCTGACTTTGTCATTGATGCAACAGATATCCTTTCCATCATTCGACTTACCCGGTAATTGGATAAATAGCCGACACCTTTATGATTGCCATGGAACTCCTTGGGAAGGTGAGTGCCATCCAAGGTTAGTTCGACTCCTTTATAATTGAGGAGAATGCTAAAAAAAAGATTTAATTCAACATCAAAGACTCATGCATAAATCGACGCATACAAATTGGCATGCTAGTGAAGATATTGCCCAACCACTTACGTTTCCCCGACCAACAATTTAAGTTGGCCATCAGCGTAAGTTTTATTGATAGCCATATTGGAGGCGCAAGCTACTATGACGTCATCAACTGGGTTAGCGGACAGCCGCAGTAAACAAGTTGAAAGTTACAGTAGGGTCGTGGTCCAGTTTGAATGAGTCACCCAGTGCTTCACTCCTAGTGACGTTATACTGTACAGTGTACGTCAGGCTAACAGGAGAGTCACAGCTCGCTTGTACACACGTCCACGTTGAGTGTCAGTCGTGGATTACTGTCCTGTAGAAGACGTGAACGGACCACGCTTGGACGGACAGACGTTTCCGCCTCATCTCGTCAAGATGGTGTTTCTGACTTACCACTTCGTTATGACTAGTTATGACAGTAGCCAATTTTATCATCTCCAATGTACTGTACACAACTAAGGACTACTAGAAAAAGGAATTTTTTCTAATAGTCCTCGATACATTTGAGTCAGGGATTTCCGAGTTGCTAGACTAATTATCCGGTCGATATATTGCGTAGACAGCACTGCATACTATACACTGTACAGTATCATAAACGGAGAAACTCGGACGGGACGAGACATGGACTGCTCCAATGCTAGATGCGGTACACCGACTTCCAATCCGGTGCCAGATACACCTGGACTGAACACTGGACACTTGACTCGGACGATCGGACATTTCGGCTTCATCTTGTAGGATACTATTGCAAACGCTATCATGCCATCAAGTGGATACTCCATTTTATAATTCACTTATTCTTCTAAACTAAGCAAGGATTCAAATTGATTCTATTTTAATTTCTACTCTTTTTAAAATGATAAAAGTGATGAAGATCGATCCTACTGTAACTGATTTTTCAAGATTTGGGCCTTCTGCCCCATCAAGAAGTCTGTCCGTCTGATATCGTACGATATCGATCAGGTTATCAAGCGGATATTCGATTTTGTAATTCACTTATTCTTCGCATCTAAGCAAGGGTTAAAAAATTGATTCTATTCAAGTTCTACTCTTTTTAAATCAGCAGAAATGATGAAGAAAAAGAGATGCTGAAGATCGATCCTACTGTAAGTAACTGATTCTTCGAGATTTAAGCCTTCTGTTCAACCAAGAAGTCTGTCCGTCTGATGTGCGATGTCCACTTGACGCGATCATGTTATCAAGCGGATACTCGATTTTGTAATTCACTTATTCTTCTTAAGTAAGCCAGGATTAAAATTGATTTTATATTAGTACTACTCTTTTTAAATGAGTCGAAGTGATGAAGAAAAATAGATACTGAAGATCGATCCTACTGTAAGCAAGTGATTTTGGGAGATTTCGCCCTTCTGGGTTGCAAAAAAATCTGTCCGTCTGATGCACGATGTCCAGATTGGTGCTAGTACTGAGTAAAAAGGTCTGTTGCGTTTCCTGTCTACTGTACCATACAGTCCATCACGTAGTAGAGTTAAGACTGAGCAGCGGTGTCCAAAGTCCAATGGTTGCACCATGGCATCCAGGGCGTAGTTCCACCCCGACAAGCCGGAAGGACGGAAAGCAATCGTCTATTCTGTGTATCAAAACATCCATATTAGACACTAATTTCTATAGAGTCCTATCGGCTAGTGGCAGGGCCCAACCAAGAGAAAAAACAAAAGGCGTTTGAGCGCGGCTGTGCGCAAGTCTGTTATTGCTGCTAGCTGAGATCTGTTGTGGTTGGAGAGAGAAAATCGTCAAATCGTTTTCAATTTTTAGCTCCATTTTGGCCTGTTTTGACTGTCATTAGCAAGCCTATGGACAAAACTGGTGGAGAATCGTCAAGCGATGAGGCTGCTCAAAGTAAAGCCTTATCTATTCAACCGTATAAAGAGCAATTAGGGTCGTTAATGAAAGATTTACGCAGCCGAGAGAACGAACTACTGGAAAAGGCAGGTGGTCTCGAACATGCTTATTTTACTCAAGTCAATAAGCGCGCTCAACATTTCGATGCGGCCAAGAAAATTGTTGCCAATTCGCTCAATCAAGTCATCCAGCATATTGGCCAATTGGGCAATAAAATGTTAACCATGGTCGATCAGCAGAAAGAACAAATTGAATCTTTAGAATCGCGAATGAATATTCTCAATCAGGTAAAATCCAACCGATAATCTTCATTCAACTTTGTTGACGCTCTCCTTCTCCACTTTTTAGTCCAATTTGGGTCCCTTATCCATTTTAGTCAACAGGCAATCTCCATCGATTTACACCTTCTGATGCCATGACTAGTTTTGTAGTGTATTGCTATCAATCTAGGCTTACTATGGATATGAGGATGAAAACAACATCATCCTTGACATCTTGCGATGGTCAATGTCATCCTACGCGTACAGCATCGATTGCCTTGATTTGATGTCCATGTCTTGCCCCGTTTAAATATTGATTCTAAACCCTCATTGAAACGTGTCCAATAATACTACTACCCAACGTTGACAATTCCACGCTACTCGTTGATGATTCTATTAGACCGATCCATAAGTTATTCTAGACAACATGCTGTACTGGATGGCCGGTCTTATTTTCCTTTTGACGACCATTTTTCGATTTGTCCTGCCTAAACTCGATGGAGCCTTGAATTGATCCATGCTTTATGACTGTATACCAACAACGTCCATAAATTATTATTCAATCATGACATGCCATCAATACTCCATCAACATGGACAAATTCCTACTGTTCGATCATACATGGATAGACAGTATTTAATCCCCCTCCCCCCCAAAAAAATGAGCTATACCAAGTGCTCCAACGGCATTTCGATTGCAATAGTTACTTTCTACACTTTCGTATTAATTAATTTAAGAGATGTCCTAGAGCATTTTTCATTTCCAATGCATAGATCGCCTTGCATAAATCGATAAATCATAGAGTCGATACTTTGTTGTTTCAGTAGTAGTGATGATCATTTTAAACAATCTAAGTAATGCGTTTAGAATGAGATGATTATATTATTTAATGGATGGGCTTGGATGGATCCTAGAAACCATCATACGCGTAGTAATCTGTTAGAAGGATTGGCTATTTATTTAATGAATCGCTTTGGATAAGTCATAGAGTAGATATTTTATTGTTTCAGTAGTAATGATCATCATTTCAAAGTAATCTGATATTTAATTTATTTACCCTATCCAAGGCCAATTGAAACTATCTTTACTTTCATCATGGCCAATTGCATCAACTACGCGTCCCATCGATATCGGTGTTCCCTGATACAGATTTTATGTCAACAATCACTTGAATAAACGTAGATTGCCGGCGTTGTTGGTCTTCTATGAGACATATATATATACATAGATTCGTGGTGAAGATGTTTTTGAACAGGTTTCCAAATTTTTAGCATAGTATCGAGAATAACATTGAAGGGGTTATGAAAATTTTCGACAATCATATTGACGAATGATAGCTGCAGGTCTTTTTACATGATAAAATCATGGATACACTAGTACTTCAAGGAATGCTTTAAAACTGGGTCTGAAAAAGTCAAAATCAACTACATGTTGCTGATTTATTGAGAACGATAGGTGAAGACGGAATACCATCGTTGAATTATAGGTGCACTAGCAAAACACGCAACGTATACCTTCTTACCTAGGATTATTACTCGATGGCTAGTTTAAGTAATTAAATTCTTTTTCTACTATATTAATCCATTAATTCTTGACAAACACTGCGACACGTATCAGGAGTAGGAAATAGACTAAATATCAAGACATACCAAATGAACACCAAATGATCAATTCATCCACACTAATGACTAGTCATTAGTAAAAGGAATAACAGCCATCAATCATAGCGTATTCTCTGCTGTTAGTTCATTATTTGCAGTTAAGGGTCATAACCAATTGCAATTATACAAGGTAATAAACCTCGAAAATAACAGAAATTTCTCCAGACCTGTGACAAAGTGCCCCTTCCTACGATCTTATCGTTACCAGTATGCCGTTAATCTTTGTTTTTCCACTAAAATTATCTACGATATAGTTAGTTGCTAACACTTGCTTTTCGCTCTGCTCATACGCGTACTTAGGCCATAGACATCCACAATGATAAAGTTGCTTTACAACAATTTGAAGCACTTGGCGTTTCCGTTGAACCAGTTCGTAAATCCAAGAAAACAATAATCAAGGATAAGACTAAGACACAACGGTACACCCGTAAAGCCATTGATTTCAATAGCTTGGATGATGTTGGTGAGTAGTATCGACCACATTTAGGGTAGTTAAGCTAGCAACATAGCACATTTATTTTCAACATAGACTGGAGGATGATTATATGTCTAAATTATGGCATAATCCAAGTTGAACAATATTGGCTTCCATCTTTTTCAAATGATCTAGGTCAAGGTGCAAAATCAAAAGTTGGACAAGTACGTGGTAAGCGAGCAGAATCACTACAGCCGAAATTTAACAGACAAGGTAGCGTTAGTTCGACAACGCGATCTATCAACGGATCCATGGAAACAGGGAATACCTCCATACGGTATGTATTACGTTGTCTTCTTGGTAAATTAGCCAAGATTTATTCTACTCATATACAATAATATGACAAGTATATTGACAACATATTGAATGGGCGAGTATAGGCGAGGCAGCGTACCTAAATCGGGAAGTTTATCCTCTGTGAACAGTAATACCTCTCAACCAGTTAGCAGTACTAGCTCAGAAATTAATGAATCGCCTAGACAAAGTCGGTCATCCTCTATAAAATCGGTTCAATCGGGTACTTCTAGTGGAACTGTGTCTGTTGTTCAAACTAAAAGGATACAAGAAAAAACTTCTCACCCTCCATCAAATCTGAGAGCCATATCCAGTAAGTAATATAATTGACACCATTTTCTATTCATGGGTTGATCGATCCAGGCGTGGAATCAATTGAATTGAATCGTTGTGGCTTTTATTTTTAGGCGAAAGTTTAAACTCTCAATCATCAACCGATTCTACTTCGACGTTTGGATCGAATAAGAGGAAACCAGTTAGTATATTTAGATTGGCATCAGAGGAGAAGCATGAAGATGTTGCACCGCCGCCACAGCCCCAACCAATGGCCCAATCGAAGCCCCAGTCGCAACCCCAATCACAATCGTTCCATGCGTTAATAAGTCAGAAGGACTTACCACCACCAGCCGATGAAGACTTTGTTGGTAAGCATACGTATTACTTTCAATGATGGATTCATTATCGCAATTGCAACGCTGTATTGATTGCCTTGTTACGTTGATACAGACTTTCCACCGCCAGCTGATGACATAGGAATACCTCCTCCTCCTCCAATAATACCTGAAGATGACGATTTTGATATTCCTCCACCGCCTCCTTTAGATATAGACGATGACGATGAGATACCCGTTCCACCCCCTCCTGCACTTGAATCCAATGATACTAATGTAGAAGTTGAATGGATCCCAACTCAGTACATTAGGAAAGGTAAGATAATATTGATTTATCCATAAGAAAATAGTGTAAAGGAGAAGTTCATATTTCCTTCGTTCATTATTTAAACTATTAGTGCGAGCAATGTACGACTATAGACAACAGAGAAGCGATGAACTCAATATTGATGACGGTGACGTAATATACGTTATCAAGGAAAATATGGACGGTTGGTTTGAAGGATCTCTAAAGGGTAAAGTAGGCAAATTTCCTGGCAATTATGTGGAGCCTTTAGACTAATGAAAGAATGGACTGAATTTTACAGCAGAAGTGGCCTGTTACAACACCTGTATAATAGGATTGTGTCGTTTCATTTGCCTACTTTCCTTCCGTATATGTGTATTGTATGTATGTTGGCAAAAATTGATGTCATCCAATTTTGAATATAGTTTTATTTTTGTTATTGATTTCAAAATTTATCCTTCCCTAATTTATGATTTAATTCATTGGACTAGTTAATAACCAGACAATTTGTATAGTATTTGTGCTTGGTAAAATTCACATTATTACTATTTCACCGAAATATTATTGCAATTATTGGTATATAATGTTGAACGAGCTTCTATTTGACAACTAGTCAAATGTTTGAATGCTGGTCGTAGCTGATATTCTTAGCTGGTATAATCGATAAGTCTCCAGATTGAATTACAGTATGGCAAAGTACTTTAAAATGCTTTTGTTAACTTATCCTGATGATAATAATCGTCAGCACTGCCTTGTTACAAATGATCACCTAACCGCTATTGTGAATTAGATTATAAATTACTTTTGATGACTGGACTAGATAATTGAATAATATCATAGTTTTGCACATCAAGTTTCAATGCACAAGCCGATTCCAAGTCAGTTGATGATGTATCACAGTCACACAATATTTTGACTTAATATTGCTAATTTTGTGGCAATTATCAATTACACGTTTACTGAATTAATTTTTAATATATATATATATATATATATATCTAAAAAAAGGATCATTTACTTTAATAATTACGTTACAAATTGGTAGCAATAAAAATTGCAAATGTGTACATAATTTACATGATTTCCTTTGGCAGTATAAAACATCAATCTTTACCAAGTGATCACTTGTTTGAAATGTCTATAGTAAGGAGATTTTTATCAATTAGTGATATACCCGTGGATATAATTCTTTCGCAACCAAGGGTGATGCAATGCTTCACGAGCAGTCATCCGTAAGTTGGGATCCGGTTCTAGTAGACGATCGATAAAATTTTGGCAATCCCTAGTTAATAAATTCTTCCAAAGGTCATTTTCATATATTGAATCGCCATTTTCAAATGGTAACTTATCCAAAAGGACCTCAAACAGCATAACACCGACCATCCAACAGTCTACAGGGAAGCAGTAAGACATTCCGTTAAGCATTTCTGCTGCCAAATAACCTTCAGTTCCAACAGGGTAAAAAAATTGCTGATGATCATTTTCAACACGTACCGCTAAATCAAAATCACTAATTACCAACTCTGATCCTTTCTTAGTAAAATAGAGTATATTTTCTGGCTTCAGATCACGATGGATAATATTATTGCGATGTAAATATGCAACCCCATTTAAAACTTGAATTATAATCGGTTTCGCTTGCATCTCTGACATAACACTACCAATACATTGCTCCAATCGATCACGTAAATCGCCACCTTCTAGGTAAGGCATAACCATGCGAATGATGTGATCATCTTCCTCGCCACGGATAATTTTAATAATGTTACGATGATTAAGAGATTGCAAGACATCAATTTCTTGCTTTAATGATTTAGCAATCCAAGGATTTTGCAATCTATGAACTTTACGCTGCTCTTTAACAGCATAATATTTTTGATTTTCATAAGCGACAGTAATGGAGATACCACTGGAAGCTCTATGGATCACTTTCATAGCCGTTCCCGTATCTTCTTCTTCTTCGAGTTCATAGCTTTGTGAACGCGGTGAAATTGTTTCTATACTACTTGATGCCATTGATTGACTATAGAATTTTTCATCACTGGATGACATCTTTTCCTTCTTTCCTAGCTCATCGATATTCGTAAACTCTTGGCAACTATAAATAGGACTACTAGGTAGTTGTTGATTGATACTTATTTCTACAGTGCCATCAAGGTAAATGTCCCTGCCAATATAGTCTATTATATTGACACTCATTTGCGATCGATGAAAGCGAATATTCTTTTCTCACACAATCTTCCTTCATGCAAGCGTTAGCCTAACTTTCTGGGTGTACATTCGCACCTTTCCTTTATATATCTTCGACACTTGAAGATTCTAGATAAGTAAAATTAATACTATCAAGAGCTAATTTAAATATGCCGCTTTTGCTATGACCTAACTCGGCTACAATATACTGTACAGTCAATGATTTTATCTGTTCCTTAATGAAATCCTGCATTTATTTCTTAATAAGGAAATTTGGGTGATGCATTGGATATTCTAGTATTTAATTCTATCACTATCCAATACCATTTACAGTGGGTACTAAATTTAGAACGGCAATTACTGGAAATTCTAATCTCAATTTAGCAATGTGACTCTCGAGATGAGCAGAAAGTGCGTCATAATGGCTTCTATTCATAGTTGCTACTAGTTATTTTCAAGCTATAAATTAAGCAAGGTACCACATTGCTTAATTGCGTCAATATTGACATACGGATACGATGAAAGTCTTTCTACATCTTTCTTCTACGGAATTATCCAAGAAATTCGATTCAAAATCATACAGACAGCTAACGTTTTGATACACGAATCTGGATCAGATTACGATAGCTAAACATCTCCGTGTACTGTGTATGATGAATTTAAAAATGCAAGGAAGATTAAACTTTACAATCTATCCGCAGTAATCCCACTGATGTAGAAGAACTATCCAGATAATTGGCAAGCCTATCGATATCTTAATGATACTAATATCTCCTGATTCATAATTTTCTGTAAGTATTCGTCGAAGATTAATAATATTTATGTTGCCTCGGTAGAACAATCCCACTGATGTAACAGAATTAGCCAGGCAATTGACATGCCTGTTAGTATCTTAATGATACTAATATCTCCATATTCCAATTTTCCGCAAGTGTGCATTGACGAAGTGTAAGATATGGATATTGCAACTAAGTATCATCGCTTAATCATCGAATAAACTACTAAATGCAAGTTGTATGTAAACGTACGATAGTCAGTGTCTTTTTTCAGAAACATATCGATATCCTAACTTGGCTATCATTTGTTAGAATAAAATATCATCCAGTGGAAGACTTGCTCATGGTCAAGCTATTAAAATCATTGCTAAGAAAATATAGCTACTGCTCCCAAAAGCTAAATGTGAACTATCTCCTCAATGAAGAGAATCTACCTTTTGGCTTCTTTCACGTATTTTATTTTGTGTGTGTGTGTGTGTAACTGCTGAAGAATTTTCGAATAGGAAAAAATAAAGTAATCAACGTTTTGGCATTTACTTGACGTGAACTACCTCTTCCAAAATCTATCTATAATCTGATATTGCATATTTGCAATTCCGACTGCGTAAGGATCCGTCAGTTGTGAACAAAGTAAAAAGTAAAAAGTAAAAGTAAAAGTCGATTCTAAGATAAGAAAAATGGATGTCTATCTTAACGCTAAGAATCGATTTGATGATAGAACGATGGCCGTTAATGTCGCCTAAAATTTGCTCGAAGTGAAATTTAATCTAGAAACAGTTCTAGGTACTAAACCCAATATTTAAAAGAAATCGAATCAAAGATGAAAATGTCAATTCTAAGAAAAACTTGACGTCTATCTTAACGAGAAGAATCGATTTGGCCTTAAAACGGTGATCGTATTGATTGCGTCTGAAATTTTCGTTAAGGTATTTAAGATTTAATTTAATATAGAAAATATGCCTAAGTGCTTATACTAATATTTGCTCAGATATAACATGGATCATTATCTCATTATAACGTAACTTACAAATTTAAGCACAATTCTGATTTACTATAATCAAAGAGATCAACATGGATATCCACGGATCGAGAAATCATAAATTACTTAATACAACATTGTTGCAGTCGGACATCCATGCTGATCCCAATCAAAGAGTTGGAATATAACCAAACAACTTTCCATAGACATAAGAAGTCTGCCATTGAGAACAAATAAAATTACATAAAATTTATATTTGTAATCTAGTTTGTCTCAATCAACCTTCTCCAGACAGATTAGCAAACGGAATTGAAAATAACCGCATTCTACAAGGGCATCGTACTCAGGAATAATTTTTTCAACTCTCGAGAATGACTAATAAAACGAAAATGGAGGTGTAAAGCTACTCAACATCGCCTGTAATCTTTTTCCTGGCGATCTTTAAAAGCAAACGCAAAATCAATCGTGGCAAAGTCATGTCTGTATAAGTAATGCTATAAAGTCTTCACTTCGTGCAATCACATAGAATGAACTTTATGTTGGAATTTCTTTTTATATCAATTGAGTACAACTTTATTATTATTAATAATCTTATTTAAAAGTCAAAGGGGAACAGTGCTGCCTTTATTGACATAATTAAGGCCATTAACTTTCCCTTATTCTTGTTCGTTATGTGCAATGATATTTTAATTTTACTCGTTTCACAAAATGATCAGAAACAATCTGACTCTCCTAATCTATACTTTGATATGACAAGGTTTTAACCTCTCATCAGTTATGCCTATTCTAATTTCAAGTCACCATTTGCAACTTGCTCAAACCATGGATGTTGCAGAGCTTGAGAAGCTTTCATCCTTCGAGCAGGATCAATCATTAACAATTTACCTAGTAATTCTCCACATGTCTTGGCTAATAGAACCATCCAGTGGCTGCGTTTCATAGTACTTTGTCGATTGCCAATTCTATCGATGAAAAATGGTGGATGGCCAAGGAGTAATTCATACATGATGATACCTATACACCAGCAATCAACGGGAAAACTATAAGAGAGCTCATTGATGATTTCTGGAGCTCGATTAATGAGTGTTCCAACCCGAAATTCATCTAATTCTTGCTCAGGTTGGATGTAAGTAGACGATTCAAAATCACACAAGACCAACGATAACGAATTCGGTCGGGCAAGTAGTACATTTTCTAGTTTTATATCCCTATGGATAATGTTGTGATGATGAAGGTATTGCGTGGCTTGTAATATTTGCCATAAAATCATTTTTGCCTCATTTTCCGGCATAATATGGTGATCATATTGACCTAGCCTATAGAATAAATCTTGACCTTGCATGAGAGGTAGAATAAGAAAGGATTCTTTCTTGGTGACAACTAAATCCAGTGCCTTGATGATATTATCATGTTGAAGGCTTCGAAGAATTGTATATTCATGTTGAAGGCGTGCAAGAAATTCTTTTCTTGGCCTTGCCAAGTCATCCCAAGCAAAACCTAAATGTTTAATCGCCACCACTTCATCGCGGTGTATGGCTCTAGTAACCCAGAAAACCGGTCCCTTAATAAGTGTTACTTGTGAATGGTAATCACGTCGAAATTGCCAATATTGGCCATCAAATCGATTCCACAATTCGTCATGGCTATAAACACACGATTGTCTACTTTTGCTGGCCGCTTTGATGCCCATTAACGTGGTATGTTGCGGCGACAATCCATACCTGGTATATTTTTGTCGATAATGTTGAATATAGCGCAATTCATTTCGATCTTTAAAACTTCCAGCTATCTTTCCCATTTTCCAATGGATCAAGAAAAGAGAGCTGTTGATTAAAACGACCAAGAAAAGAAAAACTGTTGATTAAATCGCCATCATCAACAGTTCCTACGATATCGGCACCAATTCTACAGCTATGGCTACGATCAATCTGATCATCGAAAGGCAATACTTACAGTACAAGCAAGTTGAAGACGGCTAAACTGAGAAAAATGTAAATATTCTCCTATATGGTGTTGAAGAGATGGTATTGCCAGCTCTAGAAAAGACCAAAATAAGAATATTGTTGATTAAATAGCCGTCATCAACAGTATCTACTACCACTGTACTATACATGGACACGAATTCTATACATGGCTACGACCAATTTGAGAATAGAAATGCAATACTTACAAGCAAGTCGAAGACCGTTGAACTGATGAAAATGGAAATGTTCTCCTTGCTATGTAGTTGAACGCTAGGAATCTTTTCACAGGCTGCAAAAGCGTGGCTAGAATGGAAGGATTTGACGTCACCAATTTTCACGCGTTAATTTGGAATTCATTGATAAAAGTAGTCCAGACGTAAAACAGGAATTTTATGACGTATTTTGTCACCTTTTACGGTGTTTTTTCATCATTATTGCTGCCATCGGCATAATACTAACGCCCATTTTTGGAAGGGAAGACCACTACCGTCTGGATCTTACTGGACTTTACTTCTGTCATAAAGTATTCATTAATCGGATTACTTTGGCGATGGACTTGTTTATTTCTAGAAGAGAGTAGTCCAAAATGAAGGAAAAAAAGAACAAGTTTTCCGCCGTCGTACAATTTCTACTGTAGACTTTGAGTTGTCAGTCAAATAGAAGGCTGCCTTGTTTAGGTAGAATGGCTCCCACTTTTAGTCTTCGCCTTTTGTACATCTTTAACTCACAATTACCATCACAGTGGTAGTCAATAGAAATTGGAGACGATAATGTAGAATGATGATTTGTTTGATTTAATAATCGTCTTATGTCATTATGTTATGAGAATTTGGACAGTATTCATGATGATTGAATAATTAATTAATTCATTGGATAGGCCATAGACTGCCGTAGAGAGAAGAAGCAATAACATCATCCAAGTCCGTCTCCAGCCATCAGTCCGCAACCTATCTACCAGTAATTATAGAATCTCTCTCGCTTTACTAATTACTTTGCTATCCTATGGATTGCAGTCTAGTCCAAATAGTTTTCTACTATATCGAAAGATTGAAATTGTATTCCGAACCTACGCGTAGATCATACAGTCAAATACAATGCGTAACTTCCTCAAACCGGAAGGTTTTTGTTGTAACCTATCCCTTGATCAATGCCATCCATGTTAATGTTCCTTTTCATCAACCATTGACGTAAATGAAGAGATAAAGCAACATTGACTGTAATAGCATCAAGGCTGCAATTGTACCTTCATGTACTTTCTTTCCGTTGACCATTCTATCTATGATTAATTAAAGTTGTAACAGTACAGTACCACTAACTTCTGATCGGATAGACAACGACAAGATTTGGATCTATTCGACCCCTTTAAATATCTGATTAATTAAAGTTGTAACAGTACTAACTTCTGATCGGATAGACAACGACAAGATTTGGATCTATTCAACCCCTTTAAATATCTGATTAATTAAAGTTGTAACAGTACTAACTTCTGATCGGATAGACAACGGCAAGGTTTGGATCTTTTCGACCCCTTTAAATATCTGATTAATTAAAGTTGTAACAGTACAACTAATTTCTGATCGGATCGACAACGACACAACGGTTGGATCTATTCGGCCCCTTTAAATATCATTTTATAATTTCTTTGTTTTTTGTTGTCCATTTTCAAGAAGGTAACACAGAACTCGTTTAATTTTTTCTTTCATCCATCTAAGAGCCAATAGCGAGAACAATACTGAAGAGGTTGTCTAGGATAGCTAAATTGGAGTGATTTGCTGTAATAGATGAAATGTGATCGCTCCATCTTGTAGTCCTGTAGTTCGATGGAGTTGTAGCTTTTGCAGCAGCCAATCCTGTAATTGGAAAATTTTCTGTGGTTTCCAATACCGATGTATACAGCATAAAGCCAATGATCAACAACTAGTAGAAGAAAGGAAGAGTATAATACGGCGAAAAATTGAAATAGGAGCTAAACACTCGCAAACTTGTTTTCATCCAATCATGTTAGTGAGATCGTTTGACAGTAAACAATTCTAGGTAGAGAAAAGAGCAATCGGATATACACGATCTTGAGATTCTTCCTCTTGCTGCTAACGGAGAATAGCTAGAGAAAATTAAAGTGCAACGGGATAGTGAATAAGCCCGTTGGGGGTAAGTTAGATGGAAATATAAATAACAAGATTAAACTTAGTGTATCTTATACGATAGCAGATAGGGGAGGCCTGAATCCACGCTAATAATTTTGGATGGTAAAAAAAAGGAAATCAAGATTTCTTTTTATGCGCGAGTACATCTTGTTTTGAACAATAATTTATGCCTCTTTATTCGCTTCGGTCAAGGTTTTCCCTGTCTATTACTGTATTACTGCGACGTCAAAATATATATATTAAAATATATTTATTTATATTTATTGAAATACTATCACTATATCCAGTCCCATCTGTTTGCTAACTAATACACATGAATCTATCTAGCAATATTTTTTCTACTTGCATGTAACATAATAGCAGTCTGCAGTACATTTACTATTGCCCTCCGTAGTTTTACGTTAATGACCACCATAACGGTTTGAAATTAAGCTGAATTCTAGTAAAACTCATTCTTGTCATATTACCATAATTAAATTTATGAAAGATAGCTAGTGTTCAATGTACTAAAAGAAAGTAACCAGTTCCAGGTAGAAAAAAAACGAAAATGTGAATATAACGGTAGGAAGTGCTAAACTATAAATAAGTTGGAAGAGAAGAGTCGCAATGTTATGTAATAGAATAGAAACTACTGATCATATTGAGATTGTTTTCATAAGTGCCCGCTATTAGTACTCATTTAACGAAAGAGAGAAGGCGACAATGGTTCTCGAATGGGACTACTGCTAACTTTATGACAGATAATTTGAAACTTTTCTATTTGGAGGATAAAAGTCGTAATAATACATAGTAAAGTTTACTCAGAAGATTAGTGTTGTTTCGTTCAATAATTATAATAGACAATTAGCAAAGTAGTGTAGATCTCATGACTGTAAGGAATAAGGAAGCTATTTCTATTCCATCCTATCATTTTGAAGGGATACATCATTACTATGGAACTAGTCTGATGAAAATAGTCCGGTACAGCACTTTTTAACTAAATTTACAGCCATTAACAAGGCAATTGTGTAATAATGTGGCGTACAAGGACTGAAAATCTTGTGCATAAACTGTCCTGCGTATAAACGAATCTATTGAAAACCTTTTCCAATCGATGCGAAAGTACTACTAGTACTTGTAGAAGAAGTCCGAAAAGAAAAAATTCTCTAGCACAGCAGTTTGTAATTAGATTTGCAACTATCAGCTAGGTAGTCCATGTATAATAATATAATGGTGCCTACGCTGGGAAAAATTTTAAAGAGATACGCCATTATTATAGAGCATACTTGATGAAAGTAATTGTATGCAGCTCTTTGAAATTAGATTTCCAGCTAAAATCCTTTGAAAGAGAAATATTGTTATTTAAAGAATAAGTCCGATGAAAGTAGCTTAAAATTTGCTAGATTTCGAGCCATCAGTTGAAGAAATGTGCAATAATAGTGGCGTATAAGTACCTGGAATATCTTTTGAGAGAGATGATTTTACTGTTGAACAAGCTGAAAGTAGCTCAGTGCAACAGTTTGCAATTATATTTCGACATATAGGCCCTATACAGACACACTATTACTATAAGTCTGATAAAAGTAGCTCAGCACAGCACAATGTATTTCCATTTCGAGCTAGATAATCGACTAAAAAAACATTCGAAAGAGATGTGCCATTACCATAGAACAAGTCTGGTGAATGTAGCTCAGTGTAGCAGATTGAAAAGCTTTTAAAGGAGATCCGCCATTACTATAGAATAAGTCTGATGAAATTAGGTCAGTACAGCAGAAAGAAATTAGGCTTCGAGTTACCAGCCAAGTGTAATCGTGCAGTAATGGCGGAAGCGAAGTACTGAAAAACTTTTAATAAGATATGCCAATATACTAGAAAGTAAATTAAATGAAAGTAGTTCTGTGCTTTGCTATTAGACTTATAGCTAGCCGGAGTTTAGCTATCGTATAATACTTGTGGTAAATGAGAACTGAAGATCATTAAAGCAGTTTTGTGCTTTGCAATTAGACTTGCAGCCAGGCTGAGTTCAGCAACCGCACAATACTCGCAGCAAATAAGTACTGAAGAACATCAAAATCATTTCACAAAACATTTTACTGGAGTAAAATTTTCATACGACAGCCAATTTTCTTCTTATAATGATTCAAACGATGTTCGTAGGTTTAATTAGGGAAATAATAAGTTCAATAAGACAATCTTACAAATTAAGTTCATGATTCAATAAGCATACGCATAATTTCTTTGTTATCCTCTAACTATAAGCTAATGCAAGATCTAAGGTCGAAACATTATAATAAAACTAATAGTCTATTAATCGCTATGAAAGAAGATCTCGAACCAGTAAGCTGGGAATTCACTGATCGCATATGCAATCTAAATACTGCACGATTTGTTAAGGAGCCACTTATGGAAAAATATTTATGCGCTTAAATCCTTTAGAGTAGCATTTTCTAATTATAATATTTATAGTAAGTAATGAAATACGTTATTAATTCGAGTGCATTCTAATCAAGACACATGTAAGAAAAAAGTATTTATTTACTGCCGCAAGTAAGATTCAATATTGCTTGATGAAAATCATCTTCTACCATGCACGTTAAGACTCGACATCAACTGGATCATCACTCTTATTGCCAGCAACCATTGCAATGTTACTTGGATGATCATTTAGCCATTCATTTTCCAGTGCTTTGGAAACTTTCCACCGTCGCGTAACATCTAGATTCAACAAGTTTACTATTAAATTTCGACAGCGTAGAGGTAGCTTTTCGCCTTGTGGCGTTTGGAAAATGGTCTGCATTCTTTGCATATAATAATTGTTTGCATGCGCAATATTATCATCATTCCATACGAAAGGTAACATATTGAAAAGTAGCCTATACAACAGAACACCAACACTCCAGCAATCCGTTGAAAAATTATAGGAAGCATGTAACTGAAAGAGTTCTGGAGCACAATAGTTAAAATCTTGTATATCTATTGGTGCCTTATGATCAATGATGTGTTTACTGCATTGGCTATCGGAGATTGAATGAGCAATTGCAGGTAGATAGACAGCCGATGTAAAACCACAAAGAACTAATTGAAGAGTATTAGACCTAGAAAAGACGATATTACAAGGTCGAATATTACAATGAATATAGCGCTGAGAATGAAGATACTGAAGACCATGAAGAACTTGTGCTATGATAGTTTTAACATCATTTTCCGGTACTAATGCCCGACGTTGTAGTAAGTATTGAATTAAATTAAGATGCATAACTGGCATGAGAATCATATAGTCTGATTTAGTCTTATACCAATCGTTTACTTGCATAATATTGGGATGATTAAAATCTTTTAATAGTTTATATTCATCTTGTAGCCGTTGCCATAGAAGAAGTTGATCATGCCGACCTGGATTGGTAATATGTTTGACAGTAACGCGAAGTTGATTGAATTTATATAGAGAAATGGTGTATTTTGCATTGGTATGGATCCGCTTGACCAATTTATATTGTTTGAGAAACTGAAAATAGGCGAAATCTAATTTCTCCCAATCGCTCCAACCTAACTGAGCCGGTTCTGAGTATCTTTTACGACTAGCATGTTGGTTTGCTAAAACCGATAGAGCTGAATCTACAATTTTCCCACCATGATGTATTAATTGATTACGAAATGCATTATGATACCTTTTCGCCTGCTTGTTATGCTGTTTGATTATGTTGTTAGTTTTCATAGTGTGCTTTTGGCTTTTGCAGCTTTCAGAGGAGGCTTTATCGCTGTGATTAGGTTTCCCCATGGTGCTTTTACTTTTTCATGTGATAAAGGCTTTGACAAGAATAAAACTTGAAGTTCTAAAATCAGGAACACTAAAATATCAACACAACTCTTTTTTCAATGTATAGAAATCATTAAGGAATGGCCAAGATGTCTTTGCTAGTGATGATGTTTCTTGATAAAAACTAATACAGTATTGATAGGAATAGTTGTTTGTGAAGGATATCGTAAACATGTTGCAACTTTAATTGCAGATGATTTCGGTAAGAGTATTTGACTGATTTCTTCCACTTTAACTAAAATAGTCACTGCTTCACAAGAGACGCTTACTATGGAATAATGTACGATATATCAACGATATCCATGATTAGCGATATTATGATCATACTATTCGTTTATAGAATGTATAGCAATATAATATTACCAAATAAATTGGAATTCTACTAATGGAATTCAAAGTGTAATCCTCCGGTATTGCTATTATTTATTCAATAGACGGAAGATTAGTGATGTACTTCGATATTTAGTTGCAGGGCTTTTTCCTTGCTATGATTACGATTAATAAGGGATCTTAAAAGGTTTATTATTATTATTGTTATTATATATATATATATAGCTAAAAATAGTGCTAGCAAAAAAGAATTGTCGAAGGAAACAATTCTATATATGGATGTTGGGTATGATCTGTTGCAGGCGAAATATAGACAGTTTTACATTTATTCTTACTCCTACTATTAATAACGAATAGAAAAGTTCAAAGTCATTACAATCTGGTTTATCCAGTTTTTATCGGATAAGTCAAAATTTTGCATATCCCTTGTAGTACTCGTTTTAGCAATGCTATTTATTCATATTTTACTGTGGTATAAATACAGGTCTCACATTCACCAATACTCGTATAATTACATAGAACAAAGGTTTGCTGCCATTTTCGTGTCAAGAAACGCGAATAGACGAGCATATTGCTATTGAATTTATACAAATTTTATCCGTAACGTATCATCACTTACCAGCTTGTGCTAAGTGAAATAGTAGTAGCTGGTCATGAATTTTAAGCAAGAGTAAATAGGCATCTTAACCTTAAGAAAGTTGCGTACAGGAGATTACTCTAGCTTGAGATGATTTCGTCGCTGTTGTAAGCTAATAGCGAATTGTTAATACAGGTCAAAACCACAAAATTATTAATCTCTACGTGTATAAAATCTTACGAATGTAGTCATTTTAGTAAAACTGAATCCAGTCAACCACGTTGGTCCTGTGCCATTGGAAGGCCATGGACGACGTTGGCGTCTCTGCTGGCTACGATAACTACCCGGTGGTGCTGATGGGTGGATTTCTGTTGGATGATTTCTGCTTGGAGGCTTGCTAAGACTAAATGCCATGCAGCATCTGTTGATTCGATATCTTACGCTGGGCAACAAACAAAGGCATAGAATCGCTAATGAAGCAGAAACTGTAGCAACGATGGCTAATGCTACTTCTGATGGCATTTGATTTGTTACATTTCTAGCACTGCTTATAGTAGCAAAAGAAAGATTATAAAGTTCTGTTTGACTAAAATTGAGATCATTGGTCAATGCAAATTCTTGGCTTTTAATTGCAATGATAGAAGACGTATTAGGTTTAGTATCATCTTGCGGTTCTAGTAAGGCAGGCATAGGCGCCTCTATTCCTTTCATACTTTGCCTATCGACTTTTGAGTCTTTATCTTGACGAGATTGAGATTTGATCGGAGTTTTACTTTGCCTGATTCTATCGATTTCATAATATGATTTTTGTAGGCTGTTTATATGTGCCGAAGTAGAAATACTTTTTCGTTTCATTCTCGCATGTCTGGTGAATAATGGAACAATGTCTTTCGTGTCTGAACATACACATAGATACAAAATAAACATCAATTTCATTACGTTGTAGTGTTGCAGGCACAATATTGCAATAAAAAATGTAAAGCAGAAAGCAATATTAGTTTATTTTTTTTATTATCATTTTACCCACTGAAGCACCATAGTGGAGAGTAGAAGCCAATAGGTAGAAAAGTAGAGTGGAGACCGTCTTCAACAACATATGTGCTATGGATATCGACTTGAAAGTTGCAAAATTCGGTAGTTCTTTAGAAGAATGCACTGTGCAGTAGTAGCGCTAATTTTGCAAACATATGATTATTCTTATTGTGTAGGATACTTTCATTCGCAGGTTGTTTAATTGGAGAGAAGGTCTTACTGAAGTGCTTGGAAACTAGGCATGATTTATTTTTATCGCATACTAGCTCGACAGGAATGAAAAGGTATCACGTACTTTCTATAGTTTTATATCTTGGTAACTATCGAGTTGAATGGTCTTCTTCATTAACCGTGATGTAGTAATTTCTCATGATTTGAAACAAGTTAGCTATAGTAAGTTTTAAAAAGGCAAAGTTTTTGCCTAAAATTAACGTATTCGTAGTTTGAATTTGAGTGGGCTACTTGAAAAAATAAACAAGAAGCGAAGCCGCGTGCCATTGGTGTATCTATGAATTTAAAAATATCAGCTAGTTAAAATGATTCCATTAAACTAAACAACTTATTTTAAAATTAGAATATTATGGAACGGATTGGAGATGCAATCAGGCTTGACTAGCGAGATTCTCCTTTTTTTTAGCAACTGAGGATGAGTCAATAGCAATGGTGTTATGGTTTAACTTAATCATTTATGCACAATCTTGAGGCTGCTAGAGCATTGACTGATCTGCATGCCAACAAAAATGATCACAGTCAGAGTAGCCCAACTGCACGACACAAATTAATTTTAGAATTTTATAGAACAAGTTTAAGATTGCTATATTCTTTTACGATTGTAATGTTGCTGATGCTGTTCTGGTCAACTTTTAACCAAGAGAGTTGTCCAACAATAGTAATAGCGTTCTAATTTAATTGCAGATTACTGTTTTGTAGTGTTGCTGAAGTACAGTATAATTAGCTAATGTACAATTGTACATGTTTGTAAATAGGAATGATTAAAGTAGTCCGGCTGTGCTCTACAATTTAATCTTAGGATATTGTAGAACCGGTGCAAGTTTGCCATTTCCTTCGTTACTTGTGGAATCAGTTTTGGAACTTTAAGCGCATGAGATTGCTATCCATTTCCATCCTTTTTTTCTTCAAGTAACTAGACCTCATTAGTAGCATAACGCTGCCACAGTATTTGTTGATTTATGTGTAAGTACAAATGATTAAAATAGGCAGAGAGGACTATGCAATTGGATGTTGAAATATTACGGAAGCGGCTCGCGATTGCTACTTTCTTCAACTTGTGCCGAGTAGTGCGCTCATTCATCACACGCTGCGAGATCATTTTATAGTTGATTAATACATTAATTAGGATGGCCATCTGTATTAGAAGTTGAGGATAACGCTATCATGAACTGACTGTTCATTTATTCTAATGAATTCATGTCGCCTGAATGAGTCTACCCCTAATATCTACGCGTATATCCCAACTGTCGAACTCAACAACTCCGATATCATTTACTATTGCATACTAGACATTCCATGTCTCCATATTATGGCAGTGTTGTTGGAGATTTTAGGATAAAATTGTCCTTTTTCTAGTCCAGTACTTCTTCTTCTATGGAAAGTATTGAAGACAGTATCGCTCTTACTTGCAGATTGATGGAGTTATTCTGCTACAAATGGACTAGCGTGGAAATTTACAAGGTCTTCCGTCGGAGTAATCGCTTGAGCAGCATATTGGCACATACTTGTACTAAATGGATTTTCGGTATACTCCACTAGGCATTGACGCTTACAGTACTATTCAATACAGCATAAAATGAATGGATATTGCAGACATATCCGCCATGATCGTTTTAAGGTACGTTGAGGAAGGAGAAGACCTCCATGAAAGAGGAAGTACCAAGTCCCTGACGTCGTCCCGCACCCTCACTTGCTGTAGTTTACGTATTCAATTGTTCAAGGTTGTAGTGATCAGGTATTGGTCAAACTTGAGTCAAATTAGAAAGTAAATGCCTTCAAAATTGAATTTTCAAGACCTCATTCATTCATGAAGGTCTACACTATGGCTAAACCCTTTTCCATCAGTAGACACGACACAACTACGGTGGTGACATTGGGCCTCTGTACTACAGAGTACAAGCATGGCGTTTTCGATTGTTGGGGGGGTGCTAATGGTAAGATCCAGTCTGTATGGATTTTACTTTACAATCGTCAAAGACTACTGCACTCAACTGTTGCCCTTTTTTCCACCGTCTCCTACTCCTCTCTCTTACTATTTAATCGGCGATTAGCGTCAAGAAAGAGAGAGAGAAAGTAGACGGGGCAAAGCGGATGCTATTTTGCAAGTAGTCCTACAATCGTATGGAAATACTTGGACTCTTCCAACGACGGTATCCATTCTACTGTATGATACCTTACAGGTTCTCGGGCGTGTTGTCCAATATGCAGATTTGGATTCTCGGACAGGACGAGGCCAGGACATAGTGTGACAGTATAGAATCTCAGATACCGTATTACAGGTTCTCGAGCGTGTTGTCCAATGTCCAGATTGGCAGTCTCGGACGGACACTGTGTGACATTGTCAATTCTAAATCCCACAGTGTACAGTGTACAGTGTATGCTAACCCTTACTGTACTGTACACTGTACATTCCATGACAGGTCCTCGGGTGTGCTGTCCCATGTCCAGATTCGCAGTCTCGGACAGAACGAAGACCAGGACACCGTATGACAATAGAATCAATCAATTTGATGATACATTCTACTGTATACAAGTTCTCCGGCGTGTTGTCTAATGTCCAGAGTTGCAGTTTCGGAAAGGATGAGAACCAGGACACTGTGTGACGGTATAAAAATCAATAATCTCTATTATGATGCATGAACAGCTTTCTCGGGCCAGTTGTCTGTCCAACGTCTAGAGTTGCAGTCTCGGACAGAACGAGAAGAAGGACACGATGGACCAAAGGATCCGAAGCCAATCGGAGCTTGCCACGCTTTGGTGGTGATACCACGTGACCCATGGCAGTCCTGCAGAGTGTAGAGTGTACAGTACTGTAGTCTACGGTATGTAGTTTCTACTGACTGGCTGACATTCCTCTGTGCTGGCGTTGATCACTTTCACCAACAGAGTTATGTATGCAGTTCCATGGCTGATTGCGTATGTAGTCGGCGCCAGTATGCCAGTCGCAAGGAACGCACGGCTCTGGTACGAGAGGCCTTTTAAAACCAGCCGACATTCAATCAATACTCGAGGTCATATTATGACAACAGACTGGCTCAAGAAATTGAAGAATTGCAGCAGTGGATTATCGATGCGCGATTAAAATTGTCAAATCGACAAGCAGATTGATTGCCATCGGTAACAGTTGAATAGGAATCACTTACAGTCTTGACTGGACTATTGCTCCAATCATTCATCAACTTATTGTAGGCGGTTTGCAACCATCGTTGGATGTACTATAGTACTCGATTGGATCATCGACAAGCAATCATTTCATGATGAGAAAATCAACTAAATTATTCTTCTGTGCATCAGGAATATTTATTAGTTATTTTTTTTATGGCATCGCTCAAGAGAAAATGTAAGTCAACATCACCTGCATGACCAAGCATCCATACTTGATCGTCTGCTAGTTCTATTTGGCCTCTTTTGATTTCTTGTCTGCGGTCATCACTCTATTTAAAATGAGACACTGCCCTATCGCATTGAATGATCGCTAGATGTAGACAGTACATGTAATAAAGAAGGATTATTAGCATCGCTTAAGCTCATTTTTTTAGTAACGAGAGTCAGATAGACACACTCGGATCAATTCCCACTCTTGTCTTGGCACGATAGATATTGCATCCATTCAGGAAATGAATGATCCACCCCTGAAAATCCATCCTACCCAATAGGCATAGTAACACCATCAAATTCAATCACTGACTGATACTATCGTGCTGTGCTAATGATGGCCTCCGCTTGCATTTGCTATTCATTGATCTTCCTACATGCTTGATCAATGCACTCATTTTACTAATCCATGATAGAGTAAAGACATCCATGTTATTTTACAATTCTTGTCTGTACAATGCAGTCAATGGACATGTTGATCTACTGTACGATCACGGCTCAAGGTAATTTAGTTAGTAGTCAATCGTGACCAAAACCCGTCGTCTTCAATTGAACGAGTCGTTTGTCGTATGCTTTTCCAATGAGATGATTACAAACGGTGATAAACCATAGAGAATAGTTAGTGTCTTGTTACACTGGATCCTAACTCAAAAAAATTGCTTCTATTTTTTATAACAGTACTCGTGGCAAATTTAGCATCGATGGTACTACAGATAAATTTACATTTTCAACCTCTTTAGTGGCTCTCCAATGCTTGGCTAATTTGCTCATTGCTCGTGTCGGTAAGCTAATTGAATGAATGAATTGAATAAATAAACTTGCTCTGTAGGAGCTTACTGTAATCAATATTGAACGCAATATCAGAGAGAAGATTAGTACTATTTCTGATATTGTTCGTACTTCAATCGGTAATTCATCAATAAGACGTTCCAATAACATAAATCAACTCCTGATAGGGTAGAACATTTGTATACTGTACTTGCCACGTAAAGACAATCATTGATGTTAGTAGTTGAATGATGCACCCATTTTAGCGGTTCAAGGCTACTAAAATCAGTAGGATAAAAGTAACTCATCTTTCATGTGTATAATAAAGTGCTTCTATTTGGATGTTCTTGGATGCAATAACTCTTAGGTGTACAGCTTGCTGGAAAGACGAGTAGCGAAACGCCTTCGCACTGGTATTTCATGCTATCTTTGACATATATTGGAGCCATGACAGCTAGTAATAAGGCTTTAATATTCATAAACTATCCCGAACAGGTAATTGAACATGGCTACATTTTCAAAAGAATACGATGTACAGTTGATAGCAATAGTATACATAGAGTAATGATTTTAATCATGAGTTTTACCGTTGTGATGATTAGTCAGTCCATAAGATAATATGAACTTGATATAAATCATTAGGTTTTGGGAAAAGCATGCAAACCAATTCCTGTCATGATACTTGGGGCTTTAATTGGAGGAAAACGATATTCCTTAACGAAATACTTATCTGTTCTCCTTATTGTCTTTGGAATTGTAGTCTTTATGCTTTACAAGACGGTAGGTGAATACCTTACGAGTATGCTAGCTATTCTATGTGCGATATCTACGTACATTTGACATTGCTCTTTCTTTGTAATTTCCTAAGCAGAGATCTGAACATACATTTAAAGCCAATTTCGGCATTGGAGAATTATTACTAGTAAGGCCTTATTTCCAACCTGAATAGTTGTAGTGCCGCTCTATAAATTAAGAAAAAGCTATTAAACTCTGTATCAATTTTGTTCTTAGCTAATATCATTAGCGTCAGATGGAATTACTGGTGCTATTCAAGACAAAATGAGAGCTAGGGCAAATGTTGGCGGTTACGAGATGATGTATCATACCAATTTTTATTCTACCATCTTATTACTTAGTAAGTCGTTCATCAATCAAATTGGACTCATGTCTACAATTTTCATTATTAGCCAATACAAACTTCTCAGTTTCACAGCTTAACCTAACTTATAACTATATTATTATTATTAGTCATGGTATCATTTGGTGATGGGTTGGAATTTATCTCATTTTGTTCACGTCATCCATCTTTGTACTGGTACGTTCTTGGGTTCTGCATTACTAGCGCAATTGGACAGGTAAAAATTTTTTTTATCATCTTGAATAAAATTTCAATTTTCATATTCCTCAATCACGGTTATTATAATCGTTACAATGTTGACGTTTTTTCTATTATTACCGTAGAGTTTTATCTTTGAGTGTATTTCTGCATTTGGACCGTTAACCTGTGCCCTAATTACTACCACCAGAAAGTTCTTTACTATTTTATTTTCCGTTATTATATTTTCAAATAAATTGGTTACGCAACAATGGATTGGAGTATTGCTCGTCTTTGCAGGACTGTTCGCGGATGCCTTTTTCGGCAAAAAAAAAACTCCGATTCTGAAATGATTTTACCAATCAGACAAACCAATTATTGAATTATGATTCTGTATAAAAATTTATCTTTCAAACTTTGGAAATGATTTAAATTGGATGACTACTTTTGGAGCAATACATTAATGCATTGATCAACATCTCTTTTGTATCATGCCAAGAATTGTAGTCTTTTGATGGATTTAATGCTGTATATTGTACGATAGAAAGAGTTACTTGGATAATGCTTGGAGATACAAATATTATTTCTAAACTCTTACGATTACAGATTAAGGTAAGGTGTTCAAAGATTGATATCAGCTATATTGAATTTAAAATCCAGAGCTAGGACTTGAACCCTGTGATAGTGCAGTAGCAATTCAAAATGTTTTTATGTTTATATAAAACAACTAAGACAATAGAAATTTCTATGATGAATAATTCTCAAGGATACACTATAAATGCATGTTGACTATACGTGTTTAAAATTATTCTATTATGGATGACTGTTATAACCCTACTAAACAATAATAATCACAATAAAGAAAGATCGTCATGAAAAGGTTAATCAACTGGTTTGTTGACTAAATTTCAAGTTTTCCTGCTAGATTAATTATTAATACGCGTCTATGGCTGTTTTTACGAAAAAGTTTCCTCAAATAAATAAACTTGTTACTGATAGTCAAGGTGTATGGCATTACTGTATATGATAAATACTGCTCTCCTGTTAAAGTGTAGATATACAGTAATAGCGTAGTAGTACAGTACACTTTAAACTTTTTTACTATTAATGATATTGATTAGCTACGGCCTAAATTCGCATGCCACACTATACAGTATACATCAAGACGGCTTACGACAGAATCTTGTACATTTTACTATTAATGATAGTGATTAGCTACAGCCTAAACTCCGCATGCCACACTATACAGTATACATCAAGACGGCTTGCGACAGAATCTTATACATTTTACTATTAATGATAGTGATTAGCTACAGCCTAAACTCGTATGCCACACTATATACATCATGACGGCTTGCGACAGAATCTTGTACGATCAGGCATGTCTTTACGATACTAGTGTACTATCGGTAGGTGCGAAACTAAACTATCAATACTATCAGTATATATATTTAGACATACGTCTGTCTACGTAATTATAATACCCAAGAAGTAAAAGCAATTACCTCACAAGAGTCTGCATGATGTACAATTTTCACTAGGCGGGAAAGTTTTACAACCCATACAATAAACTTGCAAGATATTTCAATACGTAATAGAAGATTTTAGCACTTTGTAATTACGGACATAGCCATACTATCAAACTCAGTTCATATTATGCTCATGAAATAAGCTACAAACAACAAGGTAGTGAGCTCCGTTTATTAATTTTAAAATTTAGTGAAAGACATTGCAAAGCAAAGTCAATTTAAAGAATACATTGATAACTGATAATAAAAAGACATGCGAAATAAAATCTATCCTATCATGATGCGTACATTACAAACGTAATGCCATCACATAATTACAACATGCAATATGTATGAAGTTGTACACTTGCATTGTCAAAACAAGTAAGCGAATATGAAATCAACATTGCTATAGTAATGGTAAACATATTACGTTAGTAATCTTGACCAGGCATAGGAAATTGCTCAGCAAACTCTTTCACTTCTTGACGAAGAGCACTAATTTTTGCAGTAATATCAGGGTCACTGATAACGAACTCCTTGAATTCTTTCAGGGTACCTGAACAGCAATACAAAAGCAATTACATACTAAAAACGGCAATATAGAAATCAGGTTTCACATGCAGTAGCAAATCCTATTGGTGAAGATAAATACAAACCGGTTTTTTGCTTTGCTTCATAAGTAATCTGTACGCCACGCTCAATGAATTCCACAACTTGTTCAAAGTCCTTTTCCTTAAAGTCTCTCGATGTCAACGCTGGTGTTCCTAGAAGAGTTGTCAAAAATCCGTGTCAACACTAAGCTAAGCCACTAGTCAGATCAATGAATAAAAGTATTAAATGATGATTACCAGTAGCTTGTACAAATAAAGCAATAATTTGATGCTATAATTTTTACCGAGTCTCATTCCGCCAGGAAATAGGGCGCTTTTATCACCAGGGCAAGTATTCTTATTCGTTGAAATATTGACAAGTTCAAGAACCCTTTCTGTTCTGGATCCGTCTACTCCCTAGATTTTTAAAATCATATTATCAATAAAACTTATTAGACGTTTGAACTGAAGTCATCCCATTGATTTTACTTAACGAAAGGCAAAAGACAGACATACCTTTGGTCTTAAGTCGACCAAAATAAGGTGATTATCCGTACCACCTTAAATTAAAATAACTTGCAAAGTTACAAAATGTTGCATAGAAGAAATCATAAACTAATTTACTAAACAATGTACAATGTACATGCATATAAAATGGAGAAAAACAGTAGCTATTAATAATTTTGCCTACCTGAAATAAGTGTGTATCCTTTATTAAGCAAGGCATTTGCCATGGCTTTACAATTCTTTAATACTTGTTTCTGGTATTCAACAAATTCTGGAGTTTTAGCCTGCAATTAAAACAATGATATTGTTATAAACAAGTCATAAGGTCACCATTCAGTATACACATTTGTAGTTGTTGTCCTGATTCATGGGACTTAACCTGTCTCAGAGCGATTGCAACACCAGCTATGACGTTGTTGTGAGGACCTCCTTGCAGACCGGGAAAGACAGCTTTATTGATCTTGCTTTCATAATCATACTTAATTTTTAAACTTGGTCAAGGAATTCTTCAATTATAAAGCTGCTTCCTGTCTGATACAGCAACTTTATCACGTAACATAATTATTAATACTAAGTCAATATTCCTTAAGGATATCATTTCCTTTCTTATCGACCCCCTTCACACCGCGGCGGTAGAAAATGATTCCAGATCTATCAATTTGGAATGTTAATTGAATACATGATGTCACTTCGAATCAAACTGAAAGCATTAAGGGCTTATTACCTTGGGCCCCGGAGGGTTTTATGAGTAGTAGTTGTTACAACGTCAGCATATTCAAAAGGACTAGGGACAACCTACAAATACATTTTCACGAATATTGACTTAGAGTAAGAAACGCATTCGAACTTTTGAAAGCTCAAAAAGATTCTCTATGATTATAATGATAAAGCAATGAGACTTCCACGCTATATGTTGATACTATAGAATATTCTTGAGATACCTTAGCTGCAACAAGGCCGCTAATATGTGCCATATCGGCCATGAGAATTGCCTTGACATCGTTACATATCTAGGGAGAGAAAGTTAACAAAAATTAATTACAACGCTTACGTAATCATAACATTGACGAATCTTTTCAAGTACATTAAACAATAAAAGATTCTATTTGATATAAACATGTTACTATAACTAAGTGATTCTATCTACTTTAGAAGCCGGTACCTCGCGAAATTTTTGATAGTCCAACAATCTGGAATAGGCACTGGTTCCTGCGATAATCATTTCTGGTACAAATGCTTTCGCTTGCTTTTGTAATGCGTCGTAGTCAACCTCTCCAGTATCCGGCTAGAATAGTTATAAAATACATCGATAGTTATCATGGATCTAGTATCAACCATTAAAATACTAAATAGATGATCATTAGTAAAATGGCTTTTAGTCTATTTTTGAATTCAGCCTTGGTTTTACGGGAATACCAGAGGCTCTTTAAACAAACATCATGATATTATTCTGATAGCATAGAATTTACAAAGACACCTTTGCGTACATCCTTATTCCAATCATATCAATATTATTACGTCGACGATGTAAATACCTTCTACATGCAGGGTTTCCATTTTTAGCTATTACAGAGTGATGATTATCTAGTGCGTAAATCTACAGATCAATCCAGGCGATTGAAATATTTCAATGTCTGTACTGCAAAATTAAGAATAAAATTCCGATAGTATACCAAGTTCTACTAGCGATAAAAAGACGCGAGCTAGGTCAGAGAGTAGTCTGAATTGAGTTAGAACACATAAGTGCCACCTCGCTAATTGAACTCATTCAGCTGGTCGTGAGTCTTTTTTCAACTATGATGCAAGTTCATGGCCTCCACTAAAGAGATAAATCCCTTGTAGTGTCTTGGACCGATATAAACTCCATCAAGCCAATTTCTGGTGACCCACCCGCCTGTTACAGCGGCCTTCGTCTGGAAGACGTAAAGCGACCTTGGTCTCAGACCTTCCCAAGGGCGAATTGTGCATCTGTATCATGATTGATCAGTACAAGAGCACTCGAATGTAGCCCCTACAGCGAGCTTCTAACCTAACTCACTCACTTTGCAAGTTCGATTGGATTTATATAGTGGCTTTGGTACTATTTCTTCTATTATGGGATTTATGCAAATTAGATAGAAATGCCGCCATCACTATAGTACTGTATACAGTTGGACAGTGGATAGAGTAAGGTACTGTACACTATACAGGACAGACAGATGCTTTCTGCAGGTCTGCCGTCAATTTATTTAAATTGGTCCGAGTTACTCAATACCAGCAGTAGGAATGAGGAAAAGGACAAAAAAAATTGTCTGAGCTTTCCTAAAACATTTTATTCACTAGACTAGAGTTAATATAGATTATAATTGTAACTCATTGTAGCGCTGCAAATACTTTTTGATATCAGCAATTACTTTATAGCGATAATTGGTTACCGTAGATCAGAGAAGAGATTCAGCAGATACGCTGCAGACATAATTTTTAAGTAAAACTGTAAACTGACAATGGTGTCTCAGTGAAGAGCTGACGCAGGCGTAAGAGATCTTAAAACTATTTTCATATTAATGACCAGTGTTAAATTCATGAGATCGAAAAATATTGAAGAAATCAGCAACTAAATACTGCTGATAATATAACACCCACATTGCCGTTGATATTCATCTAACGGAGCGAAATACATCAGCGTTTACTTGTATGCAGTAGAAAACATTTATAACGACCAGATTTCAACTAATAGTAAATACCTAATCATTACGGGGCCCACTCCATCATCAGATAGAATTAATTTAACTTGTTATATTTCTTAATATACAAAAGTTGTTTAATGGACCTAGTATGCAGATTATCTTTTCTTACATTCGTTTGTAACCAAAGTAGCATATGATTTAGTCGGTACTATTGTGAAAAATCGTTACTCGCTTCATTTATCTAATTTATGTTCTCTTCTTTTAGCTAATATATACGTAATATAATCAGACCCTCACTAAATTTAAGCGGTATCTGCATCGTGTAGCATTTCATGTGCTTAATAATTAACAAGTGACTAAGATAGGTATTGTTGAAGAAAGTATTTTACTGTAAGTGTAGTATGCTGAAGATGATGGCACGCCTTCTTACCATTTACCGCCTTTTACTTCTGACTACTTGCAAGAATTACATATAAAAGTTGGATAATCTAACTATTTCTCGAAGTAAAGAGTTGCTTGAATAGAAAAAGATTTTGATATTATGACAGATCGATTATATAAATTATACAGTCGCGCAGTATGAAGATTCAGTAATTGATAACTTCATTATCGTGAGCCATTCTATATCAGACTGAAAAGAACTTAAGTAATCATACTTACGTGGGAATGATAAGCCAATGATTCAAAGTAAATTGACGTTGCAGAGATTCTGACTTTTCCTGACATAAATCCATGAGTTAAACTGTAAAGGTTTTAAAATTACAAGTTAACTAAATATAACCATACGAAGTAGATTATGGAATGAGCGTTCGATGTGTTAACAAAATGTCATATTATCTTATGTTAATCTATTGTACTACTACATTTACGATGTTATTAGTAACTATTGATCAAAATATGAGAAATATCATCTCAAATAGATCCATAAGATGTGCACTAGATAATTCACGTAAACTAACGTTAAAGGTTACGACTTACTGTCCACCATCAGGTAAATCGAGACCCATAACTCTACTATGAGGCTTTAATAAACCAGTGTAGACTGCAAAGTTGCCAGGTGACCCTGAGTTTTCATGAAGCAAACATATTGTCAGTTAAATGATGAACGAATACGATAGAATAGATAGCTTCTTTATATGAGGTTACTTTATGGGTGCTATTACCTGAATATGGTTGCACGTTAACTCCCCATTTTTCTGGATCAAGGTCGTACGCTTCCAAAGCACGACGTTGGCACATAAGTTCAATCTCGTCAATGCACTGATTTCCACCATAATATCTATATTAGATAATTTGTTATTAATAATTAGTCTAAGCTTTAATCACTTAATGTACATAGTAATTGATGTATGATACATTACAGTAATCTAATGTTGTTAATTTATAGCCAATCGAAGTACTTTTAGAACGTAAAATAATAATTTCAACAGGCGAAACAGTAAACGTATACAAAAATAACATACATTTTATCTCGAAATTAATGTTGTAATAAAATGCATATAACTAATTTCGAAGCTTCCATCTACACACAACAAATGCTGTAGCTGATTACAAGTACTGTAGTACAGTTGTATTTATTTATTACATACAAACTTACCTTTGGCCAGGATATCCTTCCGAGTATTTATTGGTCAAGCAGGATCCAAGAGCATTCATGACAGCCCGACTAGTGAAATTCTTCATTAAATAGTAATAAAAATTATTACTAGAACATCATTATGGTGATCGGTCAATAATATCATATAATACAGTTAAACACTGTACAGAACACTATATTCTCTGTCAACATCAATTGTTGTTTAGGAAGTTGCGAAAGCATCAGGTCTAGGTGCATTTACGTTGGTGTAAGTAGTAAAAAATTCTCATCAACATTCGTTTCACAACATGTACAACATAATTTTTCTGTAATAGCAACATTCTGTATCTTCTTTGGCGAATTAGTAATTGCAATAGTGCGTTCGGCACCGTACTAACAGTAATGTACTGTGCTCGTATTTGTACAGCGGACTGCAGTCTGTATAACAATAAGGCAAAAATTAAGGGAGGGGCTACTTTAACGCTAGACAGCGTTATATAAACTAGAGGTCCTCAGAACATAGCTCCGTGGTAAGGGCGTCCCTGGACAGCTGGTATAACTGTATTATTTACGGCCGGCATCGAAACACGTGCCGTATGAAATACAGCATAAATCCATCAGGATTGTGCATTCAAAAAATTGGTGTGCATGTGCTAAACATTTGCATACATCTGCCGAAGATTCGGTTCTACACTAAAGCTATGCTGATATAGAATTAATCAGAAAACGCTGCAGTCTGATTACTGCACCATTACGTTCATATTTTAAAAGTTACCTTAGTAGTTACTAAAATTAATCGTGATTTAGGAAGGTGTGCAGCTGTACGTTACGCTTGCTTCCAGCATATCGGTTTATAAGGAAATTTTATCACGATTTTTGTAATTGCAACTTACACATTACAAATATCAGGGTTTCAATAGTAGTTAATGCCATGAATTAATTAATTTGCTATTCAAATAAAGCAACAGGTTGTAAATTAATATTTCTATATCATTGCCGACCCTGGCCTTAACCAGTCATTGTAAAAATCAAGAGTCAGCTAAAAATCTTTGTCTGTTCCACTGCTCCATGGCAATCAGGCTGGTAAAACTACTGCTATGATTAACTTAATGTACAAAGTGAAGGGTTTTATCCATTTACCAGTATTGCAGTAGTAATAGGAATAGCGTAATTATTGCATTTCGCTGATTGTCCGTGCATGTACACATTTAATAATTACTGACGGCACCACAGCGGCTTAAAGCACAATCTAAATCGATTGGAATACTGTATATACTCGTACATCTATAACATTAATTTAGGACTAAGCGTTAGCAAGAGTATGATGATACATAAAGCTACCTCTACATGATCGGCGTGTCACTGCTACAAGTGATGCCTTTTCTGTACAAAACCTGTAACTGAACGACCAGCGGCATTTGATCGTTAGATGCTGGCGACGTGCCGCTGAATTATATAATTTTAGCCTAGACTTTGTCACATGAAAAGTACTACAGTGACTTGTATTACAGTAAAGAGAGAAAGATATGCTCTTTCGTAGTTGCTCACACTATTAACAACCAAAGCTGTTCAAACTGTCCATTGGAATGGACAGTCTACTTGTCCACTGCCTAACAGAAACATTCGCACACCGTATTAGGAGGTAAACAAATTTTCCTAACAATTCTATGTACTGTACGAGTATTAGACAGTGCGTGTGTAGATTCAGTAAAACTAATATAAAAGGCGTAAACACAGAAAGTGTGGATCCCTTCGATACATTGTGCATTGATTTCTGAAATAAACTAGTCGCATTTGACAGCGATTAATTAAGTGACTATAAATTAAAATAAAGTTATCGCCGATGTTATCTAACGAATAAGAATGTTCATGATAAATATGGCAATTTAATATATAATATATTGTACTATGGTAAGCAAATGATAGCCAACTGCACATTCATTAATGATTACAGTGCCTTTCAGTGTAAAGTAGTGCTTTGAACATACTATAATTAATTAACCAATTTTAAAAGATAAATCACAAAATATTTCACTTCATAATGCCCAAGCTAGCAATGCAAATTACATCGTTTTAGGTTGACTCTATCTCACATTGCTTAGCTGGCTCAGTCATTGTTGATTTTCGAGATTTCATGTCAAAGTACGGCACAGTACAGTACAGCACCGTAGCTATCACTGCATCTCATGTGTCATGTGGATTTGAACGTTGTCCAGGCTGAGTTTTGAAAATTTAGACGCTATCATACCTCCGAAGCAATCAATTCCAAATCTCCTCTCTGGCGTGATTTTTCTCTACGAATGATATCAAACAGTTCTGGGTCATCTTCTGAAATAGACTGTAACCCAGTCCAAGCTGTACGAACAGGTAGTCCGCGGGCAAATAGGATACTTCGCACTTGGGCTGGCTGCAGAAAGCGTCCGACGAGTTTAAATGGATTAAAAGAAAATGTTGGTCAGCAAATTTGTTTTTAAAAATAAAGTAACATAAGATTTTAGTCATCTGCCATTTTAAATATAAAAATGAACAGTGTCACTAGCTTAAACAATTAATTGTAAGTGATACTAGCTCATCATGAACATCATCTGTTGTCCTACCAAATTGCCGAGGGATCGAGTAGTTTTCAGAAAACTGGCCATTCTGCTGGGTTCCTTACCATTCAATTTTTGGTGTTAGAATGACCGTAAATGCTATTGACTGTGGCCTAGTAGTCCATAGTACAGTATACAGTACAGTACTGTAGAGTTCACAGAGTGCATAGTACAGTGTACTGTACTGTACTGTACTGTAGTACTGCAGGCGTTCCGTATTGAAACGTGACGATCATCGCCACCTGGTGGCAGCACACAATACTGTACAGTATTTCATTGGTCATTTTCAATGTACTGTACTGTACAGTACAAACTGAACGTACTACAGTATACTGTACTGTACTGTAAGGGGCAGTACTGAATGTGCTTGCGTACTGTACAGTACAGTACTGTACTGTACACTGTACAGTACTGTACACCTGAGTTTTATAGTACTATACAGTACAGTACATTAGAAGAAACGTACTGTACTGTACATTTTTTGCAACTTCCTTGTTATTCACGACGGGAAGGGCACTCCCGCGAGGGATTGAAATCAAATTTTAGAGTAGCCCATGACTCGACGGTAAAGAAAAATAGCCATGACTACTGACACAGTGCTACATCTACCAGACTTGTGCATTTGAAGAAAAACTATGCCAAAACAGCAGTATACTGTACTGTAGCATTCCAGCTGACCTTTCTGAAGAGATGCAGTACTTACAGTACTGTACATGTCCGGTACTGTAACTGTCTTGACAAGATTGATGTCATAGCGCCGTAGAATTTTTTTTTTGTAATTACAGTACAATAATACGCGTAAACGAATATTTATTTGTACTGTTGTGCAGTGGTCTGGATGGATTCAGCAGCATTCACATTCCGAGATACCGTAAGAGGTTATTATTTTCACCCTAAGATACCTTCAACGGTATCTTATCAGAGTGAGAATGTTCAAAATTGCCGAGAGCTACTGTATTGGCCAAGCACTACGCCTTTGCTTGACACAAAAAATTGTAAATTTGACAGTACGTTGCCGGTTAACTGTCTCCAAAGTGTTCTAAATTTCATACATTACAGATCACAGAATCAGCTTTTCGTGCAATGCAATTAAAGTCACTGACGTCAGAAGTCTAGAATTAAGTACTAACAGTTTCTACTTCTTACTCTCCATTTTGTCTGATCTTTTCTAGTGTTACCCAAACTAAGTTGTACGAATTGAATAGACGTATGTACGCAGCTTGATAGCTGAACCAAGAGATTTTAGACTTTGAACCTAGTCCTAGTTACAACATTTAAATGCTTCAGCCGTCGATATGCTTTGCAGAATTAGAAAAATAACTCGTTACATTAATCTGTATATGATATCCTGCTGATGCTACTTAGGCTTTGGCCTGTATTGGGGAGATGAGAAATGGGCAACATACTGCACACTCAGTGTACAGTAGGAGACCATACGGCATCCATGCCAAAAGAAAATTCAGGTCTAACCAATCTTTTATTACAGTATTGTACTGTACACTTACATTACGAAGTAAAAGGCTTCAATTATTAAATCGCTCTTACAGTAGATGATCTACTACACCATTTAGTGTACTATTTTGATGCCTTATTCGTATGGTCTTTAAATTTACAATAATTACTGCTTAAGGATTTGCTGTACAATTTTATATGAAGGTGGTCATTTATACTCGTTTTAACGTAAGTGTATAGTATAGTATTTGTCGCTTGAGCCTGGCCAGATCGCCTTCAGATATTATTTAATTAATAATAATTAATAACTACAGAACTGTAAGTTCACATGAACAGTGCATGACTTAAATGTTCATTTAATCAACACTACTACTGTACTGAAGTATTGTATGTTTAATAAAGTTAATATATTCAAGATGGGCATAATGCATACGTGTATAAAATAGCATGGAGCTATGTGAAAAGATTCTACATAAACTTTATCCAGATTGATCTACAATAAGTATTCGGTATAGGCAACCACCCTGCTGATATAATGTGAACGCAGTGTAACTTGAGAACTATGCGTCTACTTGAAGACACTGCAATTGTTACACGATTACCACAACAATGAATTACAATGCATGAAAGTTTTATTGTTACTAAAAGTTAAAAAATACAATTTACATTTGAATATCGTTTCAGTAAGCAAGAGCATTTGGAAAGCATTATTTCCGGACAACCGACTGCTTACGGTCATTGTACAAAACTGGTATAAAAATACCGTAAGATATTGATCTCATGGACCATAGATTCTAATTGTAGTATAGTATGCGAGAATCTCGCAATTTCGTACGTACAGCGTCGTCTACTCAATTTATAAGCAGCCGACGCTATATATGTATATACGCTACTGCATATATATTTTGGGATTATATTGAACTGATGCGATGAACTATGCTGATATAACTGCGATTCATATGACCGAAATTTTTGTTGATTTCAGATTTACTGATCAATATTAAATATCTTAAAAAAAAAAAGGCATCAAGACAATGATTTCTAGATATTTAACATAATAAACGTTTGGCAACATAAGATAAATTTTCATTACGACGTAGCTAGGTTTCGAGCTAAGTTTCCTTTACCAAACATAGTAAAGCAATTTACGCACCGAGTATACAACCACATCAAGGTTTAATAGTTTATCGATATCAATAGTTAATTAAATTAACTGTATATGTTTATATGTATATATATATGTCAATCACAACTAAATGATTAAAACAATCATCCGATTTATCTATAAGATATGATGTTTCAAGTTTGGACAACATAAAAATTAATAAATAACCTAAATACCAAAAAAGGCAATTCTCACACATGGTGTCATAACGTTTATTGTGCTAATTCTTAACACTCATTCTTAAAATTCACATGCTACAACTTCTGGTTTAGAACGCTTCGAATAGCAACATATTCTAGAGAATATTCTATCGTACGGTTCGAGCGATCTTAACCAAATTGGCGCCCAGTCCCAAGACTGTAGGCCTTTGGGTAGGAGATTGGGTTTTCGCTTTTGTAATACATTTATTATACCTATAAAGATAAGCAAGAGTAGGAAAGGACCACCAACGGCCAATAGAACGTACCATCCGGCTAAGGATAGTCCAAGAATGGCTCCGGGGATGATAAAAAACATAAAGACCAAGTATGCAACAGCGAACCAACGGTACTTGGCAGTAGTGTTACCCATAAACTTTGCCAATTTTATCGGTATTCTGCGCATAAATGGTATCGGATACCAGACCAGAATTCCAGAAATATTAAAGAACAGGTGACATATTGCGATTTGCATAGCATTATGTAATCCTGTCTTTGTTGCTAAAGCAGCAAGAACACCAGTTGTTGTAGTACCGATATTCGAACCCAATGTCAACGGATACATTCTATCTAATTCTATCACTCCGATACCGACTAAAGGAGTAATTGTTGACGTGAAAACGGAAGATGACTGCACGATGATTGTTACTCCAGCACCCACAAGCATAAACACATAGCCCGTCAAAACACTCCATCTACCAGGGAAATCTGCATTGATAGTTTTCTTTATAATTTTTGCGACATGACCCTTCATCATGGATTGCAAGCACTTTACAAGGAGAATTAGACAAACACACAGGAGCACAACGGAGGCTATTAATAGGATAATCCCTATCACGGGATCACTCATGCCAGTATTTGCGAAGAGGAATCTACAATGCTTCTTAGCAGCTTGGCTAACATTCACAGATTCATAGACCATTTCTAGCGTAGTTTCCCCACTCGTTTCATTGGTAACATTAACTAAGGATGAAACATTCATCGGAACAATTCGTACCACAGAACCACAACTAGATTTGATTAGGCTTTTGTTGAGGTACTCCTTCTGACCAATGGCTATGTTGGTAATTACGTTTTTATCAAGCTGAATTATAAGCTTAGTAAAAGGACTCGTGAGAGCCTTTAATAAATCTTGCTTCGCGTTACTGTCTCCTTTGATACCGCTAGTTAGAGCAAGGGACAACCAATATAAATAGTGAGTGATAATTTCTATGGGTAGTAAAACTATGACACTTAACCAGTTGAACATGTCATGAACCGTTGCGCCACCAAATGCACGGCGGAACTCGTCGCGATTGGGAGATTGTGCCAGTGATACAATCGTATTAGTAACAGAAGTTCCTATGTTTGCACCCATGATGATAGGAATTGCGTTGCTAACTGTAAGAACTGAAATACAATACAAAATTTGTTTAAGTATCTGGCAATACGATATTTGAAGAAAGGTATAACTTACTTTCTGCACCAACCATGGTTACGACAATAGACGTTGAGGTTGACGAGCTTTGTACCAGCACCGTAACTAAAATGCCAAGCATCAAACCTGCTATCGGATTTGAGACAATTCCTTCTGAATCCAATGCTTCTCCAGCAGCCTTTCCTCCCAAAAGTCTGAAAGAGTCTGACAGCAAACTCAGAGAACAGATGAATAGGTAAAGCGACCCCAAAACGACAGCGATACGAAAAATCCAAAACAAAACTCTTTGTATCCTTTGCACATTGCTGAGTTCTATCGCCAGATTGTGTGATTAAAAAAATTTGACGTTAACGGAATTACCATAAGATACCGAAAACAAGTATGCAATTGTACAATCTGACAGTATTCCATTATCCACATTATACTACTGTACTGTATTCTAATGGCAATTGCATTCGTTGGCTTCATTTAAAAGTTTACCACACTTTATAAATAAATTGAAAAACTCGCGCCTAAATGTTGTACTCTACGATACTTTTCCGAACCCAGAATGACGTGAGCGAAAGTTGTTATAGCAACCATTTCAAATTTTATGGTGGGGTATTGTTCTTGGATATCTTAAAAAAGTAGACGACGGTTTACTAATGAACTGTTGTATTTGTCTTCCTGATTACTTATGTAATACGTCTCGTAGTAGTACCAAAAGCATAATGCTAATATAGGTTGCTTGTCTAGGTTGTCTGCGTTAAAATTACTGTGTAGAAATAAATGATCTGAGGGCATCTTGAATGAGATATTTTACGCGCGTAAAAATGTCTGTCTGTACTGTAGCGGCGTCAAAATTCACAACTAGTGTTTTACTATAGTACTACTACTACTACTACTACTACTTCGGTACAGTACAATACTGTATACAGTAGAATTAATTAATTAACTGTTACCATTGTACAGCACTGTACTGTCTATGAAATGTCCACATCCGCACAACACCCGAATATTAAATTACTGTTCTGTACCGCACGTATGACTGTCCACTGTACAGTACAGCAATACTTCTTACTTTTTAATACTAGCGTCACTAAGAACATACAAGAGATCATTCAAAATTCATACGCTGCAACGTCACCCGTGAAGTAAAGTGAATATTTAATTCACGAGTGGGCAGGCGACAAACGGTCCGCTAAGTTCATAGTGAATGCTATGTGGTACTTTTTAATTAATAAAAAACGAAAGTTGGCAAATACAACGAATTTGATTTTTTCTTCTGTGTCAACTAAGCAATGGCGCTTCACTTAAGTCTAAAAGTAGCGTTATCTTCTAGCATTTATCCCCAATTGACGCTTATAAAATTATTCTTGTGATAGTACTATATTTGCTATACAATTCTACATCTTTTTACCTGACCAAGCCGGTGAATTATCGACGAGCTCAGGAGCGCGCCAAGGATCGTAGTCTTCACTTTGCTCATCTTGAAAATACTTTTCTTTTTCTGAAAGTTGCTTTTCCTACACGACAAGATAAGTCAAAATAGTTTCTATGTTATCGAAAGATTACAGAGGATGAAAGTAGCAGAATAAACTGGTCATCTTATGTCATAGAGATGAATCAACTGTGAAAAGCACTACTAACTTCGCGCTCAATCGCTAGTACTGCAGTAAAGTAAAAAGAAAAAAGGCAATTGTATGGCCTTTGATCGAAAATTTAACCTACATTGCTATTCATTTCGATGTCGCTCAATTCAAGCTTCTTGGTTGCATTAACGCTGCCGTTTCTTTCACTCTTTACTCCCATTTGTGTCTTGATGTAGCGGTTGCAGGATTCAGAAAAGTTGAAAAAGTCCAAAATTGATCTGAAGGACGGCTAAAAGCGCACAGACAATTTTACTTTTTGGTCAAGGCAAAACTCGAGCATACGCTGCAATGAATGCAAGTGAATTGAATAAATTCCAGCAATTTATAAGGGTTGATTCATCAGGCCACCGCACCACGTGGACAGCAAATTACAGTACAGTATAATGCAATGCACGCACTTTTTCCTAATTAGACAATTTAATTTACTAGGCGTACAGTATGGACCCGTACGGTACTTAGTAGGTACAGTATAGTACGGTATGTAAAGGATTTGATTGACCTTCTAGGATCTCCAATATTAGCACCATTGTCCATTTCTGGTTAAGTTATTATTAATTTAAGGTTATTAGACTAACCATCAAGACTACCAGTCGAGCGCGTGGAACCCATTTGATGATAACGGGCGTCGTGACGTCACGTTCACGTGGAATGAAGGATCCAAATTGCCGCTTCACAGTATCCAGTATACAGTACACAGTATTAGATGACTATGGCAAAGTACAGGGTGTACTGTATCATAACATTTTGTCACTTTCGGGCAATATTTTTCTTTAAAAATACAGTAAAGCTATAATGGAATGATTTAATCAGTATTTACTTATTAAGATCACTGGTTGATGCTTTTCAAAGCGATAAAATACTTTGATGCACACTGTACTGTATAGACAGTATAGGACTATGCATATACAGTACTGTACAGTATACTGTATAACACTATAGAAGATCCACTCCATTAGTTGAGTACGCGCTTTTCTACAGTACAGTATACAGTATACAGTACTACTGTATGCTGTAAAGTACAGTACAGTAAGCCATGAAAGAAAACTCGGACAAAGGAATGTTGATATCGTCAGTCTAGCAGACTGCGCACAGTGTGATAATTAAACCGGCCAAACCGGTTTCTCTCAACTCAATGAAGGCAAGGGCGGCTAGCTCCATTTTCAAATTTCGTAATACTTTATTTCCAATTACTAATAAAGTTAAACTATGATGCAACTAAACATCATATTGACGTCTGATGATACGGTTATAGTAGGGTTATAGACAATATTTTTTGTTATTTGATGTATTTTCCTTTGATATTTCTAATTTCTATATGACTCTATCGTACTCAAGTCAGAAATGGGATCATAATAATAATGAAGACGAAAGACTATATACTATCCAAGCGAGTTCGAGAAGGTGATCATGCATGCTTATTCAGATTCTGACCTTCTAATTAAGATCCTTTTCCCAGAAACGCTGATATGAATAGTACAGTATGCATTGAATTACAATAGTTGATTATTATTATACAGTACTCACTATCATCATTACAATAGTTATTTGTAGAACCCATTACTAGTAGAGATGGACAATGGCGTGCGATTCCTTTTTCCCAATGTTACCATAGCGATAAACAACAGCTGCAACTGTAGCCTGTAGGTGGCGCTTAATTCTTTCAATTGGGTTCATCATTTCTGATACTATACGATGTACTGAACATGGCTAACATAAGTGTACAAGACGATAATATTTAAAAAAAAATAACCAGCTGATTTAAGGCCAAGAAGGAAATTAGCGAAAAATAGATACTAGCGACTCCTGGCGAGCAAGTTAATACACGATTCGTTTTATCGTTAATAACCTTAGTTCTTTGATGATATCGGTACCGTTATGTATAGTGGATATATGGCAAATATCTCATGAGTCAATTTATTACAAATGATGAAATTGACACAATTGCTAAAAATCACGAGTAGAAGCCTATTGTGTACTGCAATGGAGGTGGTTATTAAAATTAATTCATAAAATAGCCGCTCATAAGATCATTCTTAACCTTAGACTTACACCTCTACCTGGCTAATACGCCTTAGTTAAAAACTTTAAAATGTTTCAGTAAAAATGCTAAGTGTCAAATTCAATGATATGATTACAGTTCTGAAAATCACGGTGCAATAAAAATCGTTCGTACGACGCCTTCATGTTTAGGATAATGCATGATTCAGTATTAGCTAGGTAAAGTGCATCAGCCTTCGGAATTGAAGAGATGCAAGTTAATCAGTGTATCATTTCACAGAATAATATACTGTGGTAATTTGGTTGCACAGTTTGTAGTCTGCGATCAATGAGATTATAAATTATTATCTGATGCATCATGGACTCATAAAAGTATGATAATATCTTTCATTACTAAAAGCTGTACAAATCTCTTGAAGCAATCTACCGGTAGGCTCATCGACGGCGTTCCCAAGCAAATGAATCAACCAGAGGATATAACGCTATACTTTAGTCTTCAATGTGGGCACTTTTTCATTGCTAGTAAGAGTTAATTTCTCACAAATGACTAAAACATTGTTACGCGTAGCATGAATTTGGGAATCCAAGTAGAGTAATCAATTAGTTAGCTAACTGGCTGGATATCAACCAGTTAAAACAGTTATTAGTGCTAATTAATGGGTAAGACTACCTTAATTAGCTTGTCCATCATACATATATATATATATATGTATATAATGCTTTTATATTTACTGTACATACAAAATATTTTACTTAGAGTACCGTGGATAACCTGCACTTGCTGATACTTCATCTCGCACTTAATAAGTCGTTGCAATTTCATTACTGATACCTTGGTGATACACACTACTATGTAATTGCATGTAATTATTCTTACGCGTATAGTTACATACATAGGACATGATACTGGATTAGTAGAATACAATTTACTGCACAAGCTTTATTTCGGCGGCAATTTCCCAGCGATTTAATATGCTAAACCATGAATTATTCAATTCTTAATAATAATCTATAGCTTAGTGATACAGTTGTTCTAAAAGATGAATAGACAAATTAAGGACTAACTAACAACTATCAATTATTAAACAGAATAATGATGTGTTGCAAAAATTGGAAGCCTTTAAATTTAAATAAACCAATTCATTTGATTTCAATCATAGCTGCATTGCTTAATAACTAGCGGCTATCACCGCCCTTAATTAGTACTGATGGGAAAGAGGTAATAATTTATGTATCATCATTTACTTATACTTGATTCAAAGCATTGTAAGATAAGATCAGCCGGTAAACCAGGTAATAATGTTTAACTATTTACACAATTTAACAGATTATTGGCTTCCAGCAGTGTTTCCTTGCGTAGCTGCAATGACTAATTTGATCGCTTCTTTTCTAAATATTGCCAAAAATTAGGTAAAGCCCACTATTAAACATTTTACGGACTAATCAACTAATAAGAGGCTGTCCTTCAGAGAATTAATCGTTTACAGTATTGCAAGAGTTTATAGCCAACTAACCCATCAGTTATTGTTATTGTCGTACTTAGCCATATGCAAATAGTGATTTTCGTCAATTTATTTTCACAGCTATACACAGAGGTTAGTTACAATTAAAAATGATTTGGTATAGCACATTAAGCAATGACCAAGAATAGTGTCAAGTTGTGCAGAGGCGGTAAGTAACGACTATGAGTTAGCGGTTTTGCCAATTATTTTCATGACGACAGACAGAGAACATTTATAATTAAAAATGATTTAGTATAGAACATTAGGCAACGATAAAGAATGGTATCACGCAGTGCAGCAGAGATAAGTAGCAACTATGAATTTCTCATCCCTAATTATGACCAGCCTTTTGTGCTATAGACGAACTGCGGCATTATTGTTATCATATTCAGGTATTTGGCCAAACTTGTCATTAAATTCACCTGAACGCAGACATATCTTGTCGCTATCAACAAGCCAGTTATATTGAGTGAGTGATAGAAAACAATGCTAAGCAATCAACTAAAGAAATTGGATAACTATAATTGTAATCATACGGATAGTTACAGACGGAACCAGCTGTGATAAAATAAAATTAATAGAAACGAACTATTATCCCGTACTTGCAAAATGTCCTTTTAATTATTAAGAATATAAATAAAAAAGTCTCTTATTGTAAAATAGTTTATGATAGAGGTAGATAGTGATTTATTGCAGACACTATTGTTTTGCTTCCATTACACAATATTATATGAAGTAATAGCAAATATTTACTACTTTAAATATTAAACGTTCACAGCAGCATTAGTGGCATTTATTCGCCTGTCATACTTGTATATATGTATATATACAGAGAGAGATAGAGATTTTAAGTGATGAATCAGGGTGTCGCAATTCAGATGTATTACGAAACTCTATCACGCTATGGGTAACTTTACGTAGCGTAAGAAGTTAATATATTATATTAGTGAAACATACAGGAAAGTAAGAAAAAGCCTTCGAAACTCATAATAAATATCTTCATTTAAAAATTCTGATTTATCATATAAATCTAAGTAAATAATGCGATACGTGATTGTAATTTTACTACCGTTGCCGCTAGCAATCATCAGTCATTGAGTCATGGATATTATCCCTTCATGTAATGAATTTACTTCCCTTTAATGCTAATTATTTATTAAAAGTATCTTTAGTGAATAATGTCGGTTGGTAGCAAGCAAGGGCGGTTGTGCCATACTATAATCGAAAGTTTCTATTGCATGTTGATTCAAGCTCCATTATTTTCATATAGTCAATTTTAAATTGTTTAAAATGTATCTGGCCATTCTACTACGTTAATTTGCCTCGGTGCAATCACATTTTTATCCTTCCGGAAGATAGATTCAGATGTATAATAAATGAATCTCGGTCAAACTTGCAATTTTATGCGTCTGACAGCTGGAACAATTTGCATGATATCGTTAACATCTTCCCGTAAAATAACATATGAAATATAAAAAAGACTTTTATGAATATACTTAATGCTAGTATATAAACGGAGTAATTTAAAGCATAGTGCTTGCTATTCGCTAAAAATCGCAAAAAATTATTAAGCTGAGTAAACAAGCTTACCAAGTATGATAAATAGTTGTTCCACCATGGCTTCAAAAATAGGGAAAAATTTATCATATCGTTTAATTCTGGAAATTACTCTATTAATTACATGATCAGAAGCCGAAATTTAGATGCGAGCATTTACTCAGCTGCATATTACAATATGCAACCAAGGTATATCTCTATTACTGCTTACTCTTTTAAGTCATTTACACCCAGTAGCTTTTGTATCTGGTTATAAGATGCATTATCATGTATTTGAACCAATTTCGAAACTGCAGCAACTATTGTGCGTGGTAAGCAATTCTCTTCTGTACAAATTGAATACAAAAATTGTAAAAAGAATTTAGTAATTAAAATGGAAACTTGAGATCGTTTCAGAACTACTAGAAGCTACTCTAGGAGCGTACTATATGCACTTTCATAAACTACCGTAGTCTCTTACCTAAACCTAAAGTTTCTCTCAAGGAGTGTAAAATATTGTAAGTTTCATTTAACTTAACGTATATATCGTTCATTCTAGTAAATACACCAGATAGAGTTTTGACGTCAAACAGTTTTTGAAAATGTTGTACCACAGTCTGCAGCATTTTTAGATGAGAAGGGTCCGATTCTGATTCCTAAAATCAATAGTAATCATTTCTCAAAATCAGAGGTCAGAGTAGACGACAAATGCTATCATTGATTTGTAGTTTAAAAACGATTATTCGAAGCTCGATTGTTGCATTAATCAATTGTAATTATCCAGTAGCGGTGTTAGCAGTATTTTTCTTAAAATGTCGGATCACGACAAATCGCAAATACTGTAGTACATTAAGTGTACGAAAAAGAAAATCAAATATTGCAATACGGTATATATGATACAAACTTGAATGTTGATTCCGTTATCTTCGCCATGTCTTGTTAGGGCATCAACAGCAGCATTAATTTCGGTTACTGTTAAAGCTTTATCTTTAAATATATCGATATCGTCTCTTTGCCATGGCAGCAGCGTAGAAGCTAGGCGATTAATTGACTGCTGTAATTCCTGATAGAGCAAATTAAAAGGGAAAGCGAAATTAAGATACAGAAGTAAGAGATTATTGCATGTGACTAAATGAGCGTCATGACACGTAATTTAAGAACATCCTAAATATGAATGTTGTACTTGTCGAGTGTAGCTACCTGAAGACCATGAAGTTGCTTTATCCATGCTTTAAGAGTAGGTATAATGTGATGCCAATTTTCCTCACATAAGTTATCAAGACCCTGCAACCGGATACCTTCATTTACATCCGGTAATTCACTTTCTGCTATAAGCTCGATGATAGCACGGATTAGCTATTTAAAAGAGCAGAACATTCTAAATTATTAATTCAGTGAAAAATAAATCGACCATGCGATAGCATGTTCTAGTTATTACCTTATCCATAAGCCTATATGTGTCAGCAATAGATGCCATTCCATCTAGATGAGGCCAAATTCGGTTAAAGTCATCAATTTTCATAAAGGTACAGATTTTCTGTATATTTAATATAGGCGGAGGGATACATTATTTACAGTATAAAACATAGCATTAATTCGTAGTCGTACTATCTTTCGTACGTATCACTTTACATTTTTGGCAACTACCTTGATGTTATCACGGCACTTAAGCAGAGACATTTTATTGATTTGATTTTCCTTAAAATAAGATATTCAATTGACTAATTTAGGGCATAATTACTAAATCCATAAAGTAATAAATTTAAATTATTTGCAACCGTGGTAGCACTTACTAAATTTTGTAGGTTGGTGTCTTCTACCGTGTCTTGTGTATGTTGATTTTTCTTTCTATCCTTTATACTATGTTGCGGATTATTTTAAATTTAATATGCAACGGAAATGAATATTATCTGCCGTAGACGTGAAAATTTTTACCTTATGTCGTTCTCCTGCAATATTTCTTCTAGTTTATTAGCGTGGCGCTTCAGTTTATTCCATTCACGTAAGCTTGGTCTACAAGATGTTTCGATAACGAGAAACATGAATAGTTTAGTTAATTTTATCGGAAATGAAAATCACTAATGTAATATCAGGAGCCACATAGTAGTAGGGTAGAAATTATTAAGGAAATTGTAATGCCCTATGTAGTTTTATGGCAGCAGTTATCCCGTGGCTGCTGTATAACCTGTCTTGTAACTCTCTTTTCATGCTGACATTGTCAACATCGAGATTCTTAGAATGCGATTTCAACTCGTGTATTTGTTTATCTGCTGCCTTTTGATAAATCAAGTGTAACATAGTCGAAAAGTGATTATTTATTATCCTAATAGCACTTACAGTAAAGTAATTGAATATACAGTATTTGCGATATACGATCTTACCTTTAACTTTTGCTGTAATTCCTTAAATTTCTTTTCCTGCTTTGCAACCGTTTGATGGGTAATTTTATTAGCTTTCTCCTGGATTTCTGCTGTTTCACCGGTTTCTAGCACCGCCCTTGGATTACTACTATGACTTAAAACGTCTATATCTGTACGTAAACCAACGAGATTAGAGTCTGCTTCATTAGTTTCAGCTCTGTTTTAAAATTAAAGCAGAAGTTGCAAAATACGATGAGGTCAATTAGCGTTGATTATCAGTTTGGCTTCAATTTGCTTATTATTAGCTTTAAAGCCTTGCAAGATTGAGTAAGACCTCATAATTTCTAATTCCATTTTTAGCTTTTCAATAACATTTTCATACGCATCCATAATCTCCAAAGTTCTAAAACGTTATTGGAATTTAACATTATAGACGTATGACTACAAAGTGAATCTTTTCAGTGAGTTTATTATATCATGAAGCATAACAAGACCAAGTATTTAGATGCTACTTACGCTCGATCCAAAGCATTGTAAAGCCGAGGTGATTTCTTTTTGATTAAACGAAAGATTTCATTGTGGCGATCAATTCGTTTCTCCTCCTTAAAATCAAATATGAAAGCTATTAGTCAACACAAGCATTTTATATTGATTTCGATAGTAAAAAATTAGTTCCACACTTAGTTACTTTTAAATTACATAGCAGCCATGTACAAATACTGCATCCATATTGAATAAGGTTATCATTGCAATTTAATACGAAGTTAACTGAAATATAGATTTATAACTATAAAATTGAAATGTTCAATTACTTTATCAATTAGATCATTATACTGCTGTCGCAACTGATCTGATTCTTTCTCGTTGTGTCGCAGCTTTCGTAATAATTGAGAATATTTGCTATGATAATTATCCCTCGATAAACGCAAAGTCTCAATTTCATCAGTATACTGATGGATTTCTAATGTTCTATCCTCATTGATTTCCTGTATAGTTCGCGCGATATATGCAGTATAAAAGGTAGTGAAAGTCAATACCCTCAAAATTTGTAGTAGAAGCCCTTTCTACACGCTTGGATATTTGGGTTATGACTAACCTTAAATTTTATTCTTTCATCCTCCAGCTGCATTCGCAATTGCGTAATCTATAGGATAAAGTTATTAGAAAAATAGTCATCATTTCAATTTCATAATTTGATCAAGATCGGAAGGATTAGGATAATCTACCAAAGTATGGGTAATGTCGCTATATTTACGAGTAATAAATAAGTACCTCCATATGTAGCTTTTCCGTATTAGAATTGTCATTACGAGATTTAGCCCTAATTTGGAAAAAGCAACGCCTTGGTATTTATGGATTTTACAACAGTGAATTCACAGGATCGACAAATGACTTTGAGTTAGCGTTACTGCTAATCACTCAAGAAGGTATCCATGTCATTGATTTGCAAGTCATAAACTGATCTACTGTACTTCTTACAGTCCCATGTTGAATAAAAAGTGTGATTTTAAACTCACTGAAAATTGCTGGTGGTTGTGATTAATTCTTGTATCAGTGCTTGACGTCTGTCACAATCGTCCATCAGGCTTGATAAGTTATTTCTTAAGATGGCTGACATTGCATTATCCATAATAATGATATCTAATGGAGGAAGAAACATTAGCGTTCTATCCAGTTGTTATCTTAAGATACAGCAATAGTCTATGGCGACGTTTCGAGTAATGATTATTAGTGAAGCACATGGAGGTAGTAATCTCTGCAGTATACGTGTATGTGGTGGATATGATGTAGTACTCGTTTCAATCAGTAAAATTGATGAAGTAGGAAACAAAGACCAAAGATCTGTATTATTGTCATTACATTCTGCTTCCTGGTAGCTATATAAACAAATGCAAAATAGTACTCTCTAAGAACTTTTTGAATATCGTAGTTTACAGAAATTTACAGTAGACTACGCGGACGGTATCTGCGTTGCATACTACAAAAATGACTCGATTTCTACTTCATACTGTTTTGCCAATATGTATTTTTTATACGACGACTGAATCTGCATACGAATGACATTAATAAATAAAGTCGAACCTACATGAAACCATTGGATGATTATATAAAGATAAGGTCATAAGTATGGATGATAAAATCAACAGTTGGTATTAGAATTTATCAGCATTTGTGCGTACTTTGGCATGGTATTTCAACAGAATCTTGCGATAGAAAAGAAATTGGTTGCAAGCCATGATGACGGAGTGATCGATTAATGCTATTCCATTGTAAATCTGCATGGTGCTATTAAAATAGAATTCATTCCGATTATCAGCAAGAACAAACTATGTTGATAACTCCAAAGATATCCTTGTTGTAGATATCAAAATTTGTTTGCAATAAAAGCACCGATTTCAGATTGGAATTTATAATTGATAGACCTATAGCCAATCTTCTATAGCTAACTGAACATGATGATAATTTTGTCTGACCTGATGATCTTCCTGACGGCTGCTTCCATATTCTGTGAGCATAGTGGCATACATGAAATCAGACAGATTCAAAACAATCAAGATCGTATTCGTTTCTACTCATCTATCCTTCATCTATTATACCTGCGCTTAACTCTCGGCCAGAATCATCGTCGTTATGGTACGGTTGTGCCATTGCTGAGTTTTCGGATACCTTCAAAAAACAATAAAATGGTCATGTCAATTGATCTATTACTTCCCTACTTTTGCTGTACCAATTCCTATAGTGGGCATTATTGTGGCCAAAACGATGATATTTTACTGCTTATTTATGTTCTACGTGCAACTGTATAAGACCAAAGCATGAAAGATACACTCGTCCACTATTGCTATTGATCGGCAGCAGTTCTTGATGACTAGGTAGGGCAGTCAGCAGAATCGAGCAATGGCTAATGTGATGTTTGCATCGTTGACACTATTTCCATGCTTTTGAATTACCGTTATTCTACAGCCATGGAGTCAAAATAAACCTAGAGATGAACAATGTCTATTCAAGACAAGATATACTACTCGTATACTGTGGATAATTCAAGTTGAATCTGTCGTCGTCATCTATGAGGCTTTCAAATTTACTTAAAATACAATTGTATGGAAATAATGTAGCTGTCAATGTAATTCACTGTCTATCGGAAGAACTTTCCATTTAATGGCTTAGAATGCCTGGTACACTCGTAGTCTATTAGCAGTGGATTGGCAATATAGTAGTCAGCGATCGCTCATGACACAAGAATATCGATTGCCTTGTCTACACATGCTTTTCCCCTCTTCACTGTATTGGTATCATTCATTTCTACTCTATTGACAAGCATGACAAGTTATCATTTTGCAGTGTTGACTATTCCCTACCAGACAGTAGATAATAAGCAGGATATCCTATCCATTTAGCACACAATTAGGCAAAGGTTGTTCACTGCGACCATAAATCCTTGCAATCGTTTAAAAGATACATTAATAGACATGAATTACCTGATCAGAATCCATGGTGGATAGCAAGCTCAATAGCTCATTCCTTGAGCTTTATTATTATATCAACAAGGGAACGAGAGTAGACCTGAGAAGGTTCGGTTCGGTTCGGTTTGGTTGAATACCTTTCTGAATACTGTACAGTACACGCTATTTCTGGCGCCCTTACGTTGTAGCATAGTACCGTAGGGTACAGTAGTATTAGTATATACTGTACCGTACAGTACCACACAGGACTGTGCTGTAGCTTGATTTTTGGCGGTCCTGTGTATTGTAGATGGCTACCGTACGTACTGTACGCTTTCAGGTTGTAATTCTGTACATTGGTGAATTTCATTTCACCAGTGTTGACGTATTCAATGGCTGAAATAAATAAATAAATTCCCCAATAAATATGCTGAACCTAGTCTAATAATGTTAAGGAAATTGAAACACGATGGATAGGAAATGATCTAGTATAAAGGCCTTCATGATCTGGTCCTGCTTGACACTATTATTCTGTATTCAAAAATGTTTTCAATACTGCGCCAGTAATAAGAGCTTAAGACCGGCGGTATTGCGTCGTGACTTGCAACATGATTAGACCGACCGTACATGTTGTAGATGGATGAAGTTGAGTATTTGTCATTTACAATTGCTCAAGGTTGCACCGATCTGTCTGCGTGGAATTGGAGTCAAATTGAAAGAAGATTTCTTCAAAATTGAAAGACCTAACTTGAGTAGAAGGCAAGACTATTTAGCTCAACCACTTTCAACCATTGGATATGTCCAGTGCTGTACACTGGTAAAGGACTTATCTGTCTGTCCGTACATGTTGTAGATTGATGAAGTTGAGCTACTTGAGTAGTTGTCGTTGACAATTGCTCAAGGTTGCACCAAGCTGTCAGCGTGGAATTGGAGCCAAATTGAAAGTAGATTTCTTCAAAATTGGAAGACATAACTTGAGTATAAATGTATAAGGCAACACTATTTAGCTCCACGACTTTCAACCATTTGACATGTCCGATGCTGTACTGTTGCTACTGTGTACAATGGTCAAGGACTGTATCTGTCTGTCTGTCTGTACTCAAATCACGCATGAGCACTGTCACAATCATCAAGTTGAAATGAACAATTGTTTATTCAAATGCCGGCAGATCTGCAGCCATCGATTGTCCTTGCCAAGACAACATCAACAGTATCGAGAAAACTGCAGAGTAGGATAGTAAAAGTCTTCTTTTCACTATTCTTTTGTCATGATTGTCAACGGATTCCAACTGAATTATTGCATGGAAATACTAGGTACAAGATGAGAAGAGGCTATCGTGGTAAGAAAGGCAAATGGGCTTTGGGAACAGTCGGCATTGGCTTGCTTCTCATTTATTGGCATCATGCTTTCATCATTTATTGTCTATTGACTTATCCTCCTCATATTATTCGACTAATAAGTCAAGAACCTTCTCGCAGATTGAATAGAGATAATCTAATGGCTGATCAATTTTGGCAGTTGTATCGTACTGAAAGCCAACATTATCAAGATCAATGTCAAGCCCAAGGTACTACATGCCCTGAAAAATTTACGTGGTTAACAGCAATGGTCAATGATCAGTATGTTATACCGGCTATAGTACTTGGCCATGGTCTACGAAAATTTTCTTGCTGTCATAGGATGTTGGCATTGGTGACTGCAAATGTTAGCCATCACAGTCGAAAAGCTCTACAAGCAGTTGGCTTTTCAATATTGCAAGTACAACATCTTGATTGTCAGTATTTACATCATCGTAATAAAAGAAAATTACCAAAGTATTCGGGAATTCTTGGTACTCATACACGATTTCATGCTTGGAAATTAATCAATTATTCTAGAATTGTCTACTTAGATCCAGATTTTTTACTACTTGGTAATTTCGATTCCTTTTTAACGCTTTCTACCAATAAAGAACTCATGGCGGCTTATTGTGCTCGGCCTGGAATAATCGATCCATGTTTTAATGCCGGTTTGTTAGTCATTCAACCTTCCATCAAGATATTCAATGATTTAATTGCTTTATGGAATAGCTTTTATAGTTGGAAATGCCTCGATGATCAGGTTTTAATGTATCAATATTTTGCTAAAAGATATCAATGGGATCCTTTGCCTTATTCATATAATGTCCGTCGGATGGTTTATTTTCCAATCAAGGCGTATCATTTCGCCTGTTGTAAATATAAAAAGCCGTGGAAATTACCACAGCCATCCAGACCGATAATATTAGGTCGAAAAAATTTGCTATCAAGTATTGATGGTATCATGCAACTGTGGTGGTACGAATTTTATCAAGCATTAGATCAATATAAATTAAATCGGTGGTGGTCCAATTATCTCAGCTCCAAGACGCTTTCATCGCCTTAGTACGCCAATGATATCAAAATGAGGAGGTAATGCCGGTACACAATCATCCACTTCCCAAGATGTACATAAATTGAATACCTCCATGCATACTATCAATGATAAGTAAGCAATTGCATTATCAACATGTAAACAGAACACGAAGGTGCTTAATGTTGTACATTGTTGAGGCAGGCCCAAGATATACGTATGCATAATATAATAAGCAACTTTAATGTTCATTAAATGGATTCCATTTGCGATTGTTATGGTTCAATTTTAGACATTTTGCTGGATTTACACTATAAAATCTCAAATTATATTATTTAAGAAAACTATCTTGTAGTAGTGTTTACTCGACAAAGTTTGAATCTTGATGATTCGGTATTTATCAATCTGATGAATAAATTGAATATCCGAGATATCATTTCATGCTGCAATAAGGGCTACTTTAAGTAAATGCTAGATATGCAAATACCCTATACAATATTACTTCTACAGTATAGACTGTCTATCTATGTGAAACACGTATTAAAATTTCTAGTTATGTATATCGACGTATAGGTGTAAATTCGATTTTCTTTTCTTCATTTCCTAAATTCCTTTTATGAAATGCATATCAAACGATATTCATCTAGTTGTATTCAATGTTGAATCACATAATTTCATGGTCATCACGTGTTATTACGGTTTGATATGGATTTCTTAGATCCGTTCCCATGTTCACTGTCTATAGATTGAAGCTTGTAGCTGAAATTTCCGTTCTTGATAAATAGTAAATTATACTAGTATACCAAACAATTTCCATTATTACCTACGCGTAAAGTGTATACTACAGTACTGACTACTAACTATGGAGTATTCGAATAGTTCCATCATAGTAAAGCCTCGCCTTGCTTTACAAGTAGCGTGATATTTTCGTTGATGAAATTGCCTAGAAACTATGCCTTAGGACCTTAACGCGTATAAAGTCGTCAGCTTTTCTGAGCGCTCAAGAGGGGTTGCTGTACCGCCAAGCATGACATTGACATTCAGCAGTTTACTACTAAAGTATACTGTACTGCTATACTGCTTTACTGCCTGTGTACACTAATAATAATAATAATTTATACATTAAGCGTGCATTAACATACTTGCACGATTTTATCCTTGCATCCATTTCAATCAGCTCTATCTTTGCAAAGGATTGCTTTTCAGGCCAATTGCCCAACTTAATATTCAAGAATTACGTCACATTGACCTCCTTTACTTTACTGCATACTTGTAGAAGTGATAGGAGCCCTTTGAGTTTGGTGGCTGTTGTAAGCCAGCTGCGATCGACTACAACTTCTTCAGTTAGACTCCAGTTGCGCTTCCGTAAGCACATTCTACTTGAATCCAAGCAATCCTTGCAAAGGATTGCTTTTCGGGCCAATTGCCTAGCTAAATATTCAGGAATTGCGTCCTATTGACCTCCTTTACTGTAAAGAAATGATAGGAGCCCTTCGAGTTTGGTGGCTATTATAAGCCTGTTGCGATCGACTAAAACTTACAGTCCTGCATGTAACAGTATACTTCAGTTCGCCTCCAATTGCGCTTTGGCAAGCATATTCTATTTGAACCCGCTCAATCTTTGCATAAGGATTGCTTTTCGGTTCAATTGCTTTGCTCAATATTCAAGAATACGCGCCATATTGCTGCATAGAGTGATAAAAGCCCTTCGAGTTTGTTGTAAGCCTATTGCGATCGACTATAACTTGCAGTCCTGCATGTAATAGTATACTTCAGTTCGACTCTAGTTACGCTTCCACAAGCACATTCTACTTGAATCCTCTTCATCTTTGCCAAGAATTGCTTTTCGGGCCACCTGCCTTGCTCAATATATTGATGAACTGCGTCATATTGACCTCCCTTACTGCATGCAAGTGGCCGTTATAAGCCTGTTGCAATCGACTATAACTTGCAGTCTTGCATACAACAGCATCCTTCAGATCGACTTCAGTTGCACTTCCACAAGCACATTCTACTTGAATCCATTGGAATCCTCTTAATCTTTGCAAAGGATTGCCTTGCTGATTGAAGATGAAAAGTCTTATTGGCCTTCCTCAACTGCAAAGAAGCGATCGGAGCGGTTCCAATCTCGTGCTGGTTGTAAGCCTATTGTGATAGACTACAGCTTGCAGTCCTACATGCAACAGTATACTACAGTTCGAGTCAATAGACTCTACCCGGACAGTGTTTTGCGCACACCACTATGGCTAACTATGGCCGCTGCTAGTTGTAGCAAGTGGAGACCTTGACCAAAACCATTTCCCTATACTGCCACCATCGACGACCAGTGCTGTCAGGGCACACACGGTAGTAATAAGCTGCAATTCGCTATCCCAAATTAATCATCGCTTTTTCTATCCTTAAAGGCTTGCAATTCCTCTTTAATTCGTCGAATTGATCGAGGTAAAACAGTTTTGAAGGCATTCTAGTGCACTAGAACGCTTGCCAATTGCAGTACTACGGTAGATTGAGTTGGAATACACTGTGTTAAGGTAGCAATCTCCAAGTTGAGTCGATTTTCATCACTAGCTGCTGGTGTCTTTTATTTGTTCTACCATTACGGCGTGGAAAAGCACTGGATAGATCACGTCTAAAAACGCTCAAAACATGGATAAATCAATAGAATTTACTGAACAAAGTATTGGTACTCGCTTGGACGATATACAAGCAAGCTTAGAGAGCTTTACCTATCGCTTACAATATGAAAATCTTCAATGGTAAGTTGGAATGGGATACAGCCTATGGTCAGTAACTTTTCAATCTTCCATTCTAGACATGCAGATCAATACGCACACACATGATAGCATCATTGACTACATTTGTATCCAATATTCATGGGACAAACTGAATAAAGAAGTTGGCGATGGATATTGCTTATTGGCTTAGGATAACCATGAATAATTACTGTATTGAAGATGAAATTTTGAAGGTCAATTCATTCCTTAATCGAGTGTTGTTTCTATTTCAATTTTATAGGCCTACGGTGTTGGATAATTTTGCCCTTATAGCAGGTATGTTGACGGTGTATTGACGAGTTTGCTATCAAGTCAATGACATTGAAAGATAGAATTTCAACAGCGATAACTTAATATACCGTTGCAATTCAGTTGTAAATCCAGTTCAACTTCAGTAGATATACCAGGCCTCTGTAGACTCCTTTATTGCTCTTACTAATAGTATTGAAAGATAGAATTTCAATAGATATAACTTGATATACTATAGCAATTGAATTCTGGATCTAGTTGAACTTTAGTAGAGGTACCAGGCCTCTGTAGACTCCTTTATGGCTGTTACAAATAGTATTAAAAGATAAAATTTCAACAGATATAGCGATATGTACCGTAGAAATTGAATTCTAAATCGAGTTGAACTTTAGTAGAGGTACCAGGCCTCTGTAGACTCCTTTATGGCTGTTACAAATAGTATTAAAAGATAAAACTTCAACAGATATAACGATATGTACCGTAGAAATTGAATTCTAAATCGAGTTGAACGTCAGGAGATATACCAGACTTCTTCATGCTTCTTTATGCATTGTCTAAGTAAATCTAGCACGATGATAGTAAATGTAGTATGCTCTTATCCATCTACTCTACAAATTTCTATTAGTTGTAAATTAATCCAAGGCAATATCACTGTTAACTGATAAAAATTGTCCTCTCACTATTATTCAGAAATGCCTGATATTAGTTGCTTGTGCATATCGCACTCTGTCGGTGTGAATGTAATATCCACTTGTACTCTCATACAGTAATCTGCTATACGCGTTTTAATGCTCACTTTTTTGTATTCTATCGTATCTATTAAAAATGTTCGAGCTCAATGCTACGTAAACAGATGGTATGATTTTTATTGACAAGATTCATTTTATTGCAGGACAAATGTCAATGTTGAATAATCATCTGAGGAATGAAAAACTACCTCAATTACATAATTTAATATTATTACCGCTTACAATCAGTCAGGAAACAGATAGCAATTTACAGGTATGTTAAATAGCACTGCACTATAAGCATAAAAGTGATTTAATAGACTTCCATACTACTTTGATGAGAATACTACATCAAAATCATCTAGCGTCTTAGTGAAATACTGTAGTATATACGATACAGTTTTTACATATGGACTGCATAAATGATCTCTGTTGCTATTCGTAGGAAATCACCAAGAATCGAATACAGACATTTGATCACGAAATTGGTAGGTGGTTGTTTAATCTCCATTGGGTAACCTTTATTTCGTACTTAAGATATAAATTGTATTCGGTATAGTATAGGTGACTTTCTATTTTAGATGCGATTTTAAGGCTGTTCGCTAAATACTTTTCATCATAGAATACATACATACAGTGTCATAGACGTGCAGTATATTAGTTCAATGTTGCGAGATAATTGCGTTTTAGATATGACTGTTAATCAAAGTCTACAGTGTAGCTAGATAGAAAGTCAAATAGATCGACGGTTCTAGTCACCGATCCTTTTACAGTATAATAAGAATGTTGTTGCTTGCACGAGTATACAGATGATTTTTGATGTGCAGACCATTTGATCACTTGTTAGTGTTTCAAAAGTTTTAAGTTGGTTTACACAATTTATTTTAAATCTTCAACCGCATGATTCTGTAGGTAACGTTCATTAGTGTAGATTATTTATTCCAATGGACTATTATTTTACTAATCAGTTTACACTTTCAACCATATTATAACAGCTCTGAATGTTGATCTATAATACTTACGATACTTATATGTACGTTATAGTACCAGATTATTTACGTACAAAGCCAGAACCGGAAGTTGAGAGAGATCAGAAAGAGCTAGCGGAAAAAGCCGATATGTTAAGTGAAGGAGAGAAAGAAAAAGAAGTTACAGATGCAAATGTACTGATCGATGATCTTATTGAAATCATTAATAATGCTAGAACAGCTTGGAATATACATGATTTATTTGATTAATATTGTAAAATTGTAGTATTGTTATAATTATTTCTCTCTTACTGTATATGATATCGCCCCTGTCTAAAATATTGTAGTCATAAGTCGATCTTCCTCATGGATCTTGATAGCTCGGATGACAGCACCTATCATATAAATCTAAATTTCTAGGTATTCGAGTAAAGTTGTTTAAAAGTACACTATTTTATCAAGATGTAAATTCATTATTTCCATTAATTTAAAATAGGAAAAAATTTAAGTAAAGGCATTAATGAATAATTTCATTATTTTATTCGAATTTTTCGAATACTAACTGATAAAGATTGAATAAAAATAAATTAACCTTAAGAATCGAGGAAGAGACTTAATTCGCGTCGGAAATGCAGATAACCCTCTACTGTGCAATAAACTTATGATTTTGCCAGAATGCCTAGATTATAGCGGAAGCAATTATTATAATGATCTAATAGCATTTCGCACTTTTTATTCGGAATGTCCCAAGGTGTTTGTTGTTTAATGATACTACAATCCACAAGTACTTATAATTAATTAATTTAAATTCTTTGTATAGCCTACATTGAGAAGAATCCTTAATATTACTTGTATATATTATATTTCATTCTTTGGATACTATTATATACTGGCTGCAATACTGAGGATGACAACAATAATTTAAGGAAACATCGATTCAAACGTGGTAATTGAAAGTTAATTTTAATTATAACTTCTTAGAATTAATTAATACAACAATTGTGAGATTAGTTTCAGTTATTCTGATGTAGTCATATCCTCGAAAAGTAAAATATACAAAGGAGCTATCATCGTTATATAAGAATGAGATAAAACTCAAATAATATAGCAAAAATTAAGTAATACCAAAAATCGATAAAGAATATTAAGGATAAACTACTTTCATAGGAAAGAAAGTAAACACTTCATCAACATGGTGTGGCAACAATCCATAGCAAATTATTTCCTTATAAGAAAATTTTAATTTCCTTCCTCGGTTAGTAAGCCAGTATTAATTGTGCAACATCTTATCTGATATTTTCGTATTTGTTAAATAAATGTGGAATATTCTATATTTAATGTATACTACCCTCTCGGAATATTTAATCAATTATATCGCAAAGTACTAATAAATAAACTTAATTGACATTGTTCAGTTAAAACTGTAAGTTGATCTAACAAAATAATGCAAAAAAATGATATAATTTGAGCTAATGTTTAATCAGTTATTTAGATTTATGGACTATTTTAAATCAGCTATAGAAGCATCCACTTTGATTGCTATAGCTTGAATTATCTTTGTGAGATAGTCATTGTTGTTTTGTGTGATTTCGTTTTGTTCAGTCAGAGCTTTAACTGAAGCTTTCAATGCTGTAATTCTGTGGATGTAAAGAAAAAATTATAAACTTCTATGAATCGGCAACAGCAACTATCAAGCAAACATTTCTAACTTTTACCGTACGATAAATGAAGTATTCATACTTGAGGTCATATTTAAAATAAACAAGTAGCGCAACTACAGACAATTATGGAATACATAGCAATATTACAATTTAATTAACGCATATCATTAAGGCAATAAATTGTTTTATCAATATGGATCAGCAGAAAATGTGGAGTGGATAAGTAATGATAATCCTATAAATATATTGTCATATTCTATTTTCATCATCCACAGGTATTTAGACAAAATGATGGTAACTTACTCATCTAGTAAGCTGCGATTATTTTCCTCTGCAACAGATTTCACTTCATTACTACAAATGTGTATACGTTTCTGCCGTAAGATGGATAACAATTTTGCTCTTTCCGAAACTGATTCCCATACGTACTAATGGAGAAGACGGAAAAAAGTCCTTAATTAAGGAATCTCTTCAAGTCATAGTAATAGTATAAGATCACATCTTAGAAATCTAGGCAGTTGCCAAGTAGCGGCACTAATAATAGCTAAGTCTTTGCCATTGGCCTAAAATTAGCAGACTAATTTAAACTGCAAATTCTCTAAAAGAACTCCAAATTTGTATTTCCTTGTGATTTAAGAAGATCAATTATGAATTAAGATATTACCTATGAAAAAACTTATTCATACTAATTCATTTAATTTTGATACATCTTACTCTTTTAAATTTTCCTTCAGGTCCAGAAGCTTTAATGATACTCGTGGGCCTGTACAGCCATTTTCGAATGAATAAAGGATACTGATTGTTATACTCATAGATTAAGACTAAGTCATGAACAATACTCGTTAATTCAGCTTGCTGTTGTAATTCTTGAATATCACCGACAGCTAGACCGATCTACACACGAGAAATGAACAAAAGGAAGAGTTTTAAAGTTTAGCAACTTCGTTAATATAATTATGATGAGAACGCCGACCATATTTTCAGTTTAAATACATAATTACTACTAGAAAATGACCATTTTGTTCTGCCTAATATACGTGTATGCTTGCACAAAGATATTATTATCGTATATTTTTACATTGCACTGTCATTTATGAGGTAGTAAATGAATATTATAACCTCTCTAGTAATAGGCCTTAATATATAAGCCTAGGAGTTAAGAATTACCAGTAAGTTGGACAATGTAATATTCATGATAACAATGAAAGCGATCAAGAGTAATCCGAGGGATACCAGTTGGCCAGGAGGTAAGTTATGAGATGGAGATTGAAAGTTACTGTTAAAATTGATTTCCCCTGAAAACATCACTACTGTACTCAAAACAGAATTGAAGATTGTTGCGAACGGAGCAGTCTGCCGAAAAGATTAGGATATTATTACGGAATTAAATTTATATTACATTAAGTTTATATTCATAGATCGATATACTGTTATATAACACTTTTACATATTCAATATGGAAATAAATGGCTGAAATATTAATGTTAATTTATGTAAGAGTAAAGCTTACGTCATTAATGTTGAAAGCCATAACGAATGAAATCATAAAAATAAATAGGAATAAGGCTACAAGAAACATGACTTTTATAACTGTCTTGAGGACGGATATAAACATGACGACATATTTACCAAAAAAATGAGCTCTAGGTTCAAATAGTAAGAAATTATATAGTGATGAATGCGTCTTAAATCATGGTATAGATATAATAATAGAAATTAGAAGTCTAATTATAAGGCATAATTTTCTTTTACCTCTGTAAATTTACGATTAAAACCAGTTGTGTTAAGAATATCAAGACAGCACCCGCTTGTTCGTTGACAGTATTATGTCGGCGTGTTAAGGAAATTATGCTAACAATTATGGCTAAGAAGGCAATTATAACTTCAATGCCATTGATTGATAGTTTCTTTAAATATTCAAATGGCTAAAAAGAAATTTAAATAACATAAATAGGTATATCTTAAGATCTAAATGTACTTAGATTTGAAATAACTATGTCGATGCTACATACGAGATAATAAGTGGCATAAAAGTTAATTGCTAATAGATCGCTGTTTACATTGTTTGTGCAGAGTTATGACAGCGTGACAAAATTTCGCTTTCTACAGTAATATTTCGTAAGGGTAGAAAATACAGTAGCTATTATCATAGATGGATAAAGCATATCGAATAATCCGATTAGAAATCATAAGGATGATACGGCGATATCAAGAAAAAGATATCTTAAACTTTAAATTTTGACTAGCAAACAATTTTTGTCAATATCATAATGCTGTGCCAAAATAGTATATATTTTTTGCTTATGAAAAGATAAATTACATTATTGAAACAATATTATGTTCTATCATAGTTAAAAATAACTGTTACGAAGTTGTTGGATAAATCAATGAGTCATGAAGACAGTGCGGCAATAAAATAAAATATAATCACTAAAATTATTGATTGGTATAAAATTTAAATACTGCAGAATTTCGTCATGATATTTCTAAAATCATAGGGAAGATTTACTTCTTAATTGATTACAATAAAAAGTAAATCGGTGATATTTAAACTACACTTTTGTATGAAAATACGCTTTATGAAAGGCATTTTCCGAGAAATCTTAGATCAAGTTAATTCGCTAGAATTATGGTTAACGTAATAATGATGAAATCGAATGACCTACCCATCTCCAAATATAAATGAAGTGAGCGAATAATACCATAAATCCAAGAATCATAACTACTATAGAAGAATTGTTGATGAAAGTACGCGAGAAAAAGCTACAGTCCTGTAATGAATAGTTGAAAAATTAGCCATTTCATCTTATTCACGATAATAATCGCTCTATCTGAATCGGTTATAAAATATTACTTACTATAATTGTGTTATTTATACGTTTTTTAGCCGAAGGATGGCAGATTATATCAAGCCCCATTGCCAAAACAAAGATAGAAACAATTATAATGTAGAAGATAAGTTTCAGGTAATACGCTAAACCTATGCCACCGTTCCTAATTATTCGACACATATGAGATAGAAGACTTAAAATTAATCCTAAAATTCATTTGATATCATCTCGTATGCTATTAAATATTGTCTACAAACTATTGATCGATTATTAAAATTGTTAAATTATTAATTGTTAAGTCAGTTAGATTCATGTCCAATACTTAATTTAATCAAATTTAAATCTTTGAAGTACTCATCAGATTAATATACGGGTTTACAGGTTCCATAGCATCGTATACTATAGGTCTCTTACTTTTCTAATACATATTCATACATTCGTATGTACACTTGCATACTTAATCACAGAGATACTTTAAATTCATAATTAGACGAAACTTTTTATCTATTTCAAAACGAAACCGATAAGCGCTATCCTATTTCATAATAGCTCCTTCACTACTTATATTAGCCGAAAAGATGAAGCTGTTGAATTTAACCATTTTCTGCTAGGTTTAATTTTATCGTATTGGTGTAATAACATGGGAAGAAATAATACCATTTCTGCATTCGATAGGCCATTGTTAATGGATGAGATAATAATTCACTCCGATTTGATGCGACCATACTCTATAAGAAGTAAAAAATTAAATAGTAGCTAGCGAGACTATCATTCCATTCACAAGGGTAGAGAGAAAAGTTTTGATGATAAATTTGTTTTTAATTTAATCTGGCATAGTTATGGCAAATGAGAATATGTTTTATTGTGATGCACGCGATTAATGTAAACCATCTAATAATATTTACCGAGATAGTTAAGTATTTATCTTTATTTTCTTGTAAATGAACATGCTCAGGTGATGATTCGATATACTTGAAATTAAAGGTAATCTGAAAGGAAAGTGAAATGTTTAATAATTGTAATTTGACCTGTCACTTTTATTGAATGACTTTCATAAAAAAATCAAGAATAGTGATTTAATTTCATCCCTAAAAAGATGCTTACAAATGCATCTGGATGATTTGATGGATGGGTGGAATGAACTACACAACGGTCCATGACAGCCTGTAATTAGAGTTGGAGGCCAAGAAAAATTAGGTATGGAAATAAAATAAGGAAACATTATTTTGTCATGGATGGAATAATTAGATAGGTAAACTACAATATATATATATATTACATATTTAATCGCCATATATAGGACTTGCTATTAATTTAGTAATTCAACAAATTCGAGGTTAAAATCTTTTTACCTCTGCAACCTTAGGCATCTTTTCCACTAATCGTTTCATGGGTGTATACCCGTCTGGCCCGCGGCAGTCCATCACAGCCTGCCAACTTTAATTACATTATAATATACATACAGTTGAAATGATATCATAAGCTCCATAATAATTGAAAGATTTTACGATTTCCTTTATTAAACCTTATTCATGTATTGCAGCATTATAAATGTAAATTTATCAATGTACCGGTCATCGCTGATAATAGCTAATCCAATATCAACGCGATCATTTTCTATAGCCACATCAAGACAAGTTTGGCCTTTAATATTGCGCCTAGATATATCAGCATTATGATTCAATAACCATTTAGCTGCATCTAGAGAATTTTTCTGGCATGCTCTATGCAAAGGTGTGTTCTATGGGTATATAAAATGCATTGTATTAATATCAATCTTACTTGTCGTTTTAAGCTTTAACAATTCTCTTGAAAGTGTTTCAGTAATCTTTACTGGTTTTAATTCACAAATTTGGTAAAGCTAAGATAATTTCAATAGATTATTCGTATATTGATATACCTTTTTCCTATTTACAGCGTTAATATCGGCACTTTGCTTAACTAGTAATTTGATAACTGCTACTTTATTTTCTTCTGCAGCGCCATGTAATGGTGTATTACCAAAGATGTCACTAGAGAGTATACAAATAAATTTAGATAAACCCAACCGTTACATATGCATGTATATGATGCTTCAAATTACGAAATGTATTATAGTATCAGGAAGGGTAAGGCAAAAATGTTTTTACGATATTCTCGTATATTTTACTAATCATGTTCTTAAATACAGCAGACGTAAGTAACAATAACTAATTTATAGATTTTAACTAGAATCTTACTTGTTATCGACATCAGCTCCGATATCTAACAAAGTTTGAACCGTTTCATGATATCCACGATGAGCTGCAATATGCAAGGCTGTGATACCTTTATAATTATTCGTATTTGTATTAAGGCTATGCTTGCTATAAATTGTTCGGATCGACGAGAAGCCATTATGAGCGGCGGCAATATGTAAATAAGTATCACCAGCTTTGTTTGTTAATGTTGCATCTGCGCCATAGTTAATTAACATGTTGATAGCCTGCTCGATTTGATATACGTATAATTATGGAAAGATTGCCTCAGTTATAGGTGTATTAGTGAAAAGGAATATATTTATTCTAGTTTCTTTAGCATTTAAAAACTGATGTTATGCGCTAACTTGTTCATTTCTATTAGGAATGCAGACCAATAGGGGGGTATCGCCATTACGATCTTTGTCATTGATAGCAGATACTGCTCCTCGCTAATATTTTGAAAATAGAAAGACATGATGAAGGGTCAGACATATAACAAGTCTGCTTGAATGAAAAAATTAAACTCTATAGATATTCAGAAGGTAAGTGCCTTCGTTTACTGTACTTTAATTAATCCTTTAGAAGGATTTAGACTTACATCAAATAGCAGCTGCAATGGAGAAATGTCTTGATGATTGACAGCGTAATGTAAGCAGTTGCGATTGTTTATATCTGCATGCATAATGTTGGCCCCTAGGTTGAGCAACGTTCTTATCATATTTATGTAGCCTCGTTGTAATGCTGTAAGGAATGGTGTTACTTTATTTTTATCCATAATATCAATGTGCAGACCCTAGAATTCAAAAAGCAGCAATATATTTATCTCATAACAGTAAACAGGAGTTAAAGAGAGTATCTTATCTGCTTACTACTAGCTATGCTGGTACAATCAAGCTATCGTGATAGGAACATACTAGTTTATTAAAAATAGTATATATATATTATATGTACAACAGCAGTATAAAATAGATTTAGACGCATATTGAATAGCACCTGTTTATGCAAATATCGGATGACATGAGGATGATTTCCTAAAGCTGCAAAATGCATTGCAGTTCTACCTTTATCATCTGCACTCTCTAAACAGACTCCATATTGAACAAGAAGTTTTGCAATTTCAATATGGCCATTAATGGCTACAATATGCAATAGCGACTTGGATCGACTCTACACATAAGCACATATGTAATAAAGAAAACTCAATTAAGTTTCTATTTTTATACGTCATGTTTCTAACTTGGATATTAACAAATTCAGTATGTTCATCATACCTGATGAGGTCCATCACCACTCTTGATAGGGTCCCCGGCTGGATCTGCCCCATAGGTGAGGCATAATTGTGTCATCTGTAAATTGAATACGTGATTAATGACATTTTCAGTTAATATTAGAACATCTTATTAACGAAACAGTGATCTATTACGCTAAGGAAAGAGTTAACTTGCTAATAACTGCCTAGGAACACTAATATTGGATCCAAGTCCATCGAATACATCAAATAAACATCTATCATGCCATAGCAGTTATTTTACAGATATACTTACACCAGGTAGGTAACGCTTACAATTACCTCAAAGTGATTTAATTCTACGGCAATTTCTAGGACCGTTTTCCCGTCGCTGTCTCCCATATTAATGAACTGCTTAATACCTTGATTCTCAGCTATGTTACAAATTTGAAGTAGCAGAAAAATTGTATTGCATTCAAAAATAAGATTGAAGAATATAGATTGGAAACTAGGCCGAGATTTCTAACCTGTCCTAAGCAAGAGCTCCATAATACCTAGGTCGAGACGATATGCAGCTAAGTGAAGACAAGTACTGCCCTCATTAGCTACCACAGCTAGCTTTGCCCCATGTTCTATCTGTATAAACCGTAAAAAGTTAAGTAAACATTGCAATTATATATCGTGAACTTTAATATGGCAAAAATATCTAGCAAAGTCAACTTATCATGAAATCTAATAATCACATACTCCACACGGGGTTGTAGTAAAGAGAAATTATACATTAGAAGAATTATTACTTCAAAGATCTTAACTTACCAGTAGCTGACAAACTCCGTAGTGGCATCGATCAGCTGCATGATGCAAGGCCGTCATGTTCTCATCATCGACGTCGTTGATTAAAGTCGAACTGTACTGCTGCAGATTTTCAAGGATAAGCTGAAGAAGAAGTTTTTACCCAATTAAAATGAAATAGTGTCGCCACTGAGGATAAAATTGAAAGTCGAACAGCATCTAATTGTAAATGCATAGCTCGAAAGCATCAAGTATTAACTGGTGGATATTTGTGCGTGATAATCGAAATTAACTAAATATGGAATAATTATATCAGCAGCTTATTAAAATTTAAAATTTATTACCTTAGTCGTTTCGGTGTTGCCCTGCATCGCCGCAATATGCACAACGTGCTGATTGTGCTCATCTGTGATGAACATATCAGCATCACGACTTATTAATTCTCGAATAGATTGCAAACTGTTATTTTCAACAGCCATATGCAGAGGAGTTCGACTTAGGCAACCTCCAACTGCATCAATATCTAGCATAAGTTAAAGTATTCAAAAAGACTACGGTAAAAGATACAGTTAGCATTCTTATCAGTATTACGATAAGTAAATTGAAAGTTTTGTATCTTTCTTTATTTATAAGTAAAATAGCAGCAATGACTCGGTAAAGAAATTAATAAAAATCGAAAATAGATATAAACCACATTAGCAATACTATATAACTTAAGATAGATTAGGCTTACTTACCTGCTCCATTAGATCGTAGAAACACCAGTACACCAACAATAGATAATTTTGTGTTTTATATATACAGGTATATATATATATATATATGTTTATATTAAGCGTTATCATTTTTGAATTAATAAAAGTTAAAATACATCCGAACCCACTAGTATCACAATTTAAGATCGACTAGCTATATTTATCTTCTTCATGAGAAAGTAGAAACACTGGTACGTCACCGTAAATATCATATTTCATGTTTTATATACACGTATACATATATATGATTATATTTATCGTTATTATTTTTGAATTAATAAAAAGTTGAAAACACATGCAAACTCCATTACTCTTATAATTTAAGATAGATTAGGCACATCTACCTGCTCCTTTAGATAGTAGAAACGCCAATATATCAGCATGATTGTGGATTGCGGCATAATGTAATGGTGTAAAGAGACTTTCATCTACTACATTGACCAGATCGGCAGATAACTCCTTCGACTTTATGTCCGCTTGCCTCACGAATGTTTTTAAATTTCGTAAATCGCCTGCTTGACATGCCTAAAAAAGTATTCAATGGAGTGAAAATCAAATCCTGGAAAGCTGTTTCAAATTGGATATGATGACATATTAAATAATTTAATTTCTGTTTCTTTTCCATAATGCGTATTGCTTAAAGAAAATCTTTTTGCTTTATAAATAAATCAAAGAAAAATATATGAGAGACTATTAAATAGCGATATGTATTTTACTTCATGGCCATGCGTTGATTCACTGTGGTAAGTAGCCAATGAATAATCAGGATAGCTTTTATTTACTAGAATAATTTGGCATCAATCCATGATGTTTACGACAAAAAAGAAGAAATTCTCTGCCTTAGTCGGATTACTACAGAAAAGGAAGCTTTCATTTCCTGAAGAGGACTTAAGTTTACATTGAAGGATTTGATAGAGTAGGCAATTCATTCGTTCTTATGTTTGCAGCTAGGCTAGAAGTGGATCACTATAGGTATTTTTTTATAGTTTAAAATGTCTAATGGCTATTACATATATCTGAGACAAAGATCAACAGGTGCATACAAATATCGGTAGAAAAGTCATCTATCACATGGCAAAATAATTGTTAGCGCATTTGATATATACCCTAGGGAATAAACATCGCACGACAGCGATATTTATATTAACTAATATTGTTTTCCAATTAATCCTGAGCCAAGAAAACTTTATTTGCTTCCTTGCCTATACATTAGCGTAGAACATGTAAGGTACTATTCTCTACTAGGTCTGTTAAGGTCTAATTTAACAAACTGAGTTAGTGACAAATATAGCACTTGTGCTTCTATAAACGTACAGTTTTTTCATGTAGTCATCATAGTTTAGTTATTCAATTATGGAATAAGCTACAAACATAATCCAGTTAAGTTCAAGTACTTTTCCAATTATCGTAATGTACGTACGATATTAACGAATAAGAAATTCTATATTAGGATTTAATCAACTTTATGATGGGCAAGATATGAAGTGATCAAATGACATAAGAAAAATTTTTAAATACATAAGGCATGGTTATAAATTTTCTTCGTTAGATTGATAGACGTTAAGAAGCAAATAACGATAACAGGTATAACAAATTGAAGCTGTTATTCCGTCGTCGACGATAATTTATTCTCGATTATTGCTTTATGGAAGATAGTAATCCTATTTCAGGAGTAAGAGTATAATGAAAGAATAGAGTGGAAGTTACCGTGTACTGACCATGATTTTATTTTTATAGCTAGTCATTATCCTATATCTCTCTTTGGGTAACTCTCTTGCAAATTTGAGACGGTACCTCGATCATTTTACATGACTCTGAGAATGTTATTAACTTCCACCATCATTATTTACGTTCAAATTATAGATAAACAGGTGGTTACCGTTGTAGTTTAATCCAATTTACCTTATAGACTGGTGATATTTCTATATTCAGATTATTTCTTGTTGCTGCTCTTTTCAATGTAGATCTAGATTTCTTGAGTGGAGTAGCGATAAATTTTATATAATTTGGATCGAATGACACTTCACTAGAATCATAATCATTTTCTTCAGCTTTTTCTGAAATCTTATCATCATTTTTCCTGACGACTTTAAGTGAGATATCGCCTGTTTCTTCGCTGCCATTAGGCAACGGTTGGATCATCATGATCGTTGTGCTGGTCTAATTTAAATCACTACAAAATAGATCTCTCATGCAAATAGATCGAAGTATCAGTATTATTGAAAGAGAATTAGGTTTGAGTCAAGACCATGGCTTAGATTTTCTTTTCTTACTGACGGTAAAGTAACACATTAGATCAATTAATTACCTGCTCTTAATTTAGGTCACGGCCAAATACATCGTAGCCTTCTATTCTTTTCATCAATTGCCTAAAGCTAAAGAATCAATCAGGGTTATTCCTACTGTTATTCTTTTCATGCAAATGCACATCATTACGTTAACAATAAAGGCGAGCGTAGAATGTTATTTTATTATAACATTAACATACAAATATAAAGTTTTTATCATAGAGTTGACAAACGACTACTTCGATAATTTATTTTACAATTAAAGTTAATGTGGTTGGTTACGTGCATTTAATAAGCCGACGAAATTGGTTATTGGAATGAAATAATGGTATTATTAAAGAACATTGAAGATTTTGTAGGTGTAAATAATTTTTATTGATCATCAATTGAATAGATCGTTTTGTTATGATAATTGGATAACCCTGCTGTCTTAGCCTATTTTTGTCATTATTTTTGTCATTACTAATGTCAGTATTAATTATTTCATTAGGTTCAATGATCGTCTCCTTGTTACATCATAATGAAATAGCCATAGTGATGGTTTATGGATTGTGCTGCTATAATAAAATGATGAATTTCTTCTTGTTTTAAAGCTTCGTTTATTGGAACTAGAAGATTAAGGCTCTCATTACATAGTCACCCGTAGGACCTGGAGTAATCACAATTACCAAGTAGGCAGGTCAAAAATAAATTAGTAACTTTAATGAGAATGCCACCGTGTCTACGACGTCATTGCTATCCTGTTACAATAGAAAGAGTGTGATCTATTATAATTAAACTTTCAAATATTAAAGGACAAATATCACAATAAGCGTAGTTGCTACAGTCTTGATACTAATGGAAAATGCAAATTTAAATTTAGATCTTGCTATTGATTTTTTGAAGAGCTTAATCTAGTCACTGCTATGTTATGTATAATACGTATCTTTCCTAATTATTTAATTAAAGTAGGACGATAGCAAATTCTAATATCATTTAAATCGATCTAAACACGCCCTTTGTGAAAGGTTTATGCGGTATTGAGCATTATAGCAGTGAATGGCTTGAGGAAGTGTTAGCTTATATCCATGTTCGATTATAAATTATATAAAACTTCCACATCTAATGATTTCGAATTAAAATTGTTCTCTCCTTTTTCCTTTACGTAATAGATCTCATCTATGTAAGCTGAAAAACATGTTATTAAATTTACTGTGATTGTGAAATCGATTTTTAATAGATAGAGCCTCTCCTTTGCTACGATCACTCCATTTATAGATTCTAATCATAACTTCAATCTAGAATAATATGGTATAATTAGGACCATCTTGCTGGAGGTAGTATAGATTAGCTATGATATACGCTTATATCATCTGCAGTATTAATCACAGAACATTTAATTCTGCTTGAACTGATTTGATTTTAATATTTTTATATGGATATGCATTCTCCTGCTGTCTCATCTTCAATAATTGCCTCATTTGCGGTATAAACCCGAAACTAGAGAAGAATTGAGTTATAAATCCTTCGCTATAAGGAGAATTTAATTACGAACTCTTCATAAGAAGGAGAATTTACTTTAACTTGGCTTAACAGTAGTTCAAATTTACGCCATTATTTACTACAATAGGATTATTAAAAATTAAAACTTTCTCGATATTTTAGCAGTTAGTAAGCTTATTTGCATTATTTTATTAGATTATCGTCTATTTTCGAAAGCAGTGGACGTAAATTGTTGCCTTTAGGGTGCCATCGAGATCAAATACTTGATGATTATTTTAAATTTACCATTTTTCTAACTTAGCTCTCTCTCTTATCTGTATATACGGAGGCATAGCAGATATAGCGTGAGAGATAGCTGAAACTATAGTGTACCCCGGTCGAATACTATTTTATTCCACAATCATGATAATTTATCGATACGTCTTCTAGAAATTGATGATTGTACAGTATTTTATAGAGCAAATATACAGTAATATTTCTATGATCTTGTAGAAGAGCCCATTAGATTAGATTAGATTTATGTAGAGGAGCCTGATAGATTAGATTAGTTTGTGTGCAGACAACAAGGACCAAATCATCCGAGTTATTAATGAATTAATGGAGTCATAATGTTACAAATAAGAAAAAATAATGATGCATTGTATGCTATATATGAGATGAGAGGTTCTGTATGGTAGCTAGGTGCTGCATCCAAAATGAAGGAATGTAGTACCATGAGGTATGAACAAGGAAGGGATGCACAGAGCTCCGAGCATACTACTGGATGAGTAGTATGTTGTTAAAGGATGTTATTTGTAAGGACCTAAACCCATACTGTGCCATATAGTCTAAATCTTCTGGAGTAAAGCTTATAAAAATTGCAATATTTTTAAAAGTACAAGCGCATAGCTAGCGGACCCGAAGCTATATAAGCATCTGGCCCCGATCTGTGAAATCGATTCTTTCGTTCTTCCTTTTCTGCATTGATTTGCATTGATAAAACTACGCACTTCCCTCACAACTAAAGTAATATTAACCTTATTGGTGTAGATGAGCTATTACCCCTGGCAATAGCCTCAAAAATCCTGTGGTGAACGCTTGAATTAGGGGAGACTAGCCAAATATAGTTCACCAAAGTAGTGCGCAGAGTCACTTTACTACAAATCTGTTATGCAGTAGGTAAACTTTCAGAGTGAACTACAAATGTATGATCCACAGTACATAAGAATCCTGGTAAACTAGTTCTATGGACAACTCCGCAGACTAAAGAAATAGTGATAATGTATATTCCATTTCGTCTCTAAATAATATGATTTCGTTACCATGTAATAGCTAAATCATCTAATGTAGAATCTAATCATTCATTATTTACAAGAAAGATAACTGGCTCATTTGATACGGCGGATGTCGCTATCTTTAAAATATTTGCTGTTCTTTCTAATACGTTCATTTGGTGGATAATATTTACTAATTATTGTAGTCAGGATATTTATTAGGGTTAGTGTTACATGATATTTGCAGTAGTAAGATCAGATATTACAGTAATTAATCGTGAGAAATATGGATAACTTTAACCATAAAAGTTGTATCAAATGCTTGGCAATATCGCGATTACAAAATATAAATACATTAATTCGAGCTCACAACTTATAAAAATTAAGGATAAGCACAACGTTACCAAAGCGATTATTCACATTTCTGTGTATTCAATTTTATCTCTAATTAAAGTAGTCATTTCGTTACTATTCAATAACGATTGATCTAATGCAAACTCTAGTTATTCATTGTCTATAAGAACGATAATGAACTCTTGAGATAGAAATTGCTATCTTTAAAAAATCTTTGGTGGTAGTTCTAATACGTTTCTTTATCCATAATTTTACTAATCATTATGATCCGAATCTTTATTAACGTTAACATTTTATGATAATTGCAATAGTAATATCAGATATTACAGCAAGTAATCGTTATAAATATGGATAACTCATGAAAATAGTTTATAAGAATTACCTGGCAATTTCGCGATTATAGAATAATATAAATATATAAATTCGAGCTCATAACTTATGAATGATTGAGGATACGCCAAGCGTTATAAAATTGATCTATGCATATTCCGTATTATATTAGACTTGGAAAGCAATCCGCTTAACAAGTGTATTGTAATTACATAGATAACATGTAGCGAGCAATGTAAATAAATAGATATATACATTTAGAGACACCTCCTACGATTAGTGAAAGTTAATAAACCACTAAATGTTCGCTTTTACAGCCATAATAAATACTGAAATAATTTAAATCGGGAGTATTTTTTGTATGCTAACTATATCTATCTATATACAATATTTAGTGTAGGTTGCACACATATCATATAACGACGTTCACCGTTAAAGGTAGCAATTACAATATTATTCTATTTTGTAATAGTTCTCAGTATACTAGAATTTATCCCGGTTGTAACAACATAGTCTAATTTTTTATTGAGTAACTTGCTTAATTTATGGATATAATTTATGTGTTGGAGTAACAATATATTTACTGGATTTATTACATAATAAAGTCAAGGTAATTTGTGTCCTATAGAAGGCAAGAGTAATAAATAATTAACACACATCGGGTAAAATGGGTTGTGCTTGGGTAGGTGATATGGCATTAACTTTCTGAGCAATGGAATAAATCATTTCTTTAAGATATTCGTTATCCTTTTTGAAAGTTTCATTTTGTTTTGTTAATTCTTTAACAAGATCATACATAGCTGATGCAGTTCTAAAATAATAATTGATAAAAACTTATAATCTTGGACAGACTTTAATTCTATCAAAGATTAATGATAAATAGTCTGTCATGAGTCGCAAAGAATTAGTCAAACAGTAATCTGGATCTAGTAATTTTAAATTGTGTAATTAAACTTACGGCTTTACTCAATTATTATTTATATAGAAACTAGTTTTGAGTATAATTGTTTAAAGGTTTTGCGTGTATCAAAATTTACAATAATCAAGATCAAATCTTGGTCGAATGGTAGAATTATCTAAGGAACCGTAAACTATAAATATACGAATACATGAAGAATGCATTACAGTGCTCTTCATCTGATCTATTAATTTATATGAGAGGCAACATCAGATTGTCCATTAATAATTAAACTTACTTTTTATCTTCAGAAAAATTTTGCGCTAAGTTTTGATATTGGTGATGAGTTTTAGTCAGCTGTTCCTTAACGCAGTCAAGAAGTGATGCTCGTTGTGAATTTCTAGACCACATATACTATTAGAAATATAATCGAAATAGGTTTTAGCCGGTGAAACAACTCTTAAACTTAAAAATAAGAGAAATTTAGAACTACATTAATATTAACCATTTTACAAAGAGTACTGCAATTTAATTAAATCG